TGATCTTCGCGAGCCTTGCGAGATATTGCCGGCCTGTTGTTAGCTGCAGTGCCGTCAGTTTCTACAGAGGCATGGTCTTGTACTGACGGAACGTCGGCCACGAGATGCCCAGGCTCGCCTTGTAAAATCTGGCCCGGAAAGGGAACAAGGACATCACTGGGCCATCCGACCGCAGCCTCGCCCCTGCTGTTCGAGTACGAACCTTTCACAGGGGCCACGTACTTCTTGTCGAGTAGGGTGGAGCGCCTGGCGGCTCCAGGGCGATACGGCGCGTATCCTTCCGCAACGTTGCTAAGAGAGTTGGGGTAATAATTGAACATATACGGCAGCGGCACTGGCTGCTGTTTCTGCCGCTGCGCCGCGAACCATGCCTGGAACGCTTCGTTCGCTCTTGCGTCCCAGTACGGTCCCACCGGCAGCTGCCTGTTTGTCGGAGACTCGTCATACTGCCGGTTTCCCTGTGGCTGTTCAGCAGGAGGCGGCACTGGGTACTGTACGTAACCAGGAGGTGGAACCCAGTCGTCGGTCGACGGGCCCTCTGCCGGGTATTCCTCCCTTCCGTAGACCCCTTCCGGAATTTGGACGCTCGGATTGGCAGCGCCGCTGCCTTGATCGACGGCCACTCCTGGTTCCTGCGCCAACGGATACCCTTGCGCAGCGACCCGAGACTGCTGGTCGCCGGGCTGGCTCGCCGTGTCGGACTGCTGGACTTGCAGTGGCGGCTCCTGACCCTGCCTGGCTCCATCACCGGATCCGGCGCTAGCCTGTGGCTGCAGCTGCGCTCCGGTGGATAAGACGACGAGCGTCAGGGTCAGGAGAGCGGCGACGACGCTCTGCGCGCACACGCTCATAGAAACTGCGCCGTGGCCTGCGAAGCCACGAAGCGCGGCCTCATCAGCCACTGCGATTAGGCACTTCCTTTTCTTCCTCTTCTGCAATGGCTCAGTAAATGGCTGCCTACCTGTGGCTCACTCTACAGCACATCGCAAGCCCTGCGACCGCGTAAGCATACCACGTGCATACTGCAGTCAAGTGAGCAATCACCCAGCAGTTCTATAGAGTGTGCACATCCTTCGAGTGCTCGATTGGTATGCCGATGACAGTATAGCTGTTGTGTTGGAAAGGTGCCATTCCCGGAAGCAGGGGCACATACCCACTCATCACCATCACCATCATTTATTTTCCCTTAAGGGCCCCTGATGGGCTGTTACATAAGGGGGTGGGTCGAACAAGGATACACAAGGGCAATTACAGACCAAGAACAATTCAAGAATTGGAATTACAGGGCAATAATAAAAACAGAACTCGTGGTACAACCAATAGCATGCTTTTGAAAAAATGAGAAAACGGGAACTGGCTACACAGAAATAACGATGGTGTGGTTGTAAAATGAGTTTCGAGTAAGGTTTTAAACTTCACAGTATTACGTTCATTGGCTATTGCATTTGGAAGCCGATTCCAATCCTCAATTGTAAACAGAAGGAAAGATTTGTTAAAAGCGTTGATTGAACCACTGTGAGGGAAGGAATAGTGCGGTTATTAGCAAACCGTCGATTCCCAGTGCACGATATTTTTTTTAAGTTGCCTGCAAGAAACACCGCAATCTGAACCCCTGCAGGTATTCATGTTAGGCACTGACCTTACCAGCCCTTTCTCTGCTAGACATGTAGCATACTGCTGGAATGAACCCTTTCTACCTAAATTTGCCCACTTTGATAACAATATAGATTTATCTTGTGGTCCACACGATGGTGCAGTGATTACGGTGTTGGGCTGCTGACGCGAAGGTCACAGGTTCGATCCCAGCCACATTTAGATGGAGGCGAAGTGCTAGAGGCCCGTGTACTGATCGATGACAGTGCATGTTAAAAACACTAGATAATTTTGTAGTTTAGGGACGTAATACATCAGATATTATTATAATAATTTATCTCGTGAGTCACCCTCAATGCAGCTACTTCGATATCCCGTGGCCTCCTCACACGGGAATATGGAAAGCCTACGCCCCAACACCTTCCAAAGTTCCTCGCACCACCGCAAATTTGTAGAATGTATCACAATTTCAGTCCACAGGTTAGGTGGGTGAGTATGCGATTTTAACAGCCTCATCTGTTTATTGGTATTCATTAAAAAGAAATCTATCTTCCATTTCAAAACTTGGTGCAGGTATACATGCAAGAGCTCTGCAGGAACAGCCCCTTAATCCCTGTCAGCATGGTGTAGCTTTTTTACTTGTGCACAGCCATAATAAGGCATGTTCATTATGCGTGTATATATTGCCAACTTATGGCGAATGTGTCACGCCATCTCAATGAGAAGCTGCTATTAGTAGTCCTAGAATTGAAGAACAGCTATGGGCAGTCCAACAGGCCCGCGATAAAGCAGAGATTTTGTCTATCTGTTCCGACAGCGGAGTGGCCTAGCCTAGTACGTGGTAAAAGCACATTCAAAGGAAATACTTAATACAGTATTTCCATCAATAGAGCTCAGGGCTGTCCACTAAGCCCGCGAGGCGGCTGAGGAGCTCGGCATCTCAGTCACCACGTGGGAGCTGCCCGCAAAACAGTGATCTGTGTTTTGGAGGACCAAATAAAAGTTTATCCAATCCAATCCAATCCACCTTTACTCTCAGATGCCTGAAGCCATGATACATACTTCATTCACATGAAAATCAGTAAACAATACGAATATGAAAGAGTAGATAAGATAGAGTAACCTGCAACTGCAGTATAGACGGCACCAAAACAGAAATTAAAAGAATAAATGAGAAAAAGCAATGGCAAGAAAGTGCGTCCAGCTCCACTTCGCAAGCAATGTCGAAACAGCAAAGCTGATATGCCTCCTTCGTTGGGCTCACCCATATTTGTGCAGTTCTCAATGTTTCAGCTGTGCCACTAAGTCTCACCCTCACCCATCTTGTCACGGCGCAGCCCTCGTTCCCTTACAAAGTTCGAGTCTCACCCCACCACAAGAACCCGTGACCAGCGCTACTCCAGCAGCACGCCTATCTTGCACTCAGGCACCTAGGCTGCTGGTGCATACTCTCGCACCCAGACGGCCATCTTGTTTTGAACTGCCACGGCATGCATCTTTGGCCAAGTTAATATGCGAAGTGGCGTCTCTTGGACTTTAAAACACGTGATGTAGACTTTCAGGACTATTGAGGAAGGACTTCTTGACATTTCACACGAAAACAGCCCAGAATTCCAGGATAGGAGAAGCGCGAAACAGGTCGGAGGACTTGGGTTGTGAAGTTTTGCGTTTGATTTGCGGAGTGTCTGCTCGCGTGACGGTGCAGGATGTTGGTTTGCTTTGCTTGCAACAGATGGCGCGACGAGAATTCTTAATATGGCAGCACGCACCGAGCTCGAAGAGTTCTGGCGTATAGCTCCCGTAATCTTAAGCTTGTAAAGCATAGCAGTGCCAACAAATCCTGTCCCTGTAATGTACCAGAGAGCTTCAGCATGCAGATGAACCACCCAGATGAGGCAGGCTATTCGCAAGCAATATTGGTTTTTGGGGCTGAAGCAATTTTAAAAAATTGTGGACATGTCAAGTGACAAAGAGCCACCTCATGTAAAAACAAAGCAGCTGTGATACCATATGTTCATCATGTGTCCCATAACCTGAAAAATGGTGCCAGGCAACCTGATGTATAAGTGGTCTTCTCTGCCATTTTAAAACTGTTTATAATTGTAGAATGACAGATCCTTGCCTCCAGAGAGCACCAGCCTGTGAAGTTAACCACCAAAAAAAGTATGTGCAATGCCAGGGGGTGTGGTCTATGATCTTCCTTGTCATGTGGCGGAAAGTGGGCGAAAATAAGTAATGCTTGAACGATACAGTCAGAGAGCATTGCAATAATGTGAATGGCAGAGAAGGTCACCTGAACATTCATTGCCAAAATTTCGAGTGTTCACCAGATTTACGTGCTTGTACTGTGATTGCCAGGAGTCGAGATAAATGAAATGATTAATAATTGAGGCAAAAAAAATATCATTGAGTCAAGTGATTTCAATCACAGAAAGAGCTGCATTTTTCTTAATGAAATGTGACAGCACTGTCTCTACATAAAGCACCAGTGTTTTTCCCAAAATAAACGTAGTTGGAAGTGGCACGCTGTGTCTGTGTGTGTCTCTTTTGTTCGTCGTCGTCTTCATGCCTTATACCTCAGATCATGCAATACCAACACACCCACTTGTTCACTCTTACTACCATACTTTGGCCTGACCGGTTTATAATTGACCAGCAACACAAGAAAAAAAAGTGAAACCTGGAGCCCTCCTCATGCTGGTACTTGTTCATATTTATACATTAAAGAGCAGAGAAGCACGCAGTCGAATAAAGTGTAGAACGCACTTGTGATGCCCGTGTTTCTAGCAAAACCAAATGTATGAATATTAAAAGTAGCTTCTTGAAGAAAATTCTCGCTTTATTGAGATTATTTGAAATGCACGGTATTCTATAAGTAATTCAAAGAAAAGTAGAATTAAACATTTAATGTGTCCACTAGTTTGTCGCACACCATTTTATCTTAACAAGGTTTGACAGTTCTTGCAAAGGTGCATGAATAGTGCCAAAAGCGCGAATGTAAAACACACCTTAATTATTACTATAAACACGCATATTTATCAGGTTGTTCTGCAGCAACCATTCATGCAACTTGCACAACATGGTAGGTTAAATGAGACTGCTCAACGAGGCTCAAAAGTGCGTAAATGAAAAAATGTGTTCATGTAGCTAGCATAATGAATTTAGGCCACCAGATGTACTTGAACAAGCCTGGGCAATGGCTAACCTGAGATTAGGAAAGGCATTCGGTTCACTTCTCCACCGCTGTCCCCTACACAATGCATGGTCCCATCTACAAGGGTGTTTCCTCATTGAGTAAGGCAAAAAGACATGTTACAAGTAGCGAAACTAGTGAATTGATAGGTCTGAAAAACGAAGCGACATTAAAAAATGGACGATTGCACTACCTTTTCCACAAAGACAGTGCATTCTTCAGAAGAAACTGGAAGCACATTTATTGTTGTTTTACACAATATAGTATATTACGTAGTCAGTTGTCTGGCAACCTGGAATGCCGAGATTAGTGAACTTAGCTGAATCTTTTCACTTGTGCCCGATGCAAGTCGATATCTAGGAAAGAAAAAAAAGAGAAAATGTATCTAAACCTTTCTTCTGAGAAAAGAAAAGGATCAACCTAAAATTTGAACTTACTCTATTTCTGCCATTTTGTCAATCAGGTACATCTTCACTTTATCATGGAGCTCAACTGTTTTGAAGAAGGCAATGGAATCATTAGACCGAAAGAAGCCTACCACTAGTTGAACTTGAAAGCAACAATGCAAGTAGGCTAAAAGTAGTTAGTTTCACTGTCACCTATGTGCTAGTATTGTTTGACACGAGTAAAGCAGGGTCCATTCACCACTGTGGCCTACATAGATATCACAACCCTCCCGATAAGGTAAAGTAGCCCTATGTCAATATTGCCTGCAGTCTCATGCCTAATACAGTGAACTCTCACTTAAGTGAACTTCAAGGGACCAAAGAAAATAGTTTGCTTAACTGAAAGTTCACTAAACCAAACATGCGACACCTAGTTGTAAGAGAAGATGAGTAGCTGGCACCACTCACTGGCACCAATCTCTCCTCACATAGATATAATTGAAAAAAACTCGATAGTATGCACCAAAACATGGAACAACATTGGGCACAGAAGATATCGAGTCAAAAGTTTGAAATGAAATTTATTTTGAAAATAATTGTTTGAAATGAAGCTGTTCAGAGATTAAATAGTTCTGTGCACTGCCTCTGGCACATCTAGTTGCTGTGAAACAAAGACTCGCAACTCTTTAATATATCCTAATACATGTCCAGAGGTTAAAGGCTTTTAAAGGGACTGACAGCTAATTTTTTTTCTACACAGTTTTTTTTTTCGCCGAGACAGAAAGCTTGCTCTTCTTAGTGTTCGTAGCTGCAGCACTTAATTCTAAAAGCACGTAGTTATTTTCTAAGCAGTATTTTTCGATCTGAAGTGCTCTAAACACGGATATCCCTTTCTGTTCAGCAATGCTGAGAATTGATAGCGATGCCGGTAGCCCTTCTAGAATCTAGCACATGCTGTCGTTGTTCTGCTTTCGCAGGAGTTTCTGCAACTGTGCTTAACCATGTTTATTCTGAACTGAAATTGTACTTGAAATTGACCTGAAATTATACTTTCTGAATAAACAGTAATTCTTTCTTGCATATTTTATGAGAAGTGCAGTTTGTTTTATAATGGAATGTTGTATTTATTCAATTTGCAGCAATTCTCATTTCCTAGTAGTAGTTTTATCTGTATTATTACTGTGAGTCAGCTTATTTGGAATAGATTCATTTTTACAATTTTTCGCACAAACTCAGGGACACAGAAGAGCAAAAAAGCACTTGTCTGTGTGCTACTGCTCTTTGTCTCGGTGCTTCGTGTGCACTAATTGTAAATATTATTGTGTATGAAGCTCTGTGATTCAATGTGTGCGGCATTATTTTGTTGACTAAGAAATCCAATAACACTCAGAAGGACTCGTACTCAAACCTTAGAATTTAAAACCGCCCTCTCTTCTGCACACTGTGGTGTAATTGTAATGAAAATGACATAGAAATAAAAACAAGTACAAAGCCACTGCAGATATTGTGCATGTTTGCAAAACAGGCAGACTTGCTATCAACTTACTTCTATGGACGTACAGATGGACCTGTGTAAGTACGTCTTGAAGTGCCAAGCCTTTTCCCACTTTTAGCTTGTTGATGTCTGACACACAAAACGTAGAAACGTCAAGGTCACGGCACAAAGTTCAGCACGTGCAGATTCCTTACAGCACGTGTAGATAAAGCACTATATGGTTTTACAGGCGAACACACCAGTTCATAGTTCCGACTGGCTGAAGCAGCAAGATGTGAATCCAACAGTCAATCTACCTAGAAGCTGCCAGAATTCATCACTCATGCATCCTCACGCACTACTCACACACATTCTGCCAGTGACTCATGAGAAGTCTTGAAAATTGCAATCTTGCTCAAACGAGTTCATTTTGTACCTTTTCCTTACTTGGCTAAGCAAGAAGCACGTCCTCCTCACCAATAGAATGGATGGTACCCTCATGCTCTGTATATGCCCCACTTTCACGACAACTGCTGTGATGCACCCTCCCTACATTTGTCACTTTTAAAAGTGCTCCAGCATGCATTGCAGCATGCCAAGTTATGTGCAATGAAATGATTTTTTCAGAAAAGATATGTAGTAGAGAAAGAAAAATATTTTTAAGTGAATAAAAATTTTGAATATGTGCAACTTTGGTTGCCAACTGGTACACAATTCAATAAAAACACTGTATCATCGAAAATATTCACAGCAAAAAAATTCAGAATATACATTTTGACCATAAATTACCCAGGAACAGCACAAAAAATAATAAATGTTGTACAGAATGTCTCTATTCACATAGACAAAGAAAATCGGAACTGAGGTGCTGCTTCATTGCTCGGGCCTTGCGGTGAAGCGTTGCTTGGTTTTTCGTGAGACATGTCTGAACACGTACTTTTCTCAGTCACTTTTTTTGCGTTAAGAGCCTGCAGGTGTTGCATTATAGATGGGTGCCCGTGATGTGAATAATCCCTCTATAAATCAGATGTCCAATTAACTTCACTATTTCGGCTAGCGTCACCTCTTTCCATGAGGCACCTCACTCCGCTTAGGTTGGCGTTCCAATATATGCATCCAAGCATACTTATTTGCATTTTTACACATATTAAAATAAAAGGAACTATATCACACGCGGTCTTAAAATTTTTTCCCGCTGCTCCATAGTCAGAGCCAAGATGTTCTCCGGTGGCCTTCTTGTCGGGAGGAGAAGCTCTTGCAGCCGGCACCAGCACACCGCGCTCCAGCGACGTGTGGACCTCGCACATAACCGGAGTAGCTATAAGATTGTGCACAAAGGTCAGCAGCTATGCACTAGCGGCAGAAGACAAAACTTGAGGCCATAAACAAAAAAAACCCATGAACGGCTGTGGATGTCTCAGGCTGATGCGAAACCTTGTTGCTATAAAACTTGAAGCTGAGGTACTGTCATCCTCAGACTCTAAACTGGTTTTTGCTCAATTCCGATGCTGTTGCCAGACAGTTTCGAACGGCGCATGTTTCTTGCAGCGCAGGTGCGCACCCGTTGGGCGTGACTATGACGCCACAGCAGCGACTAGTGATACTAGATGCGGCCCTGGGTTTGATATGATACAAGCGAAACCAAAGCTGCTGGAAAGTGACTGAGACGGCGACCCCCACACTTTAAACAGGCGGCGGACCTTCGGAAATATTTTTGTAGCATAAATTTTCCCTGACTTCAAGCAACAGCCCACTATTGAATAGCTGGCATACATTTCTGCGAAATGTTGCTGCTCGCGGCTGTCAGATTGCAAAGCTGACACCTTGAATTGATATTTGACCTGCAAACGTTCTTTTGATTACATAACATTTATTGTACTGTAGCATAACCGCGAAGGGCATGCACTTTTGTCAAGTTCGCCAGCCAAGTGCATTTTCCCAACAATACACGCTCATTGGTCTGTCGCAAAGGTCTGTCAAAAGTTACTATGTAGTCAAAACGGGCTAATTCGAATTGATTCTGAAAGTTTAGTGGCTGGACCTAACTACCAGAAAGTGCTGGGTGCACAAGAAACAAATTCAACATGCCAAAATGAACAATCCAAAGCGTCGATCACCGGTGATCGAATTCGAATAGGCGTGGTGACGAAAAAGTTAAGCTCGAGGTTACAGGCTCGATTCCTGGACTTGAAGGCGACATTTCAATGAGAGCAAATGAAAAACACTTATGTATCTAAGTTTAAGCATACATTAAATACTCCAGGTGGTCAACATTAATCTGACGTCCCCTCTCCCTCAAAGACATGCAATGAAGTGGTTTTGATGGGTAAAACACTGAAATTAAAAGATAGCTATAAGCCTAAGTATAACAGCAAACAAGTGAGCGCAAAAGGATACGGTTGTAGGAGTATTCGAAGTCCTCATTGAGCAGTGTGCTGACAATGTCACTGATGTCTTCCTTGAGTGGGTGGCCCACACATAGGTAAACGTTTGTCTCATTCACTTCATCAAAGGCCATGCTTGTGCTCTATAGTACAAAGGAAACACAGGTTTCACTATTTTTGGCATAATTAGTCTAATTACAGACTTCAGCTCCCACTTTTCACAGTTCTGACCTTTAAAAATTATGGAAAACATAGTACACTTCATAGAGACAGAGATATACTATTAATAATGGGGCTTTTGTGTGGCAAATGAAACTTGAGTGCTGACATGAATTTTAATTTTTGGGATGGTTGCTCTCTATAAAAACACAGCGGGCGGTTGAGAAGCCTAAAAGTAGGCTTGTGCGAAACGAATATTACCGTATCTGAATTCACTACGATTCAAATTTAAATTGCTGAAAATTTCAAACTATTTGAAATGAACGAATAGATGTATACTAGTCCAAGTGTGACGCCCTGCAAAGGTGGTTTACTGCAGTAAACGAGTGCTAAGCCATGAAAACACCTATTCAGGTGTATGTCAATCCGAATATAACCCTCTGTAAAAGTGGTTCCACTGAAGTGAAGGGGTGCTATATTGTAAAAACACCAATAAAAAAAGAGAAAAAAGTGCACTGCCGTGAAACTCCACTTCAAGAATAAACATATTGCCCCTCACATGGATCCTTTATTTTTCAAGTTTAAAAGCTTTCTATACTAGCTTACATGCTCTAAATATAACCTAACCTATGTATAACCTGTACGTATAGTATTTCAAAAATTGCCAAATTGAGTAATTTTTAAAACACAATATACTCACAGGTTATACTTAAGGTTATCACTTGCATTCTACCAAAGGTCAAATTATGCTACTATTCAACATTGTTTCCTTTTCCTTTGAACAAAAGGAATGACATATGCAAAGGCTTTACTTCATTAAAAAAAAAATATTGTGCATGTTAGTAGGGTCATGGCAATTATGCCCATTTTCCTTTATAATATGTGATATGTACTATTCAAATTCTATTCAAAATTATTTGACCGAAATCACTATTCGCTTAGAATTCACTTCAAACCTTAAATTCACTATTCGCACAAGCCTACTAAAAAGTACGGTGGCAGCCTGGGAATGCATTGCATATATTTGTTGTACGCTGTTTTTGAAAGGTAATAAAGGGAAATGTAATAACCGCAGAGCCGAACCACGAGTTTGAAGTAACTAGAAGAATAAAAAAGGTGTGGAACACGTTCATCAAGCACTCTCAAATGCATGACTGGTAGATTACCACTATCCTCAGGAGAAGGTGCATTACACCTGCATCTTGCCGGTACTTACCTACAGAGCAGAAACTTGGAAGGTTACAAAGAGGGTTCAGATTAAATTGAGGATGACGCAAGGAGCGATGGAAAGGAAAGTGATAGGTGTAACCTTAAGAGACACGAACAGAGCAGAGTGGGTCAGGGAACAAATCGATGTGAAGGATATCATGGTTGAAATCAAGAAAAAAAAGTCACAGCTTCGCTGCAAAGGCGAAGCAATGAACGCAATAGCAACGATTTGAAAGGTCACGTGCAGAATGGAAAGCACATCGAAACGTTCCCCGCGTTTCTCGCGCACAAATTGCGCACGAAATGTACTCACAGGTACGAATGCACGCGAATAAGCGTCTCATTTGTTACTAAGCTGAGTCTGAAAAGCGCGCGCTTTTCGCGAACGGAGACTGCAATGATTGCAGTGACTTTCGCGCGCCCGGTAACTACAGCAGAATCATTCTACGTAGAGCCCGAGGCCAGCCAAGGCGTACGATCCTCCCCTCCTCACTACCACAAGATAAGGGAGCGTCGCTCCCCTTCTCCAAGCCGGGCAAAGTATGCGCAAGAGATTAGAGTGGGCGCCGCTGCTGCAATGTGGCGACGTGTGCTTATTACGCCATCTTTCTGGTAATGCCGAAAACACAGCAGCGGTAAGTGGTAGATAAAAATAGCTTGAACAGTGAAGAAAACGGTGAAGAAGTTCTCCGAGGTGGCTCAGTGGTTAACGCCTCCTTTCACGACGCAGAGGTCCCACGTTTGATTCCGCACGCCAGAGTGCTTTTTTCTAGATTTTTTTTTCTTTCTTACGTTTTCATATATATTTATAGATACATATACATATACGGTGCATGACTATCAACGCCGACGCTGGCGGCAAAATCCAGCCGAGAGTGTCCATATAATTGCTATCGCAATACAAGAAATAAACATGGGCTGGGCATGTCGCGCTTAGGCAGGATAACCACTGGTCATTAACGATAACTGACTGGATTCCAGAGATGGCAAGCGGATTAGAGAGAGACAGAAAGTTAGGTGGGCAGATGAGATTATGAAGTTTGCTGGTATGAAGTTGCAGCAGCAAGCACAGGATCGAGTTGACTGCAGATCATGGGAGAGGCTTTTGTCTGCAGTGGACGTAGTCAGTCTGATGATGATATTTAAAAGACACTTTAGGTTTTCATATCGAGGGAGTGGCTTTCTCCATGACGTGTCACGGCAGTGCAATGTCATGGGGGAACAGCAATTTGCAACGTACTGGCAGCAGATCTACCATCTGCTCGAGGTACACGTAAAAAACAATGAGTGCATTGTCTTCAGTGGCCCCTGGCAGCGATTTCTGTAACTCAGGCGGCATGCAGAATGCAGAGTTCGCCAACTCAGAGGAACTGTGCTGACTTGTAAGGATGCAGTGGGGCAGGCTTGCTGATGCTCAACGATGAAAATTTCAACAAGAAAAATATTTTATATGTGCTAGATTAATCTACACTAAAGAGTGAAACGATTTTTCACATATTAGTAAAGTACAATTTTACAATCCCGAAAACACCAGTCTTACCACGAGACGACGCTTCTTACCAAGCGTCTGAGCGAAATGAGCGAAAAGAAAATGCGGGTGGAAGATGTCATCTTAAGATTTCCTTACCAAACACAGTGACATCATAGATTTTGATGGTGTCTACTGGGCCCTACATAGCTTCTAATCGATAAAAATTAAGTACACTGCCATAGATCTAGATTGCGAAGTTTGAGAAAATTTTATCGAGCCAATGTCGCAAAAATACCATCAACAAGTTTTGAGATTTCTGACATCTCTTGCGAAGATTTCAGCTTAAAATTTTAAAATGAAACTGCAACCTTGATTTCTCCACTAATAATGAACTTATGATAGTGAAACATATGGCAATAGAGTTCTCAGAGGGCAGTTTGTCAATCTATACCAAGTCATAGTTTTTCGAGAGCCTTTTCAATCTAGAGTATGAATAGCATTTATATTGCATACAAAGGAAACAACCAATGTCTCTTTTGCAATGTCTCATAATTGTGTCAGTACACCTTTAAGGACAAGCCGGGCAACGCAATGTGCACTAAATTCTGGCAGCCCCAAGAAAACATTAGTTGTATCAGGAACATTAATGTTAGGCCTGAAGCGATTCTAATGAATAACACTCACTGCACTCGCTGAAGGTGAAGAGAGAAAGGACTGAAAGCAAGGAAAGTTTAAAATAAGCGTGGGGGAAAAAAAGACGTCTAAGGCACGTATACCATCACTTTGCGTTAAAAATCAAAGGAAAAAAAAAAGACCTTGTGTATCGTATGTTAGCAGTAGACTACTGATGAGCCACCAAACTTTACGCTGCACATGACAAAGTCTTTAATCTTACAAGAAAATCACTTGAATATCTGAATTAAATGCTATTGACATTAGTACTGATGAAATTGATTGAAAATTAAGTGGGAAAAAAGAATAAGGAGCCAACCTGAAGAATGTTTAATGCTTTCCTCATGTCACCCTGAGCCAGATCCACAAGCGCTTTCTTGCCATCAGCTGTGACAGTCAGCCTAAAGAAAGCAAGAAAAGCCCATCATTAAGACCATTATGACAACTCTATGCACATAGCAGTTTCCAGAGAAGCTCAAGGGAGAGACACACCGCAAAGAGTAACTTGCATGGGTTAGGGCAGCTCATAGATGTGATTACTTTTCCTATTTTTCACATTCTTTATATTCACCTTCATTTCAGAATGCGCGTGCACACACACACACACACACACACACAAACACACACACACACACACACACACACACACGCACACCTGAATTCACCTTTGCACATATAGAAAAATCAATAAGCTCCTTCTTTTCTCATACACTTCAGCAGACAAAGCGCAGGGTGAGAAAATTTCTAGAGCACATATTTAAATATGTAGATACAGTACCGACACACGCAAGCGTATCATTAATATTGTTCAGTGACTGTTCGTTGCCCCGACTAACTAGTGCTGCAGATTTTCGGTCGGCAACAAGAACTTTATAGGACTTCATTCCATACTATTCTAAAAGAGTAATAAGTGAATGGCAGAAAAAAAGTTTTGAGTGGTGAAAAAAAAATGGTGGTAAAAAGGAGCCAGTAAACGAGTTCCGATCATTTTGATTTTTACACTCCGAAACAAGCTTACTAATTCCTGCAAAAGTCCGTGACGATAGCATTTTACAAATATCACAGCATTTCACGTCACCCAGCTGCTACATATCGAATAATTCCTATGTCCCCTTTTCAGTGTTTGTCGAATCCTCCTACTATGCGAAGTGATTGAATCTTGCACATGGGCAACATTACGTGCCCTGATTTCCTTGATTGGTTCTCTACAATATGAAATGGCGCATTGGCTATGCGGTCACACAGTTCTAGCCGTTCTAGCTGCACAGTCCACATTTTTATTTTCCCATGCTGCTTACCCGCCATTTTGGCAGAGCCTCGAGACTATTGAGGCAAGCGGCATCGCAAGAATGAAAGTCTCCGAGATCAACAAGCGTACCATGATTTGACCGCTAGGGAAAGGGTGCTCACTTTGCCAGTACCCCATACCACTCATGCCGCACTTTTTCGCCATGCCATTACGACATGAGCAACACATGGAGGAAGCCTTGCTCGACCATTTGCTGCATGCCGATGACGTAACTGCTGACTTCGTGTTACATTGCCGAAGTGGGTGTACTCGCAACAAAGGACTACGCCTACCCCTCTACACTGATGAGGAGGCTGAAAAGGTCAAGTAAGAATCAGAAACCAGCCGAAGCGGGGTTTTTATATCCTGCAACTTCCTTATTAAGCACTTATTCGCGAAATTCTTGCGGCAGTAAGTTCACCTCACACAATTGAGCAGTTATTTCTCCATCGGAAATTTCTGACTGTGAGGTTGTTTACTGTCTATTTAAATCAAAAGCAATGAGAAGGGCCACACCCCTATGCTACTCATGACATTCTGATCACCACACAATTTAAACTTAGATCCTTTATTAGGCGTGACAGTCTGACGACTACGTATTCCTAGGTAGAATAAGCAGTAGCTGCAGCGAGCTGAGCTGCAACCATGTTCTTCTACAAGGCTTTCATCCACGACATGTGAACACATGGTGGTACATAACTTCCACTTACTGCACATACACGACTTCACTCCAATAACACAGATATAAAAAGCACGCAAAGTCTATATTTGATTTCTGGTGCACTTCTACGATCAGTAGAAATACCCAATCAAGAACTGCCTGAACACTCACTACACATTTCACTGGCTGTCAAACTAGCACAAGCACAACGTCAAGGTTTAATCTGCATCAAAGTAAGTAGTAAGTGCTGTTTTCTATTAATTCCCTGCATGCATTCAGATAGGTTTACAGCTCCTGGCCTAGCGAACACAGCACATGACACTGAATTGGATTGATAAAATGAAAGCTTGTGAGCACATCAATTATTGCCACACATTTAATGTATATTTAAGGTAATTACTGTGCAGTCTGTTTATTACCACTGATATCACAGAGCCACGTCTGATAATAAAGTGCACAAACAAAAAAATAATTCGGAGGGTCTTTTACACTATCATTTAGACAACAGAAAGACAAAAGCCTCAGTTATGATACATTAAAGACTGAAATGTCACATCAGAATTTGAGAAGCCATCTGACTTATTACGTCTCATTTCATGCTTGTTGAGCATCCTCTGCTGCTGCATAACCTTTCAACATAGAAGTGAAGTAGTAAATTGGACTAGTGCATTTTCTTGTGTTTTTTGTCCTTTTTGTGCGCTGATTGTGATGAGACTTTCAGCATAGCACACAATTTAGTAGGTCTGAGCATCATCTATTATGTGCACTTTCCAAGTTACTCCACAGCTGTGAGTAAACCATCTCACACAAATGCTGCTTTTTCTTCTTTTTATTATTAGTCATGCGAACGCCGCTAAGACAAAGTTAATGTGCGAACAGTGTGTCTCAAGTCATAAGGTCACAAGGTGCGCAGGTAGTTAAATGATGTGCAGTTTCACGCTACAGTTGGATCTTCGCTCAAGGCCACACATATTGTTACGGGGAATCTACTTAGCCCGTGACAATATACAGGGTGTTTTTTTTAAGCAGTAGATTTTTTTTGAAAAACTGTAACATTCGCAGCCGATTTCCAGGCCGGAAGGAAAGGCTTTGCAACTAATCAGGTTGCTCAGTAATGACCAATTAATATGAATACTTTAACCAACTTTTTATTATCTATTTAGAGAGGTTATCTATTTAGAGAGGTTATGGCAAAGTTGTTCTATATCACATATTATGGTGAGCCTAGTTTATCAAAAATTTCGCGCATAGTTTCAGAGATATATCATCAAATTTGTAGACCATGATGCCTAAGAAACCGAGTCCTTGTGCTGCGTCATGGAACTTTCCTTAAACAAAAACAGCTAGTATAAGGCCTTTACTATAACATATTCACTTCCACTGAATGCCGTGCAACAGGTGGAAAGATTAATCTTTTCTCGATGCATGCTAGCATTTCATTGGACTGTCTGAAAGATAATGGTTGCTGCACAATGTTATTGGACATGCCACATTCCTTCGCAGTTCTATAAAGTTTTCTTGCAGCAACTGTAGGCTTAACACACCACGGAAGCCGTGGTCTGATAACCACAGTACTAACCACACATATCATCTGTGAGAGTACTCACCTTTACGTACAGTGTAAATAAGAGCGGGTGCTTCAGAAGCCAACTATCTGTATATGGGCATACATATATACGAACACGAGTCATAATTTTCGTGGGTGGAGCAATTTACGCCAAGTTGATGGTGCCTCCTTGCGGAGCTGCCAATTGTGACAGCATATCAATGATCCCTAATGATTGCTGGCATCACTGGATTGAGAAAAAGCCCCAAAATTACATTTAATGTTTTTATACAAAAAAAAAAAAAGACAGGCCTCTGATTTTTTTTACAGATATTTCTTTTTTTGGACAAAAGAATAAGCTCGTTAAAGCAGTATCAAATAATCAGTTCGAATAAACAACCTTTTTGATTGGCCACGTCATTCTTGAATACTGCTGCTGCACATGTGTGATTCCATGCACTCGTGAGAAATATTTCCAATAAAATTCAGTATTAAGTGAGCACCTACCATGTCAACTTATGTCCTTTTGTTCCTGTTTGTTCGCACATAACATTTACACAACATTGTACCAACTGGCACAACATACCATTATCTTAATTTGCATAACTCACCTTTCTTGGGTGATTACGTGATCAATACGAGGTGACATCTGGGCAGCTGTGAGGGGCCCAAATCGAAACCGAGTGCATCGTGACTGCAATGCTGGTATGATCTTGGATAGGTAGTTGCAGATGAGGCAGAACCGGGCATTCTCAGTAAACTTCTCTATCACTGGTCACATGAAATCAAAGGAGGACACTAGGATGAAATAGAAGGCAATCAACAGGTAATACTTTCCTACCAAGAAGTTGCGTAATAATAAATCTTAGGCACTGAAGATAAGAAAGACATAGTCAAAAATATTTTTAATAGCTTATCTTTGCAAAGAACATTAAAATATTTACTTATAAAATGTAGACAAGCGATCAGTTTGATATGAGTAACAAAGCAATTAATTTCTTTTTTCTCTGGGTGGAAGGAGTATAAATCATTACGTGGGTTACACAAAGGTTATGAGTTCAGCTCTTCAGGTGCTAAAGGTAAACAAGGTGCTTTCGGTATACTTTCTTTTCTACATCAACATCAAATGTACATGTAATGCTCTTCTATGATTCATCATAAGGAGTTAAATGTTAAATAAACCTACTTCTCTGGGCTGTTCTTGGTTTTATATGAAATACTAACAATATGTGGGGTTTTACATCTCAAAACCACGATATGATTATGAGAGACGCCGTAGTGAAGGGCTGTAGAAATTTCCGCCTCCTGGGGTTCTTGTGCACTTAAATCTAAGTACACGGGCCTTTAAGCATTTTCGCCTCATCGAAAATGCGGCTGCCACGGCCGGGATTCGATCCCGCAACACCTGCGGATCAGCAGTCGAGCACCATAACCACAGACCGCCGAGGCGGATTAGTTTTGTATGAACATCAAAGAAACGCTGCAGATGAAAACTGTTTTGAAAATTATACACTTAACAACAATGGCTTTCTAATTTCGTTGGGATTTTTCATCACGAAGAAGAAAATCACAGTGCAATTTTTAATTCCTCTAAGCTCACCTCGACGCAATGCATTCTGTGCATCATTGGTCATTGCGTCAGCTTCATCAAGCACAATCAGCTTGAAGCCAGAACTGCAAAAGTAAGCACACCTTAGGTACATGTGAAGCCAAAAGAAAACACACAAATGCTGGTGTTTTGTAGGCAGCCACAAAGTAATCACATGGCTGAATTTAGAGTGAACTTACTTGAATATAGTTTTTGTGCTTGCAAAGCTCAAGATCTCTCCACGGACAATACCGATGCCTCTGTCATCTGATGCATTGAGCTGAAGAAAAAATAAAATACCTAGTAATGTTATACCATAGTACAAAGCACAGGCACCAATTAGTTTACCATACTCATACATTATTTTCTAACGGTATACTAAATATGCAAAGCTCCCCGCAAGGAAGTTTACAAACACCTCCAAATGAACACTGCATGAATTTTTTTTTTATCGCATCAGCAGCATTTTGCTAAAATCAGTTGCTTTCCGTACTTCGCCTAATAGTTGCTGAGCAAAGCTAGGCATTAATTAATTAACATAGACCCTTACCATAGCTTTTTGGGCCCTCATATTATAAAATGACACGTCTACATGGAACGCATGTAATTGTCTGCAGAATAAAGGACTCACCTCAAGCACTTTGGAGGTGAATTCTCTGGGACTGTAGATCTGCTGGGCGCATGCAAGTATTGTAGATGTTTTGCCCGTCCCCGGAGGTCCGTAGAATAGCAAGTGCGGTAGTTTGTCTTCTTTGATGAATCGTCCAACTGCAACAAATATGAGGACACTGTGATACAAAATACTAGAGGCGCCGGAGATATTGATCTTCATATCCCATGGAGACACACAAAACACGCAAGTTTCACCGCAACACGTAAATGGCATATAACAGGATATGCGGTACAGAGTGTTAAGATTTGAAGGAAAGAACTACGCACTCGTGCTGATTATGTCTTCGTGCGCGATCAAGTCGTCCAGTTTCTGCGGTCTGTACTTCTCCACCCTGCGCAATCAAAGAAGCAAGCCTGCCAGCTTTGTTCGTTCTCACATTGCACATGCGCGGACAACATAATTGATAGCGAAACACGGGTTAAAATATACAAACCATGGCAAGTTTGTCGTAGCAGCAGTCATTTCCGCGCGCAAACTTGGCGAGTCGAATAACGCTAATAAGTGGGCGCGGATTGTGCCGACTTGTAAACACGAAGTCAAAAAAGGTTAGTTACACTTCAAATGAATCACGTTTTACGAGGACGGTCACTCGATATAATTTATGAACAACGAGCATGTCTTGTGCAAATAATACAGTTGCTAAATAATTTCAAAGATATTGCGCTTTCGGTCACGACCGCGTCGAGGCACGAAATACAAGATGGACGCGCCCAGCAGCAAAACGTTACGCGATATGTGAGACCGCTCGTGCAGTTAGATGAAATCGGAATGGTGCTTCTTTGGTCGCGCGATTGTCGAACTTTGCTGAAGCATCGACTAAAGAACTCGGCGAATCAAGAGCTTATTTTGTTCTGGTTCTGTGCTCTGTGGCAACACCCGTAGCAAGGCGATCGTCGACCGGCGATGTGTACTCAGGCAGCGTTGACTCAGGATTTGCAAGCTGTAAGTTACATCGTTCAAATGAATCCTCTCCACCGCGGCGAGAATACTAACTTTGTCGTTTGACCGTTGCAGGAAGAGGCAGAGGTTCTGCTTTCGATATACGATGGTGACGAGAACTTTAAGCAGTTATCCGATAAAGTGTACCAGTACAAGGTGAGTAACCACACTGTGCACATGTGCAGACCTGTTGCTGTCTTGTCGCTGTGACGAATTATTTTGTTTTTTGTACCCCTCCGACTCTAGATTGGCGATCATGACACCCACAAGTCGTTTCTTATTGAAATTAGTTGGCCCGATAACTACCCAGTCGATCCTCCAGTTTTTAATATGGACACCTTCTACAACAAACACATGTAAGCTAGTTTCAGCTCAATGCCCGCGTTAAAATTGGATACATCTTAAACAGTTCATGTTGTACCATGTTACAACTTACCTATTGTCAGTTAGTGTGTAGGTTGTTTGTTTCAAGTCAGCTGTACTTTTCACGTTATATTATTCTCGCAGAATTTCGGAGGTCAAGGAAGCAGTGGTAGCAGCACTGAAAGAGCAGGTAAGCTGTAGATGTATTTAAAATAAAAATATTCAAGGCGCATGTTTTATTTTTTTATTCTCATGTATGAGCCTGCCACCGAATCGCTGTCGATGCACTTAGTGTAGTCATTTAAGTAGAATACCTGAAGTTCAACGTTTTGAAAAGAAACTTGTCTTCATCGGGGTTAAGACAAGTCGCCATAGCAAAACGCTGGCTCCAGCGATATTTGTTGTTCCTTAACATCTTCATGTACGCATATTTTGCAAATAAGCTGCTAATCAAACAGTTCCGCTGATTAAATATTCATGTTTGCAGTGCTGCTCCTAATTAGTGCCTAGAGTGTACGATTGCAGCCATTTCTTACAAGGTACCGATAAATCTCAACAGACGTCTATGCTTGCATTGAGTGAGCTACACAAAATAAGTCTGTCATTATTGTGATGCACATTTGAAGTTTTGTTTATGCAAAGTTTTATCCCAGCAGTATGCTGCATGAGTACAAAACAATGAATCTCATAGTTGGAGAAGCTTCACTGCATTGTAATTAAACTGTTGCAGTGCTTGATGTCTCAAAATTTTAACGCTATTGTGACCAGCATTTCTTCGTGTTAGAGCTCTTGCGCTTCCTTCCTTCTTTGCACTCGAGATCATTAAATAGAGAGTTGTGCCATTTAAAGAGTGCATGCTTGCATGCACTCTTTAAAACCTGCATGTTTGCTTTGTTACATTAATAACATCTGCCGATTTAAGCATTTGGGTGTGTTGAAACTTTCACTGCAACAGATTATTCACTATGATAAGCATTAAGGAGTACTTAATAAACTCGCAAGTTATACCAATTTCTCCTGGATTTGCCATTGTCCCCTTCTCTCTACTACCTAGGCAGAGATGGAACTGGGGAATGCTATGACGTACACACTTCTTGAATGGATCAAGGAGCATGCAGAGGAACTCACTGAAAAACAGCCAGAGGTGGTGGCAGCTACAGACATAGAGGAAGAACAGCCAAAGGTAATTTCATTGTTGTTACTTATGTCGCGTGTATAGTCTGTAGTTCATACCAGCATCACATGATGCTCTGCTGATCCCGATTAAACCCAATGCTGATAAAATGGCTCAACAGTGATTGGCTCTCTTCTGCAGATTGCGTAATGAAGTAGATCACGGTCAAGAAACTTGATCCTTATCAGGGCTAATCGCAATAAAAGTGACTGCTCGACATTGGTATTACTTGTTGCCATGGTGGCCCAGTATATTCCGTTGCTGCACTAGAAGTTACAGGTTTGGTTATCAATTGTGGCAGCTGCATTTTGGCGAAGAATGCTAAACTGCTTATACACAGCTCTTTTTGTGTATGGTAATAATATCAGAAGTTCGACATGCCAAAGCCACATTATGTTTATGAGAGAAGCCATAGTGGAAGGCTCGAGAAATTTCCACCATCTAGACATGCACTGATATCGCACAGGACACAGACATCTAGCATTTCGCTTCCTTCGAGATGCGACTGCCGCGACCGCGATTGAACCCATGACATTCAGGTTGGCAGCCAAGCACTGCAACCATTACACCATTGCAGTGGACTTCACGTATATTATGTTAAAGTTAACAGGTACAGGTGGTCTAACACAAAATTTTGAAACTGAACATTTAATATCTCCTTTACTCTCTTATTAATCTAGAAGTTTCAAAATCAACTGGTAAATTGATTTGATTAAAACTTGAAATGAGTTATCTTTAGCACCATTTAAAGGGACACTAAAAAGATTGTTCTTATGCTATTATTCACTCATTCACAATTCGAAAGCACCATGCTTGCTGCAAGAAAATGGACAAATATAAAATATGAGCGGCGACGCCACCGTGAAGGTCCCGCACAAGTTGCCATGATGTCATAGAGTTATACTACTTTGACTTTTGACTAGGGCCTGTGTAGTTCCTAATCAGTAAAGTGGAGTACATTGTCTTCTGAAGGAGCCAAAAAATTAGCATACCAACTTTCAGAAAATTTCGTTGAGCCAAGATATGAGAAAACACTTTGAAATTCACAGCGTCACCGCTAGAGATTTTGGCAGAAAACTTGCATTGATTTTCTCATCTGTTAATGAACCTGCATTGGTGAAATTAACAACTCTAGGATTTTCATAGCATAATTCATCAGTCTAAACTAATTTGTAGTTTCACTTTAGTGTCTTTTCAAAACGAGACCAAAGAGAATGATTTCTGCTGTATTACTAGATCACCCTTTCACAATGCCAAGTGCATGCGACAATGCCAGCTGCAAGTTTCACCTTGGTGGTATCTACTAGGACCCCCATAGTTCTTAGTAAAAGTGTTCTGCAACGTCCTTGAAGGGGTGCATGAATATGATGCCCCGAATTTCAAAATATTATGTTGAGCTGATGCGACCGCAATACGAAAAAACACTGCAAAACAGTGTCATGCTGATATGAAAATTCGAGCACCAATGTCTGACCTTCATTTTCTCTTACAAATACTAAACCTACAGTTCTGAAACTATTAACAAAGTTTTCAAGCGGTCAAAATACATATGTATATGTATGTACCTTCATGCAGCTTTCCGTTTTCTGTTCTTTTTAAACATATTTCGACATCAGTATTCACTAAAACAAGTGTTTGCTTTGCAAGATGCCTCAGCCTAGACAAATGTACACATATGCATTTTTTGGCCGTCTTACATATACGCGACCAAAGCTGAACCGAGTGCAAGAATGTCGAGCTTGTTAGAGCATTTGCGATACTTCTTTACCATTGTTTTATTTTACTAAGTTCTTAACTTGAAACCTGACCTACAAAGACATACCGGCAGTACGTTGTGCAGCTGCATTGGTGGACCGTTTCAGCTTGTGCCTTTAGGAGCCAGACTACTGTAGCCGTTCTTAAGCAAGAAAGCATAAACGGTGCTGCATTCATTTTTCAGGAGCCGCAGATCTCGGCCAAAAAGGAAGCGAAGCAACCCAAGCTCAGCAAGAACCAGAAACGCAAGCTGGCTGGCCGTGTACTTCCCACTGGGGAGCTTCCCAGGGGTCACGACTGGGTCGACGTTGTCAAACACCTCACACAGACTGGGTCGGCTGTGTCATAACCAAGCACTTTGATTAGAAGACTACAGCAACTGGGATGCAGCAATGCTCTTGTGAACTTTGTGAAGCAACACTCGGCCCAGGAAACCCCGTGTCAGTCGCAGCGTTTGATTCACTGAAACTAGCTTTGCGTTAGTGTTGTGATAACTGCATGTTTAACACTGCGGTTTGTGATAACACTGAGCTTTGCGTTAGTGTTGTGATAACCGCAGTGTTAAACATGCAGTGTCCAAATTGTTTTACCATGAACATTACACCAGACTCGTGTGAAGGGACTGCAATAGCCCACCTTTAACCAAAAAGTACAGCATTTAAAATTGAAAGTTACCCAGAAGTGCCCAGAAATGAGTTTTTGAAGTTCACTCTGCTTTGACCACGAACTTTTCAGACGTAAATGTCACACTCTTGTGAGCTTCATTGTGCCTCTGTTAGCTGCTACCAAGTCGGCATATAGCACAGTTCACTTATGTCAATGAGAAAGTGGGAGAATACAATCGCTATGATTGTGTGTTGTAGTTTTCAGTGTCATTGTAAACCTTCAAAGCACGATATGGTAGATTGGCCCAGCTTTGAAATCTGTTACCATAAGTGGACTGTGTCATGCTATCTGAACCGACATCATAACACTACGTATTTTGCATTGTTGTTTCCTTTCCTACATGCATGTGTTTCCATGTGTAGCATACAAGTCACAAGCTACATGTCTCTCCACAACAAACAGCAGCAGCAGTAAACTTGTTCACCACTCAAACAGTAAATTGGGGAGTTCCTTTGCCTCTCTTCATTCTTTAAGAATCATCAGAAAATTTGCATTTTGATACTCCGCAAGTTTACTGGCACTGCTCTTTTCCATAAGCTAAAGTACTAATGTTAGACTATTTTCGAAGCCGCTTAGTTGCTGAGTGAGTGACATAATAGCCAATGCTGCAGTTAGGAATTGCACAGATTGTTACATCACCCTAAAATAAAATTTAAACTAAAAGGTTATTGGTCAAGACTGTGGATTTCAGCTTCCCACAGGCCTTGTGTCCTTCACAGTTTTTCAGCCCTAATAGCATTTGATGTGGAAAGTCAACACAATGCAACAACGCATGTTTATTTTAGACAAGTGTGTTAGGATTCCTTTGCGATTGCAGAGCTTTCCTGTAAAGCACTCTTCTTGCCAGGTTTGTCGTCTTAGTGGTCAACTTGACCACTTTGCATGAATTCTTTACACAACTCGGTGTTAATATGTAATAGTGAAAATTATTAAATCACACATTCAACGTGCCTGACTTAAATTGAAAATATAATGTCAAGCTCTTTTTTTGTGTATTATAAAACCCATGTCTGACTAGTAATATTTAGCATTGCTACAGTTCTGTCTGGTGCTTTTAAAATTGAATATATGTAACTCATCTAATATCTTTACTGTCGCAGTACTGAAGCTAGTATGCCGTTACTGACATCAACAATTTAAACAAGGGCTTTTCTCATGCTTATGTTGAGCTTGCTGCTGGATCCCTTGAATTAAATGAATATTTTTTAAAACTGTAAACTTAGAAACTCTGCAGTCTGGAACCTTTATTTTTCATGAAATATCCAACAGTAGACTTTTCAAGGCTTTTGCCGCATAACTTGGTCATGAGAATGTACAGAATTAAAGAAATATTTACTCATTATTTGAAAGCGTTGTGTCTCACTATATGACCAGTCATGTGCAGAGCTATAAGCTATCTTACAACAACTTACATTGCTTAAATGAGAGACTTAGCATATTCAGTTAGAGATGCAAACGGAAAGTGGAGAGCAATGGTGCTCTCACAAAAACGCACACATAGCAAATCACCAGGCAGGCATTGGAATGAGCACTGGAAATTCACATATTAGTTATATTGAAATTACTGAGCAGTACGTAAGGTGGAAAAGCTAGTATGTACAGCACGCAATACTTCATTTTTTCAGGCCCTACATATTGAATAGAAGCACGGATAATGCCAGCCGCACTAGCAACGTCCTCGAATTAACTCTTCAGGCACTTCAACAGCATAAACTTTGGTAACACCAGATAGGGAAGATTCGGGGTCCCGGTGCTTAGCACAGCTGAGCACGGTAGAGACAGTGAGCAGGAACTAATGCACATGGGTTAATAGAAGGTGCTGTACAACGGCTGAAACCCTCTCCATATACATTCAACATGGTTCAATTGGGAACACTAGAATGAACAGCTGCACAAACACCTGGCTTCAGAACCAGGCCAGGTGGACGACATTCTTTCTGTAGGCTTGATACCACACTGCGAACAGTACGGCAGCGACTGTCAGAGCGCCCTTCCAGGTTCCAGAGGCAGCTACCTAGAGCACCCGCGAATCGCGCACAGCGCCACAGCCTTCCGCGGTTCCGTGCCGCCACGACGGGGCGTGCGTGTTCCGTCGCGCCGCCTGGTGCGAGCCAGCTCGGCCTGCAGCTCCGAGGGAGGGTGCTCTTCGAGCAGCTCCCTGGCGTGGACGATGAGTTTCTCGAAGGGCAGGTCGCCCTCGACCAGACGCGACAGGTAGCTGTGAACGGGCGCCATGTCGCAGTCCAACGCTAGAATCTCGTCGCGGGCGTGCAAGACGACCGCCTGCCGACAGGTAGATCGGCATCCAGGGGTGGCTCGACAGGAACAGATCGAAGAGACGCACCACGGTGTCGTAGTCGGCAAGTACGTGGCCGAACCACGTGATTACCCAGCTGAGGCAGAACATAATGCCCGACCTGGGCCCGGTCCAGGAAGTCCCGAAGTTCGGGGCACTCGTGACCGAGAAGGGGGTAGATGTGCTCGAGCATGTCGGCCGTGCGCGCCATGGTCTTGTCCATGAAACGGCGCAGGTTGGAACACGAGAGCCGATCGACCAGAAGGAAGCCTATTTCCTCGCCCAGAACCAGCAGAATCGTAACGCAGATGTCGTGGTATCCCTGGTAGTAGTGCAGCTCGGGGTTCTTCATCAGAACGCGCATGATCATAAACACGAGCCGGTCCTGGAGTGCTATGCGCTGCCCTTCGGCGATACTAGGGGGGAAACGCTTGAGCGAGCGCTTGACGTCGAGAACCACTTGCGAGTAGTAGGCGTGCTGTTCTATCTCGGCGAGCGACGGTCGCGGCGACGTCTCGTATACGTTGACACCGCCGATGCGCGGCCAGACGAGACGCCGGTAGTCGTCGCAGATCAGGCCCAGCTCCTCCACAGCGGCCATCTTCAGGCCCACCGTGCTGCCGTCGGCGAGAGCGCGTTCGATCATGCGGCGCTTTCGGGACACCAGAGCCCAGTCGATGCCGTCGTCGTGCTTCACCTCTGCGTCCTTGTCTTCGACTGTCTCGGCTTCGCTCTGGTACGCCCGCTCGTGCTCCGGCAGGTCATCCGGGGCTCCCATGTCGGACACTCGATCGAATCCAGTTTCGGATAGGACTTTGATCTCTTTTGACGACGGCGCACGCTCACCCAGTCGTTCCTCTTGCCGCTCGGCGATGCAGACGCCGCTGCTCATGCCTGTTGTGAGGCACGACACGTCGTTTCAACGCTCGGAATAGCTGTATTAGTAATGCAGTACGTTTCCGCGAGCGTCGTTTTCCTCAAACGAAACTACGACGCCGCAAGAATGAGTAATACACACTCGCAAAGCGGTCCTCCTCGGCGATGTCGGCGACACGAACGCAAACATACACAGCAACTATTACAGTGTTAGCAACTGAAAGTATCACAACACATGTACAATGTATATCACAAACTTTAGCCCTTAATAAATATAGCAAATATTTACGTTCACAGCTGCAGCACAATGATTACTGACTTCTGTGGTTTGTTCAGGAAATAAAATAAATGTATTTACTCAAATACAAGTATCAGATATTTAAAACATTCAGTCCAAGCGCGATAAACATCAAAATTTTTGTTTGACGACGCCTTCGTAGCGAGTAAAAAAGACAAAACAAAAGATCGCTTTCTCTTCAAGCGAAGCTACGCAGCTCATTTGCAAAGGCAAAAATGGCGCAAGGAAAACTCAAGGTGAAAACTTCGAAAGCCCGTAAATGCAAAACGTCCAACTGCCCAGGCCAATCTGCGGGGCGTTTCGAAGTGTAAGAAAGCGTCAACGTTTTACTCTCGCGTGCTCGTCGCTTCAGAACATTGCCAATGTTAGTGTTTTCGACAATCGCTTTATTTCATTGTTTCAGCTCGCACTGGGCCTAAAAAAGCCAAAGCTATCACGGCGAAACAGCAAGTCAAAGTGGTAAGCGCTTCAAGATTTATTTTCTAGGCGAAATGGCTGATTGAGACCTGCGCGCGTTTTTGGCGCGTTTTCGCCACGGCGTTGTCGTCGCAGCCAGGTCGCAGCGGTCACCATCTGTTGCCTGGTGGCGGTAGCGCTGCAGTCGAGTTACGCTCGTGTCGTCTGCTAGTAAGCACAGGTCATGGCAGCGCACGTAACGTGTACTAGCAATCCCTTTTCTAATAAATGCTCACAAATTTTTGGTCGTCGGCATAGTAGGCTGTTCTATATTCAATGCTTCCGAGCGCATAGAACGACACGAGAAAGACATCAGCTCTGCGTGCACTTTTCTTTGCTGTAGTGTTACGAAAACAGGTCAACTAGGTAACGCGTGTATGAGCCACAAGAGAAGGTGAACAAGAACAGGATGAGGGTACCGTGCATGAGTTTGGAGAAAGGCCGACTGTTGTAAGAGAAAAATAACGATAATAATAGCACCTATGTTGAAGCGCCTTGGGTGTCAGCTTCTCTTCACGCCTCTTTTTGCTGGCATGAAAGCTTTGTAGAATTAAGACAACGCGTTTCTTTTTTTTTTTCCAAGAAAAATGTGTCGACACACTTATATATCGTCGCAAAACAAAGCATTACGTACTAGGTTCCTTCCTCTACATTTAACGCGGCGCCTGGATTACTGGGGCCTTACGTTTACGCGTGACGTGGCTATAATAACTGTTCTTCGCAAGAATTTATTTACTTAAAATCGTGCAGGAACGCAGAAATGGCACTTCATTCGTGGTCGAGCGTGAATGTGTGGCGCACCGTATGCGCGCTGTCTTATCGTACGCACGGCGCATCTATTGAAATCACATCGTGCACCTGACAGAAACGACGGCGCAGTTAAGTTACAGGTTCTTCTTACAGCGCGGAGTCAAGATTTTTGTTGCGCCTTTAATCGTTGACAGGAAAGCTAGCATCATCATCAACCAGCACGCGCTCTCTTGGTCATCATCTTCACTCGATAAACACGTGCTCCGATTTGTCCAGCGTGAGATGCAGTAGACTCTGATGGGTGAGATGAGTGAGATGGGTGAGATGACAGGTACCGAGAAAGGAAGATTGTTTTTGGCGAAACTTGATTTGTACCCGCGTACAAGCTGTTTACAAAGGCAATTGCTAACAGAGTAATGAAAACATTAGAATTCAATCAACCAAAGGAACAAGCATTATTTAGAACAGGCTACTCAACAGTTGACCACATTCATACTATCAATCAGGTAATAGAGAAATGCTCAGAATATAGCCAAACACTACACATAGCCTTCATGCATTACGAGAAGGCGTTTGATTCAGAAAATATCAGTAGTCATGCAGACACGATGGAATCAGGGTGTCGATGAAGTATATATAAACATCCTGGAAGAAATATACAGGGGATCAACTGCTACCATAGTGCTTCATAATGAAAGCTACAGAATACCAATCAAGAAGGGTGTAAGGCAGGGGGACACAATCTCCCCAATGCTATTTACCGCGTGCTTACAGGAGGTTTTCAGAAGCCTTGAATGGGAACAGTTAGCGATAAGAGTTAATGGAGAGTACCTTAGTAACCTGCGCTTTGCCGATGACATTGCATTGCTGAGTAACTCGGGACGAATTGCAACTCATGATTACAGAGTTAGACAAGGAGAGCAGAAAGGTGGGTCTTAAAATAATCTGCAGAAAACGAAAGTAATGTACAACAAACTCGGAAGAGAGCAGCGCTTCGAGATAGGTAATAGTGCACTTCAAGTTGTAAAAGACTATGTCTACTTAAGGCAGGTAATAACCGCGGAGCCGAACCACGAGATTGAAGTAACTAGAAGAATAAGAATGGGGCGGAGCACATTTGGCAAGCACTCTCAAATTATGACAGGTAGATTGCCACTATCCCTCAAGAGGAAGGTATATAACAGCTGCAACTTGCCGGTACTTTGCTATGGAGCAGAAACCTGGAGACTTACAAAGAGGGTTCAGCTTAAATTGAGGACTACGCAGCGAGCAATGGAAAAAAAAGTGGTAGGTGTAACCTTAAAAGACAAGATGAGAGCAGAGTGGATTAGGGAACAAACTGGGGTTAAGGGTATCATAGTTGAAATCAAGAAGAGGAAATGGACATGGGCCGGGCATGTAGTGCGTAGACAGGATAACCGCTGGTCATTAAGGGTAACTGACTGGATTCCCAGAGAGGGCATGCAGATTATGGGTAGACAGAAGGTTACGTAAGCAGATGAGATTAAGATGTTTGCGGGTATAAACTGGCAGCAGCAAGCACAGGACTGAGTTGACTGGCGGAACATGGGAGAGGCCTTGTCCTGCAGTAGACTAGTCAGGCTGATGATGATGATGATGACCAACGATTCGAAGGAAAGTCGTAACCACTCAGATATCCAGGCACGCCAGCAGAGCATAGCATAGCCTTAGTACAGCATGGAGCTGGGAAAGGGAAGTGATGGTTAGGAGGAGGAGGATCACATAGAAATGAATAGAATAACGACAGAAAGAATGAGATATAAAAGGGAGGATGAAGCGATAGAGAGAAGGAAAAATAGAAAAAGTGAGAGAGAAATAGAAAGGGAACAAAGCCAAGAAAGACAGAGTGAGAGATAACGCACTTTATTTGCACCCGTCAGAGAGTGTGGGTGATATGTGCGACGCAAAACTCAGGATATGTCAGCCTAGCTGGTAGCAAAGCGGGCAGATCCATGCTCAGGAAATTGGTCTACCAGAACCGAAAATACCCCGCACCCCCCTTTATCTCTAGAAGCACTCCCCATACACAGTGAGCAGCACAGGAGAAGCAGAGTCCAAAGATTCCCTCGTCCAAAAAAAGACAAGTCGAGCTAATCTTGAACAGCGGCATGAGACACACATTCATCAGATGAGGTAGAGATGGCAATCACAAACCCATCAACCATAACCACCAATTCTAAAAAAGCAGTCAAAGCTTACGACACTGGTAAGGTGTGCAAAGAAGCCAGCAAAATTTGGCGAGTAGGCAAGGAGAGCGTTCTCAACGACTTGATTAGAATATGGGCACCCGCCCGTAGAAATAATAGGGAACGAAGTCCGCCGAGGACGCACTCGCCGGGCCCTCGGACAGGCCGACTACTCCCTGTCCAAAAAACGACTTAACCACATACAAAGAAAGCCACTGAAAAAAAGAGAGAGGAAAAAGTGAAAAATAAAAAAGAAATCAAGAAGGCCGCCCACCACCGCGCTTCTTCCAGGCTCGGCTTCTCTTCGCAGACGGCTCCCTGGGCGCCACCATAATCCTTTCTGGGCTGACCCCCCCCCCCCCCCCCCAAAAAAAAAAAAAAAACATGCGCTGCCGAGATTTTGACGCCTGCCTTTGTGCTTCCCGTGCCCAGCCCAACATAATGGAGCTTTTTTCTCCTGTGGGAGCCTTAACTTTCTCTTTTTCATTGCGAGATTGTTGGCACACGAGGTTATCGCATGCAGGATATCCTTCATTACTGCGGAAAAGTATTGAAGAGCTCTGCATAGTATAACTTATTCATAAGAGCTGGTATATGCACCACTTTATATCGTCACGCCGCCACGAACCTGGCCACTAAATTCGTTGTTGGCTTTCATGAAAGTTTACGAGTGAATCTTACACTATTGTGACAGGCAGACGCTGCAAACAAAAGTATCCATGCATTTTCACGCCCTTAATTCAGTGAGCACTGTGAAATGATTTAAACTCTAACCAAAAGTTTTCTGAAGGAAACCCGACGTTTCGGAACCGCGAGTAGTAACCTTCTCCTCCAGTTAGTCTCGCCTTCAAGGATGGTCGTTGCTTTCTCAAAACATCAACCGCTCTCTCGGAACCCTTCCCCCAGTGTATACACATGGACTGCGCTCCACGGCAAAACGAGAGCGAAGGGGAGCTCATTCACCGCCTCGCGAGTTTTTTTGAAGACGCCGCTGCTACGTAGTTTCAGTTGCCCTGATGAAGGAACCAAGTAGGTTCCGAAACGTCGGGTTTCTTCAAAAACTTTTGGTTGGGGTTTAAATCATTACCCAGTTTTCATACCCAACCAGAGAGACATCTGTCGAATGTTTACATTCAGTGAGCACTGTGCATCGTTTTATACGCGGATAACTAATTAGCGTGCGTGTGTTCGCAGGCTTTGGAGAAAACGATCCGGAAGAACATCGAGCAAGAACTTCGTTCGCGGGCCACGAGCGAGGGCAAGCCAGTTCGCGACCACTGCGGGTGCCACCCCAAGGCAGCTCCGCAGCCGGAAAGAAGAAACGCGGGAAGAAGGGAAAGAAATAAAAGCGGGCCTACAGGCTTTCGGTCACGGGGTGCATGCACCAAAAGCTGCGCTGGTCACATCTTCAATCGTTATACAGCTTGTGCCTCTTGTGCGGCAGGCGCATGGCTAGCTTCGCTAGTCGGCGTCAAATCCCGATGGCTCCCTGATGGGAAACGACTCTTCTGCGCACTGCTGCATTTACTGACAGGACAAGCATAGTTGGCCTGCTTCTGCCGTCTTCATAAAAACGATGTTGACTTTGCAGCGGATACCGATAAGACGGAACAAAGCGAATGACACATAACACGCATATTCACACATCGCCATGTATACATGTTTTTGTACATAGCGCTGCGTATGTGCGCGTTTGTTCCATCTGAGATTTCACATTGGATGCTCACCAACAATTCTGCCATGTAACCTGCAGTTCTAACATTCTAGGCGGCGCCGTGTCACAATATACTGAAAGGAGTGTACGGGGAGGGGGGGGGTAGCTTAAGGGGTTCTGATGTCACCGGATGTATCTTTGATGGAGGTAACAGGAGCTAAATTCGTGAAATAAGGCGAATGCCCTGAGCGACTCGTTTGGTGGATTCCGTGCTGAACGGTTGTGTCATCCGCGATCTCCTGAGCTCTCGCGGAGCGATGCCCCGCCCTCGGACTCCACCGACCGTGTCCCTCATCTTTCCTATCTCTTCTCTCGTCTTTCTTCACTTGTGTGCGGCGAGTGTTTCGTTTCCTTTCTTTTTCTACTTTTTTTTTATCCCCTTACCACATCCACAACAATTAAGGAGCCTAGCCAACGAGGCAGACAGAAGTTAGCTCTTTTTCTTACATTTTGTTCAAAAACCATTTACTACTGTGCCTCGATCGCTGGTATGTAGAATAGGCATGTCAGCGTTGCATGTCAGACAGATACGAAACAGCGTGTTGACCTCGGCACACAACTGCTTCATTAAATTCGCTTAATAGGGAATGTAATCTCTATATGGTTAAACGAGTAGCCGTGGTCCAGTGGGTAGTTTGGAGGAGTCAAACTCCCCGCCCGAAATTTTCGCGTTTTGTACGCGCACACGCATGAACACGAAAAGGGTAGCACGATTTTAGCGAAGTGCTGTAGTCCTCGTCAGTGACAAACTGCATTGTTCATTGCCCATTAAATAGATGGTTAATAATTGTTATATATCCACAACGACCTATTTATATTAAAGATATGTGATCAACTTGTAAAGAAAAACTTATTCAAGGTTCAACACTACCGAATAATGAATGACACAGATAAAACCGCAGTGCTTGCAAAAAAAAAAATGAGCAGCTTGACTCGTGAAAAGAGGAAAGCATTTTGATTGATATGTGGGCTTTGTGCTTGTGTGATATGCGTGTGATATAGGGGAAACATACTCTCATTAAAATACAAGATCAAAATTCCGGCCGTGATACCCTGTGAGTGTTTTATTTTTGTTTCACAGCAAAGCAGCAAAAAAACGCGTTTTTTCAGCGTTTAGTCTCACAAGCATCTCGACGTCGCACTCGACTGATAACCCCGCAATATGGCGCCGACTGACAGCGTCTCCAGGGAAGCCATTTTGGGCACCGCCATGGTAAAATCCCGCAAGAACGACATTTGAAGCCAATCGGCCATGCGTAGCAGTCCTCTGAACCAGTCAGAGTTGACAAATGCTGGAATTTAACGACGTGTCGGAATCGAAGTATCGAGAATAGCACCCGGTGTGCCATGGCGCAGACATTTTCTACTGAATGGTGAGCACGTTGTCGTGGAATCGTTCAAGTGCTGTCTTGCGATCGCCAGCTCTCTGTACTGCTGGAGGAATTCTGGGCGCTCAGGAAGGTTCCTGCGCTTGATTCTTGACCCGTCCAGGCCAGGAAAGGGCACCTTCAACTATAACGGACAGAGAAATATTGGGACATATCCGCGACACTCAGTGACTGGTCTCCATGAAAACAGCGCGTGAAAAGGCTAATGTATGTCAACACAACCGGTGGGAGAAGTTCACGCAATGCGAACGAACGTGACACGTGATAATAATAATAATGTGAGTGCGACAAGCGAATTACTCTTCATTCTCTTTAGATATCATCATCACCTGTACATCTTCATCACCTGTAAATATCACCAGTGTGCAATCCCCCATGGTGGGTTGCGCCAGGACTCTGAAGAACAACCAACCAGTGTGATTTTAGCTCGAGTCTGGCTGAATAAACCGGTTCCTCACAAGTGGTGGAGGTGCTGGGTGTGGGTAACAATTGTGGGGTTTCATGCCCCAAAACCACAGTATGGTTATGAGGGCTCTTGAAATTTTGGGGGGAATAATTCTTTTTGAAAGAGCAGAGCGATCGAGACTTTTTTTTTTTTTAATGTAAGTTACTGGGAAGACGCTTACGTTGCAGCTGTCTCTTTTCGAGACGAGCTTGTATTTCTTGGCCCTGTACAGTTTCTTCCTTTTGTCGAAGTGGATGACGACGAAGTCGCACAGCACGGTGGCCTGCGTGAGGAAATGTCGGGAAAAAAGAAAGAAAGCAACGTTTTCTGACCCTACAGTGATATATAAGGCGGGATAGTCTGTGGTGGCGGTAACTACTTAATAATAACACCGGCCAATTCGTGACCTGGGCCTCAGTCCATACCTGTCGGCCACCTCCCGGGCTCTGTCTGTGGCCCGAAGCTGAACCCGAACCAGGTTGTTAGCGACAGTTATATTTTTTTCTACGCCTCAGGTGAGGAAGCGACCAAGAGATTAGATAAGGAGAGTCTTTCTCGCAGTTCCAGGGAGAGAGAGATCTCCTCAATAGTTTCTAAAAGCATCACTTCACAAAAAAGGCTCGTATTATCAACATGTCAGCTACCACTATTCCTGAAGTGGAAATATATACGTTAAAGTTACATTTTTTGCAAGCTACACATCTCGTTCAAAAACAATCGTGTCGGAGAACGTTACAATTAATGCATGGCGTCTTTACGAACCTAAACCGCTACTATACTGCAACAATACTCACCACTACGAGCAGTCCGAGTCCCGAGCCAAGAGTGACAGCTATGGGTATGATGCTCGTTCTTCCCGCTGATGCTGATGCTGATGACCTCTGATGGATGGCGCTTACCCACAAAGGGGGATGGGCCAAGAACCGGGCGGCAGGATACTTAAATGAAACTAAACTGAAAATGAAGCCAATCTGAAAAAGTAGCTTAAAATAATACTTCCAAAAAACAAAAATGTGTGCTGAGCAAGCAGTCAAACCATCTTTTGTTTTTGAAAGACATAACTACGAATTATAAACTAAAGATCTGAAAAGGTAGTGGTTCACTAGCATGGTAATCTTTTAGTTGCGTTGATGTAATCAAACACAGCGGAGCATACATCCCTGTGGCAGTAACCAAATGAAGTTCCGCCAAGTGATAAAGTTACTGGTAAATTTACTTGTATTCCTAGCTTTTGTAAAGGGGCTACTAAAAATATTTTTCTCTGATAAGAATAACGATGACAGAATAAAAAGAAATGTTCAATTGTTTCAATTTTGTTGCACCAAATGCATAGCGGTGACGCATTGAGCTGAGCTTTATTAAGGTAATAATTTAGTTGTGGAACTGCACAGCGCAATCGGGTATAAGTGACCTCTAACTGGCGAGATACACACCACTGTTTATTCCAGCAATAGCTCAGATGCTCGAAATCTTTGAATTTATCCAAATTACCTTTTCCCCATTGCAGGCAAGCATTTCGGAACCTTAGCGCGGTTACGTAAGCAGTATCTGGCAAAACTGGGATGGTGGGCCCACCCAGGGATACTGCTGCTAAAGAGTCCGCCATTTTGTTCAAATATAATCCGCGGTGGCCTGGTACCCATAGCAAATGCAGTTTTTTTACGTTTTTCGGTACTAAATGCCGAAACGTATTCATCAGCTCTGAATTTACTGCCGCAGAAAGTGCATTACAAACTGATAACGAATCTGTAATGATAACTGCTAATGATTCGCTTGAGGGTAATTTGCGTAGGGCAAGAACAATGGCCAATAATTCTGTCATGAATACCGGGGTATAATCTGGGAGTCTAATCGAAAAGGACCAGTCCAAAGAAGGAGAGAAGATGCCAACCCCAGCCTTTTCTTTTGACACAGATGCATCAGTCGCTATGATATTGCTTATCTCTAGGTGGGCTAGATAATCTGCTAACTGGTCATTTAAATACCTATATGCCAATTGTTTCGCGTTATGAGGAAATATATCATCGAATTGTATGCTAAGCATTGACTTTAGGTTGTGTATTGGACCAATATGTCTAATTTTTACATTCAGTTGCTTTAGTAGCGCTTGTGCAAATACTATTTGCGGGGTGTGTAGTCGGGACCAATGGGTTTCGAAAAATAAAGTCGGTTCTTGAATGAAAGTGTAAAATGAGAGTCTTTGGTGTGAACTGTATATCTTTAAGAATGCTTGCACAGTAAGAATTTTAAACCTATTTAGCAGAGAAGGTAGGCGAGCTTCCATATACAACACGTTATTTGCAACAAACTTTGGTAGACCCAGACACAAACGCAACGCTTCTCTTTCCAGCAGTATTAGGGGTCTCATTTTATATGCTGCGCTGCCAGAAAATAATACACATCCGAATTCCATGATGGGCCGCACATAAAGTTTATATATCATTATTAGCACATCTCTTCTTAAACCCGCTCTACGGTTTGCAAGCTTCCGTAGCCACCCCGTGGCCCGTGTTGCCTTGGAGTACACATCATCAATGTGACTTCTCCAATTTAATGTGTCATTATATATGATGCCCAAATATTTAAGGGCATTCGCCTGCGGAATGAGCTCATTACTGTACATTAACGAGATGTCGATAGGCTGCAGAAAAGAGAATGCAAGGAGCACACTTTTCTTTACGTTCAGTGTCATATGAACATTCTTAAGCCATCTTTCTATCATATTGAGATAATTTTGTAGACTCTGGTATAATGATTGAAGGTCGGTATTACTTGCGAAGAAAGCAATATCGTCCGCGTACACATATAACTGAATATCCTTAGTTGATGGAACGGAGCTTAAGAAAATGTTAAATAAAACTGGCGACAGGACAGCCCCCTGTGGTACGCCACGTGTCTGCCTATATCTATTCGATGAGTACCCATCTTTAAAGCAGTAATATTCTCTCCCTCTTAAAAACTCCGACACCCACGCAGTGATGTAGTTAGGAAAGCGGTGATATTCCATCTGTTTTAATAAAATTTAATGCTCAACCCTATCGTACGCATTAGCCAAATCTAAAGTAACTAAAGCACAGCATTGGCGCCGACGCCGAGCCAGTTGTATTCGGCTCTCTAAATCAACATGCGCACACCATATTGAGCAACCGGATCTAAAACCAATTTGACTGGGGTTTAATATTGCGTTATTAATATATTTCATTACCCGGGCATTCAAAACTCTTTCAATTAGCTTAACCAGATTTGACGTGATTGATATCGGCCTTACATTGTCCAAGGCGAATCCTTTTTCCTGCTTTTTAAGAAGTGGAATCACTTTAGACAGCTTCCATTCCGCAGGTATCCAAGCTTTTGTCAAAGAAAAATTCACCAGATTAAGTACTTCAGTTGGACAAATCACGAATATTACTTTTATCATTGAATTTGTTACCCCGTCTGGTCCAGGTGCCGAAGGAGATAAGTGCCTTATTATTTCTGCCAGCTCATCTGAGGTAACCTCAAAATCCTCGCCTGCCATTGGGTTCACAATGTGCAGTGGTAGAGTTGACATAAATCTATCTTGGAGCCCTTTCGCAATATTTTCTACTAAATCAGAGAGCTCACGGGGGGAAAGAACAGAAGAGTCAATATTTTCAGCGGGTGGTAACATCTTTTGAGATCTTAAAAATCTGAAGAGCGCTTTTTTGTTTTTAGCCCTAGAAAGATACTCATGTCGTTTCATATTATAACCATCTTTTGCTGTACTTACTGTGCGTTTGAAGCCTGCTGCTGCGAATTTATAATCACACCAATTTTTTGTACATTGGTTGACCAGCAGTTGTTTCCATGCAGCTTTCCGTTTTCTATAGCTCCTCGTGCACTCTTCAGTCCACCATGGACTAAAAGAACCTCTTGTGGCCGAGTCTAATTTAAACGTTGCGTCTTTTACTGATCTTTTTAACACTGCACACAGACTCATAGCCCTAATGTCACCTTGTATGTCCTTGCGGTGATCAAAAGTAGCCCTCAAGTCTTTTTCTAATTTTCTACAGTTGAGGAATGAGCGGGCCTTTTCGGCGACATGTATTCTTAAAAAGTTCACTACAAAACTAATAGGCAAGTGGTCACTGTTAGTAGCACAGTCTAAAGTTTGCCACGCACATATATTTAGAGATGAGCTTGAAAATGTCAAGTCAATTACAGATTTAGAGAGACCTCAGACAAAAGTAGCAGGTTGCGAATTTAAACAAGATAAATTCTTGTCAATAGCCCACTCCCACAATCGTTTTCCGCTTAAATCTGTTTTAAAACCCCAGGCCACATGATGTGAATTGAAGTCTCCAGTGATTAATATATCCTTTCTGCAGGCAGAGAACATATCGTCTAGACTTCGTGTGTCTTGCACCCCGGCTGGGAAATACGCATTTACAAATGACAAGGGAGAAGCGTCTGGTAATATTATGTCTACTATCAAAATTTCACAATCTGGAGTCACACAACGATAAGAGATCGTAGCTTTGTGACTAAACTTAGTTGCTATCAAGACAGCAAGCCCACCACCTCTGCTAGGTCGGTCCAATCGAAATAGCCGATAATTTTTTTGGTGAAACTTCTGGCTGGTTGAAAGCCAGGTTTCTTGCAGTGATATAATATCCGGAGAAAGTTGTGAAGAAAGGTATGATAGGTCTGTGGTTGCGGAAAATATAGATCTGCAATTCCACTGTAATATGGTTAGTGAACCTATTTTGACGACAGAACCGTCGCAGAAACTGCTTGGTCCAAAATGTCCTTTCGCAAAAAGTCTTTCTTAGACATGTTCTCAAAGAATTCTTTTTTGGATAGATACTTTTTAGATTTCGAATTATGCAAAGAGTTTTTTGATTGGGGAGATCGGGTTCGCTTCAGAGCCTTATGAGAGTCCATATCCATATCTGCACATGCTTCCGAATCATCCGTAAGATCACCGTCTTCCGTTGTTTTGGAAGTCCCTGCCTCAGGAGAAACCGCTCGCTGACGTGCTGTCACACTTTCTATTTCCGTACGCTGCGATACCAATGATGTCTGAGGAGCCCAATCGTTCGTAGATGCTACACCTAGAATTTGAGATAGTTGATTGGAAACCAATTGTGCCAAGCTTTCAAAAAGGTTGTTTGCGAGGCATTCCATTGCCTTTTCCATAGCCTTCTCTACGGCCTCTGCGATAGATGTTGCGAGAGATGCATCCATGGCGGTGGTATTACGTGCTGCAACACTGGCATATCCCCTCCCCTCGCACCAGCACGACGAAGTTGATGCCGTACGCCTTGACCAAGCTCCGGGTGGTGTCGCTGTAGTACTTGGCGTACCTGCACATCGTACACGTTTGCTCGAATTCAGAATAAAAATAATGCTACATCTATTCTTTCTACTCTGTAGGCGTGCCTACACTTTGCTAGAGCCAGGGTATGCAAATCATGTCTATGCTACAGGAACTTGTGCAAGTAAGGCAAAGATTACACCGCAATTAAAAAAGCAATATATGACAGAAGCGTCAGCAGGCGGACAGAGAAATAAGACTGTCCGAACCTGTTCATGCATTACTGTAACGACGCTACACAACGAACGCAGCCCTTCTTTCTAAATTAAAAAAAAAAGTCATTTGACTCACTTTTGGGAATACTGACTTGCCTCACTCTCTTTATAAAGACACGCTAACTCTCTTTCGGATCCCAAGAGTCTCAGACAGGAGTATAATGATTCCAAAGAGAGTTCACATGTCTCGTTAAAGAGAGTCGTATTCGTGGTAAGTTGGGGCTTCCAAAAGAGAGACAGATTACTTTTTTTATATAGTGTTGATGTGCGAGTTCCGAAAGTCAGAACAGCGAGCCTTTATTGAGATGCGTTGCATCAAACGCTGAGTCACACTGTAAAAGAGTGCCGGAATACTCTGGTGAAGTCGCGCCGGTTTGTAGCATCTTGTCTAGCTGCTATGCATGTCATTATACAGCCTCTTGGCTTTTCATTCAGGCAAGGAACACAGGAGAACAAACAAATATGCGTAGAATACTCCCTTATGTAATACCCCCTAGTGGGGTCTTTAAGGAATAAAAGTGAAAGTGAGAACGCATTGCTTCGCTTCACCCGCACGTCTCCAAATAGAGGCACAAAATGCGCAGCGCACATAGGCGAAAAAGGATTAGGACCGTGCACAGCAGATGGCACAGAAGACGACAACGCATACGCTTTAAAGGGCGGAAAGCATTCTCAACTGGTCTGGAACGACATCTATACGCACCTCTCGACGCGTTTTCGCTTTGAGCAGTTCAATTGAAACAGACAGACGATTAAACGTGTTTTCTGTTTTTAAGACTTCTCCACCTGTTCAGAAGAGTGTCTGTCTTAGCTGTATCGTTCGTCAGTCAGGTAGTTATTGATGCGTCAAAGAATGGAAACAAAGAAATGGATGTGGCGCATGTGTCCCCGTCGACATTGCGTTTCTTCGCCATCGTTTTAGTTTTTTCGCAGCTTTTAAGATAATAATATATAGAAATGAATATGCACAATTTGAACAAACAAAAACAACTGATAATTTATTGACCGACGTTGCGGGCGATGGACCTCTCTTCGCCAAACTTCGCGTGTCGAAGTTCAAGGCTGGTTCACCAGCCGTAACATGCAATTAGTAAATTATCAGACATGTTTGCTTGTTTCGTCACGCACATTAACAATGTATATCACGCCAACACTATGACTGTTGAGACAACTATAGCCAGAGTTCACTTTAGACAATGCGTTTCCACGACGTCGTAGAAAATATATGCTATATCTTATCTTCCGTTCTCTCTCTCTCTCTCTCTCTCTCTCTCTCTCTCTATATATATATATATATATATATATATATATATATATATATATATATATATATATATATATATTATACTGTCGCAATGAACAGAAAACGCATGCTATAAATCTCCACACGAGTCATAGGTAATGTCAAGCTTTTCTAATGCTTATTATTTTTTGTCCAGGCGGCGTTGCTGGTGCTGCGAGTGCGCGAAACGAACCGGAAGTAAATGTACACCTCCTATGTCCTTTCTCTTCGCTGTTTTGTGGTTTGCAAAGTGTCATTTTTATTAGCATTATTTAAACCTTTCCTATCGCACCAAGATGATGTCATCTCAGTTCATCTCGTGATGTTCAAGAGCAACGGCCTCAATTTTCTCTCCGTTTGTCTTAGTCTCCTTTGCCCCGTAAAAATGAACGTATGCAAATATTGCATTCACACATATCGACGCACTATAGATTTCAATGACCTGAAGTTGAAGCCTTGCGCAACCCTGGCATCCGGGTCGTCCAGCCGGAGGAAGGAGTACTCGGGAAGGCAGTGCTTGGGGTCGTAGTCGAGGTCGCAGTCCCAGCTGATCATTATCTGTATGACCCCACCCTGCAACGCGTGATACGGAGCGGTGATGATTCATTGGCTAAGCGCCGTGGGTGTGCAGCCGGGCCACCGAAGTAGATAATGAACCCGCGGCCTACATCATTTTCTACTACTACTGAACTACCCTATATAGCGGATGGGACCTATAAGGCGGGAATACTCGCACACCTATCTGGGTGCTACAAGAGAGCCCAAACGGTCCTCCTCCCATAACACAATCTGGCAGCTGCAAATTTGGAAAAATTTTTTCATTACGTTTGCTCATACATTGATGCTTGTTCTGAGAGCTTTATGTTCTCTTTATAGGAGTCTTTTTTTTTCGTTTTACATTTTATGTGAAAGAGGGAAAGTATCTAATCTTGCTTTAATATTTTAAGCAATAGTTTTTTGTTTATATCAGGCAGAATAGCTCAAAACGCAGTGCTAGTTACACTGCACTCTACTAGTTGCGCTGACAACTGTCTACTACATAATGGGGATGATGCAGCGAGGACACGGTTAGAATTTGTTTATTTATTTATTTTTGGAAACTGTCATTCGATTAAAAAGACACAATCATGCCACAACGCCCGAGCACTTTGCCACGCTCTCGCGCATTGTAGATCATATACCGAGAATGATTAGCATAGCCCGAGTCTGAAGTAAGCAGATGACATATGCTATAGCATCCCTTCAAAGGCTGAATTCTCGTGATGAGATAATGCATTCATCTATCTATTTTGTTGTTGTTGTTTTTTCTCTAAATGGTTACAAGCAAGTGATCTGTTCGATTGTTTTCGGAATAAATAAATCAAAGAAACGAAACCTTTCGCGCGATCTTGTCGAAGTCGGCGCCAGCCCGTTCGACCATGTCACCGACGCGGAAAAATCGGGCACAGAGGAGATTTCCTGGTCTCGTAAGTGCAGGACCTCAGGTACGACGCGTTCACCTGGTCTGGGATGTTGCGCCTGCGCATCGGGCAATCGGTAAAGCCTGTAGTCAGGGGGGTGGTTTAGGGGGGTTGAACCTCCTCCACCACAATCGCTATTTTTTTTTGTGTGTGTGTGTGTGTGTGTCAATATACGCGCACATTATAAACACACGCATGAACATGGTACACAAGAGGGTAGAGTGTCGCCCCCTCCAAACCGCTCTCCTTTCCCACCTCGAAATAATATTTGACTGCGCCACTGCGGCCAATTTCAATAAACATCGTGAAGATGTTACTTTCCTTATAAATATGTCATGCCACAGTCCCTACTCAAGCTTTCCTATCGCCCCGTTTTACTGTCAGTGATTCCCGGCGAAAACCGCGCTTGCAGTGTCCGAGAAAAAAAAACTTCAGGACTGCAGTAGTAGTTAAGATTACGCCCAATTCGCGAACATCGCAGATTATTCTGGAACATACACGTCGCCGCTAACGATAACGCTGGAATATTCGATGGCACGTGTATAAATGCCGACGCGCCTCGCCACTTGTCAGTTGATCGACGGCCGATCCTCTGTTCGCCACTATCAGTGCCAATGGGCATCGATGTAGATCTGACCTTCAGTTGACGGGCCAAAAGTTCGGCCGAATAAACAGTTTCACCTTGTAATTGCAGTATATATACAGTTTATTAACATGTAATTACAAGTGTGTGTGTGTGTGTGTGTGTGTGTGTGTGTGTGTGTGTGTGTGTGTGTGTGTGTGTGTGTGTGTGTGTGTGTGTGTGTGTGTGTGTGTGTGTGTGTGTGTGTGTGTGTGTGTGTGTGTGTGTGTGTGTGTGTGTGTGTGTGTGTGTGTGTGTGTGTGTGTGTGTGTGTGTGTGTGTGTGTGTGTGTGTGTGTGTGTGTGTGTGTGTGTGTGTGTGTGTGTGTGTGTGTGTGTGTGTGTGTGTGTGTGTGTGTGTGTGTGTGTGTGTGTGTGTGTTGTCACGAGTATTATGAAGCGCTCCTCGATGCAGAATGCACTCTGTATATCACTAGACAATGCGAATAGCTTATCGGACAAAAGACATAAGGGTCCTTGTCGCCCATGTCCTCGAGTGCTACTTCATCGGAGATCTTTTGCATTTTCGTAATATTCTGGGATGTTTCATATCATTCGCTGTGCCGTGCGGCCGATCCAGTCAAATGATAATTTGCGGCTGCGTGCTTGCTAAGGTCGAGATAGTAATAATAATTGTTGGGGTTCAACGTTCCAAGATCATGGACCATACGATCATGAAGAGACGCCGTATAGTGGAGGACTCCGCAAACTTCGACCACCTGGGGTTCTTTAGCCGCACCGGAAGGTCGAGAGACAAACATTGTTAAGCTAAAGAGAACCCGCAAAATTATTTGAAAGACTCTGGACTAGGCGGGAAGAAGACCGTAAAAAAAGGGAAAAAAAAAAGAACAGATCATTTCACGAGCAACGTGCTGCCATTGCTTTATTTATGCCATAGACCATCACTATACGATTATCTTTGTACGGTATAAGAACTAGTATGCGTTTAAACTGCATTCTGCGACACCACATGCCAAAGCTGGGTTAAATTTAACAGCTTTCGAATCTTCAACGCGCGCCTATGGACTTTTTTTTTTTTTACAAAGAGGAGGATTTCCTTCTTTCTGGGCTGTTGCACGAGAGTACAAAAGCCGATGCCTCGTCAGTGCATTTTTGGGGGGGCCACGCGCACTAACAACAGCCCAGAGAGGACTATGGTGGCGACCAGGGAGCCCTGAGTTAAAAGGTGGATACAGAGCAAAGCACTAATTTATTTATTTCGTTCTTTTTTTTTACTTTGATTCCTTTGAAATATGAACGCCGTACGTTTGCTGGGAGTCTAAGCAGCGTCCTTGAGAGCATTGAGTTCAAAGGGACACTATATAAAAAGAAAAAAAAAACGATTTTGTTCGTATGAGTGAATTGCTATTTATAAATACAAAAACCGTTCCCAAGATTGCGGTGAAAAGGCACTTGGTAGGCGAGAAAACGCGCAAAAAGAAAAGGTTGGTGGTGACACCACATTGACGTTCCCGAACCAGTCGCTGTGACGTCATAGATGTTGACGCAGTCTACTATAACACTTGCGTAGTTCCTAGTAGGAGAATTTGAAGTACATTGCCATCTGAGGTGTTCAGAGACTTAACATGCCAAAATTTTTTAAAAAATTGTTTAACCAGTGTGGCCGAAATACGAATCCACATTTTGAAATCCGTGACGTCACGTGCGGAAATTTCGACCCGAAACTTGAAAATGAAACTTTGCCCTTGCTTTTCCCCTTCTATTAATGAGCCAATGATGGTGAAGCTATCGGCATTAAAGTTTTCAGAGCAGAGCTTACCTGTCTACACTGATCAATTGCTTCGCTTTAGTGTTCCTTTAAGAAACAGTACACAGCCGCTGTACAAGTTACCACGGGGGGTGGGGGGTTTGTAGAGTGATTTATGCTTTAGATGAAACAGCGCACCTACCTCCGCACCTTGAATAACGGGAACTGGACGTAGTTTTTAATGAAAACTGTGAAATCACGGGCTTTGGTCAGGAGTCCTGTTCCATTCTTCCTGAAACGAGATTGAAAAGATACGGGTCAATAATTGGTTTGAAAAAGCATTTCATAAAGGGCACTGATGTCCGGGTCAATTAGTATGTCGCGGGACAAAACACTCAAGGTATAACGAATATGTTACCAATTTCATATGCACGCATAACACTTGTCATGCCAACCAAAGTGCGACAAAGTATAGCGTTCTAGGTCGTGTAATGAGACATTTTTACATCATCATCAGCAGCAGCAGCAGCAGCATCCTGACTACGTCCACTGCAGGACAAAGGCCTCTCCCATGTTCCGCCACTTAACTCGGTCCTGTGCTTGCTGCTGCCAAGTCATACCCGCGAACTTCTTAATCTCATCTGCCCACCTAACCTTCTGTCCTCCCCTAACCCGCTTGCCTTTTCTGAGAATCAGGTTAGTTACCCTTTCACCATGTACTATTTTCGTATGTACATAGTTAAAAAAGCGGTGCCCTTGCTCTGGTTGTTTTCACGACCAACCAGACTCGCACCACTTTCGACAAGCTGAATACAATTCATTTTCAGTGCATGGAGTGATTGCAATAGCTTTTCAGTGCACAATTGATAGCAGCCACCAAGCAGTGAATCCGCAAAGCGTTGAGAAGAGACAAAAAAGGTTTCGCCTTTATAATATGCTAGTCTAGAGGCAGAGCAAAGTAACGATTTAAAGTTAGAGAAACTAGACGTTGTCCGGTTTGCTACCCTACACGTAAGAAGGGGAGAAAATAAAAGAGAAACAGAGAGAGAGAAAGCGAGAGCATCGAACGCAGATGATTTAGTAGTAAAGGTCACCTACAGAGGGAGGACATCTTTTTCCACAGGACACCAGCCGCGTATTTCGCATACGTATCGGTCTTCATCGCGGCACGCCACCCTCACGCACCGTCCCGTCATCTCGCCTGCGCCATGGCAAACAACCCATCTGTACGTACGTCACAGCAGGGCAGCACAGTTCGTATGCGTTATAGTGTTGGGTCTCAATTCTCAACACCCGTTACATGGCTGGGGCCGTATTCTCGGCCGATTATTTTCGAGCGCATACTCGCAGTTGCCTGGACAGGCGAGGCTCCGAGAGAAGGGGGAAGAAGGGGCAGCCTTCTTCGCAATGAAAATGGTCGATCCATAAGTTCAGGAGTCTATATTTAAAGGGGCTTTAAAACACTTTTTCAAGGAAACCTGGAATAGACTGACCAAAAGAGCTTATTGCCTCACAAATTCAACACCGCAAACATTTTAAGTATTCGTCCAGTACGAGCGGAGTTACAAAGAATTGTCGCACGCTACAATCACGCCCCCTCTTCTTTCGTCCCGCTGAAAGTGCTGGAGGCTAAGCAGGGAGGGATGGCAGGGGCAAAAAAAAAAGTCACGCGCGCCTCGTGACCTTGAGCACTTTATTTTTTTTTCTTTGAATACGCGGCTTTTCAGTGTGATCGCACGCGCAAGTCGCGGCCTCCCGCGGTGATTCCTGTAACGATCGCGCGCGTTATGCTCAAATAAACCAATGGCTGATAGATGGCCTTCTACGCACAATTTTTGAGCGTCTTCCGTCATTTCTCGAGAGAAGAGAACGTAATATTTAGCCGACTTTGATAACTTATTGCGAATTACAGGCCGCTTGCCTAATGTTTGGCTCGTGTGTACTCGGGAGCCTCAACTGCCGATCGCCAACGCTTTCTGAATATGCTAAAGAAGAGTGTTTAATATGTCATTGGTGCGAAACAGCGCAAAAAAAAGAACACAAAGAAACAGACGACCAAGCGCTGAAGTGTTTTTTTTTTTCCGTGTCCCCATTTTTTCGCGCTGTTTCGCACCAATGAAGCCTTACCAACAAACTCAAACCCATGCTTTTTTTAAAGTTCATCTTTAAAAGATGACCTCGCGTATTTTGAAAGTTTGGGCAATTTTGTTTATATGAGTACTGCTTTTGGGACAGGCCTCGCATTTGAGCATTAAAACAAACGGAAACTAAATTAACGACTAGTACAGCTGTCACGCACTTAAAATAATAAGCCCTCGAGCGACGTGCTCACGCCCCGCGATCGCTCTGATATGCACAATGTAGTGGTGCTGCTCACGTATCTACACTCACCGTGCCCACGCCTCAGAGAAGCGCCTTTCTTGCAAGTTGTGGTGTCGTTCTCCGATTTGCATTGCGCCTGCTTGATGTTTAGCTCCTGGAGTGCAATGAATGGTACATCAACTTCAACGCAAGGCACACTCACACATTCTTATGTTCTGCAGCTGCTCACCTCAGGACAGGTGCTGATCGTTTGATTCGGTGTCAGTATGACATTCGTCGTGATGAAAAACTGGTTCGAGTCCTGCAAGCAACGCCGAACGTTTTAAAGGCCTTAAGTTCCTCATCAAACAATAAATTGACGGCCATCAATGGTAACTGACTGGATTCCAAGCGAGGGCAAATGAGGGAGGGTGAGATAGAAAGTTAGCTAGGCAGATGAGATTAAGATGTTTACGGGTATAACCTGGCAGCAGCAAGCAACAAGACCGGGTTGATTGGCATAACATGGGACAGGCCTTTGGCCTGCAGATTTTTACTTTTTAGATGCGGAGCATCTAATACTCGAGGCTTGTAGTGCGGCGCCGTCCGCAAGCTTCCTCCTCCTTCTTCCACCATCTGTGCATCCCTTCCTCCTCTACACACCGCGCGCGCTTCACTCCTCCACCATCTGTGCACCCTTCCTCCTCTACACACCGCGTGCGCTTCTCCTCTTCACGAACATTCGCTAGCTGTATAATGTAGCGCGCATGCGCCGTCACGCTTCGAGAACATCGGCAGCTGACGCGCGCGCATGCGCCGTCGCGCTTCGAGAACATCGGCAGCTGACGCGCGCGCATGCGCCGTTGCGCTTCTCCCCCTTCTCGAACATTCGACAGCTGACAGTGCATGCGTCGTCGCGCTGTATATATACTCAAGGTCGGTGCTCGCTCGCTCAGTTGCCGCTCGTCGGTTGGTTTGTACGGCGCGTCGACGTCCGAGGTCGCAATGATCGACGTCCCTTCGACCAGCGCCGGCCAAAGTGTTGGCGGAACCGCAACCAAGTCGTCGTCCGAAGACAAGGCAGCGCGGAGAAGAGCTCGCGACGCCGAACGTAAACGTCGGCGTCGAGCGGAAGATGCTCAACTTAGAGAACGTGAAGCCGCTGAGAGACGTCAGCGTCGAGCAGCAGCACCGGATTCGGCCGCTTTGAAACGTAAGCGTCGACAAGAGGACCCGGACTTTCGAAAACGGGAAGCCGAGTGCAAGCGTCGGCGACGAGAGGCCGATCCCGATGCTGCCCGCGAGCGCAAGCGCGCCGAGGTAGCGGCGTGGCGCGCCAAGCAGTATGCCACGCCCAACGCTCGCTTCAAGCGCGACTTCCTCGACCGAAGCTTCGGCCACACCTGCAAGGTGTGTGATCGTCTTTGATTCGATAACAACTTAACTCGGATCGGCAACATTCAGAACAACTCCAAAGCGTTGTCGGTTCTTTGCGATACGTTTGGAAAGGGCACCGACTATGCCGACTACGTCGTGTGTGCTACGTGCAAGCAGTCGTTGATTGCCGGTCGAGTTCCCTCGGCTAGCGTGAGTTACGCTCCGCATCCTCCTCAGTGTTCCCCCGAGGGAAGCTGCGGGCAATTTTTTTTTATTTAAAAATGCTTTACAGACCCGAAGGCATTGAGTAAGTGGGGTCACAGTAAAACCAGAGGTCAACTCTTAACGAACAACGCAACAGTGCAGGTGGGAGAGCGTATACTATAGTCAGGCTGCTGCTTCCGATAATGATGGATTCAGCAAGAAAATTGTGTGTGATGCAACCATCTGCCCACTTTCCCTACCACTCCTCTGCAATCTCGTGATATTGTGGAAAACTCATTCGTTCCTCCCACTCTCCCCCAACGCAATGTGACACATGTTTGCACCCTCAGGACAAAATCCTCCTGACGACCTCGCTAGTGTGCTACTGATTCTAAGTATAATTTCGCATTTGCTAATAATATCGATAATAATAGTACAAGATGTCGATGTTCTCACGTGTGGCGGCACGACAATGTCTTCGTTGTCCCACACCCTGCGGTAGTGGCTCGTGTCCCCGAGGGACGACTTGAAGGCGTCCTCGGGAACGGAGTCCGTGGACAGGGCCCCCTTCACCTTCACCGTCACGGCGCTCGTGCAAGAACTGTAGCGCTGGTAGCCTTTCTCGTAGAGCAGAGCGTACCTGCGTCATATAGGACAAAGCGTTCGTGCTCCGAAAGTTATCGAGTAACGGGCGCGATTATCAGGAGCTGCTCGGCCAGGTTCAGGTTCTTCTAAGGACCGACCTGTATATGCGTTCGCAAAAAAAAAGGGGGGGGGGGGGGTGGCTTTGCCGTACAGGGGAAATGGCCGCATGCGAAGATTTGATTCTGAGTGTCTGATCTATATACTTTATTTCGCATTGGGCAATGTTTTGTCCTGTTTCCTTCTTCCATTTCGGGAATCAGACCTTCATCCACGTTAAATAACAGCGCAACTATGTTGTGCTTCAACAATGCCTTTACCTGACCAGACGGCATTCCGTCGAACTCTCGACTACGTGTGCTACAAGCAACAACGACAGACATGCGTTCACATCACAGGCGTATACGCTGGCTTGGCCTTCAGGAAGGGAGAGAGAGGGGGGGGGAGCGACGAAAGTTCTTCGCAGCGCCCCTCCGCCCCCCTATATGTCAATGTACGGGGCTTACTTTTTGCCCCCCCCCCCCCCCCGGATGATTAGGGGATACTCCCCCCTCCCTCTCCTCGTGCGCACGCCTGCGCCTATGGTTCAAATCGAGGCACAAATGTGGTAGCTTGAAGTGGCATGCGACTTCAGCTGAAGGAGGGACTGCGACTGGTCACCGACAAGCCCACGATCGAGATAGTATGCTAATTTCGATGGCCGGCTGTACGTACTGCCACCAAGTTTTTCGCGAACGACGGCGCCACCGAAATTTGTGAGCTAACAGTTATTAAGCTTCTCTTGAAATTTTTCTGCTATTTGTGGGTGGTGTTTCTCGCAAGTACACCTGTTGATTGCATTTGCGCCCACAGAAACGCTTCCTTACGCATCCCACCCGTCTTGGCAGCATATGCTCGCATGTTCGTATACCTGCCAGACCTGCCCCCTGGCTGCGCCATGCACTGCATGCTTTCCGGGGTATCACGGTGAACAGCGCCTGTCTGCAGCGCGTGTCTTCCGTTAATTGAAGCGCGCCCGTGGTGGTGGCCTAGCGGATATGATGCTTGAATGCAGATCCAAATGCCGTGGGATCGAATTCCGGGCGTGATGAAATTATTTGAATGGAAGTGAAATGCTTGTGGACTGGGTGCTGAGACGTTGGTGCACGTTATTAGAACCACAGGTGGTCGCCATTTTCGGAGCCCTTCACTGCGGCGTCTCTCATAATCACATGGTTTTGGGATGTAAAACCCAAACAATTCAAATGATAATATCAAGAATACGATCAGAAATATCAGAAGTACGATCATAAAATAATATCAGGAATACGATCCACCGTGAACGGCCGTTCACAAATCGTATCACAGTATGCACGTGTCGTTCTGTAACAGACACGCTGGCCCTTTAGTCGGCACAAAAGTGAAGTTACACCGTATATATTGCATCGCTAAAGCACATGTACACAGTACACTCTGAATAAGATTGACGCGATTTGTCATTCATCGCGGTGAATTAAAAGGCGAAGCCGCAGGCTATCCACGCGCCCTACCATAAGACGCTTGCCTCGGGGAAAACTGCGCACCCTATGACGAAGGCCATGATGGCGAGCTGTACGGTCCGGTTGAGCACTCCGATTTTCCTGCTGCCGATTTGGACCACCTTGAGCGTCCGGTACTGGAAAAAGAACGCCGAGAACACACGCGCAGCCACCGATTCGACGGCGCCTGCCATTGCAGCCAAATCTATGTCTGGCACAAAGTCCATGTCTGGCAAGTCCATGTCTGGCACAGCAACCGCGAATGTGTTCGCCGCTGATATGAAAGCGTCGCGCCTTCTAATATCGCTCTATATCGCCCAATCGACATCTTTTTTTTTTCGTTGTTGGGACAAATGTGCTCAGCTTCTCCTATCAGAAATAGAGCTCCTATAAGAAAAGGACAGATGCTTGGCCTAGTTGGTGATTGGGAATCAACATATTTGCACAGCGCAAGACTACAGTGGTTACGACGCAACTATACAGAAGAAGAGACAAGGACAGAAAGAGCACTTTCTGTCCTTGTCTCTTCTTCTGTAGTTGCGTCGTAACCACTGAAGTCTTGCGCTGTGCAAATATGTTGATTCCTATAAGAAAGGGCGACTTTGGAACACTCAAGCCGAAAACCCGCGCACTTAATGGTTAGCCATTAAGTGGAGTCGACTCAGTGATAATGTATACATTATCGGTGAGTATCATTTCCGTAGACAAAGTAAAAGCGGGAGCTGATGGCTGCAAACAAATGGAAAAGCCAAAAAAGTTGTATGAACAGGTGCCCTAAACAGGCCGCCCAAAGCAGGCAGCCCAATGTTCCCTTCCTATGAATATTTCATCGAATCATTATTGACAGTGAATTGATGCATTCAACTGAACGAAAGTAAAGTATTACAAGAACTTTTTATTTCATACGGTTTGGTGTACGTCAGGTCCGGAGCCAAAAGGAAAACCTCACCCCACCCCCCTCACTCCTCCCAAAACGTCGGTGTTAACATACTATAGTTCGGAATCTTACCCTTAAAACTAAAAACTTATATAGAACTTCCAATAAAATTGTGCTTAAGAAGGCACTTAATTAAGTTGCACAACTGCGATTTTTGCCGAAAATAATTGCTAACAAATACGTGCTTTACTTAAGTAGACAGGCCCTCAGCAAGTGATTACCCCCTCTCCCCCACCAAAAAATAAATAAAAAATCCCGGTTATAAGCCTGGTGTACGTCCCGACTAAAACGTTGTGTTTGTAATTCCAATAATCTCGCATGTTTCCGTAAAATCTATGCAGAAATATATGAAAAGTATATGAATTCTGAAAGGAAACATACGGGATCAATGGAATGGCATAGTGAACGTTTCAGCGCATGGCCTATGCATGCAAAACATGTGAATTCGTACACGCACTATTTATATGATATCTGAAAACAGCTAAAAAGCTCGTCGTTTTCGCAGTCTCGCTAAAATAAAAAGTCAACGCCAGCTTATGCATGGTCAGCCACTGATTGCACTTGGCAATGTCCAAGCCGTCTTGTGGTAAAATAACTCTGTCAGCTTCGTTCAAGATAAACAGGCGCCAGTCGAACACAGGCAGAAAGCTTGAAAAAATGTAACGCCGCATATGCAGCCACGGACAGAATACGACCCCTTATTTTATTTATTCATGTTTTCTCGTAAGACGCATACAGTGACCTAGGCGCTAATCGATGTCCTCACAGTGGGGCTGACGCAGACAACGGCCGATCACTGACGCTACAGCTGCGATAAATAAGGTCAAGTCAACAGCGCTTATTCGACGACACTGAGACGAAGTATGCGACAGCACTACTCTCGCGATACTGGCCACGATATCTTTTCGATGTGTAGTCTGCCGCGGTTGTGGCTTCGGCTGCCGACTCCAAGGTCACGGTTTAGATCCTGGCCACGGCGCAAGTGGCACAGCAGGCCCATGTACCCCCCCCCCCCCCCCCCCAACTGGAATTTTTTTCGCCATGGCAAAGAGAGCGAAAAACGACCATATCAAGGGTGTGCCCCCCACCCCGAAAAAAAAAAATCTGGCTACTCGCCTGTCACATTTCGATGGAGGCGGCATGTACTGACATCGCACAAGAACCATTTCACCGCCCCGTTAAAGAATCCCCATTATATTGTGGTTCTGGGACGCTAAACCCCAGATATTATCATTACTTTCGATATGCAATTTGTACAGTGATAACTCTATGGCGATTTTGTTTTGGCCATGCGTAACAAAACAATCTGAAGCAGCTTCACGAAGAGCGCGGCTCGGTGGATCTTATTTCTCGTTATTTTGCTTTTTTTATTTTTCCCTTTGCGCATACTCACTTAAGAAAGGAATAGGGTATGCGCCACAGGGGGCAATTGCTCTCATCGTCTCTCCAACACGCAGACCGGAAGAAGCATACTCGACACTGTCAGTATCGGGCCAACTCTAAACGCACTATTCCGCATGAAATACACATGAATCTACACATTCCACCGCTCCCTAAAAACGTGCACCCTGTACACCACGAGAAGCGTCGGCGACAGCGGGCAAAAACTCTAGAAAAAACGATTTTATACTCGTAACGAAGTGCTCTACGCCGTCCTTTTTTTCAGATGAGCGGCGTTTCCTCTTTTGCTCTGCCCCTGTCGCACTGGTGCGTAGTCGCCCTTTGTAACTTAGGGCATGAGAAAAAATGTTATTACTGGGTTTATATTAAACCGTGTAGCCCCCGTGGGCACTTACTTCTACTGCACTGCCGATACATGGGTCTGTATGTTTGGTAGTATCTGTAGCTTGAAGTATCTAGAGCTCACACTAAGAAAACGCTTCTCCGTAAGTGTCTACAGGAGTCTAAAATTTCAAAGAAACTTATTAGACGGAGCTGCTGGCGAGACTGGCGCAAAATTATAATACCGTAATTGGTTGGAACACCAGCAAGATCATACTATGCACAAAACCGATACACTAAGCAAGTGCCAACAACATTTTTTTTTTCCTTTTTTCCCAACCAATTAGTAAACGAAGGTAATGCTAGAAGTCGGCGGTGTTAATCGCCAGTAGCAAAATGTTTCCGACGCTGAAGGCAAAACACCTGTTCTGAAAGTGTACTATAGTACGCGCGTTTATTATTTTAATGCCAGGGCTTACGGTAACAAGTCCCAAGCACACGCGAAACCTTTATTTTTGAGCACTGCAAGAACGAAACATGGTGGAGATGGTTCCATTGGAACGACTTAAAAATATGTAGTACGGGCACACGTAAGTACGTACCTTCGAATCACGAAAAAAACAGATGTCGACGTCAGCTCGACAAACGGCCTGCTCCCGTTTAGTTCTTCGGTCGTCCCCATAGAAAAACGAAAACACTCGCAACTTCGGTCCATTTTCCTCGACAAATTCGCCGCGCAGCATCTCCCAACCGTTCGGGTTTGCAGCCGTATACACATTGAGAATATCCAGTGCACAAAGCTCATCACACATCCACGCGCTGCAGTTCACGGACTCGGAAAAACACGGACTTCCCGAGTCGCCAACAAGCACACCAGCACGCCACGAAAACGTTCGTCAGGCATGGCAATCCGTGCCTGTCGAGCGACTAGAGCAAGCGTATAGGCACGTATGTGCAGCGAAACACGGTGGTCTAAACGCAGTGACGTCACAACCCGAGACAGAAAGAGTGAGCAGGCCTGAAATTATCTAGGTGAGACAGACGAGCGCTAATTGATAATATGGATACATCCCCACTCGCCCAGCGATCTGTTTTACTGTCTATGGCACTGACCCGCGCCGTAGGTGACGTGCCTTTCATACCAGTGACGTGTTACGTACATGACGTTTCTTTTCATCACTGAACCATTTCGCATGTAACGTCAACTGAAAGTTCAGTTAATGCGCTCTTTGGGATACGAAAACGCACCGAGCGCCTGCAGTGCATATTTTGTGACCATGATAGCACACGTGCGCTGACTGAAGAATGATTGATTGATATGAGGGGTTTAACGTCCCAAAACCACCATGATAATGAGAGACGCAATAGTGGAGGGCTCCAGAAATTTCGACCACCTGGGGTACGTGCACCCAAATCTGAGCACATGGGCCTACAACATTTCCGCCTCCAACGGAAATGCAGCCGCCGCAGCCGGGATTCAATCCCGCGACCTGCGGGTCAGCAGCCGAGTACCTTAGCCACTCGAGCACCGCGGCGGGGTGGCTGATGAATGAAGGAGGCATCAAGCAGCGGAACAAGATGGGACTTGGGACGATCTTGCGTCTCACCGTCCAAATGCGCAAAAATGATTTGCATTTAGTCAATAAAGAGAAATGCGATCAGCATTTATGTAGTTTCTGAATGCAGATGACACGCACCCGCCGCGGTGGTCTAAAGTTCCTTAAATTATGGAGGGACCTTAATGTCGCTACCTTACAAATTATAGAGGGACCTTACGGTGGTCTAGTGGCTAAGGTATACTCGGCTGCTGACCCGCAGATCGCGAAATCGAATCCCGGCTGCGGGAGCTTCATTTTCGATGGAGGCGAAAATGCTGTAGGCCCGTGTGCTCAGGCTTGGGTGCACGATAAAAAAAAAGAAGTAATCGAAATTTTCGGAGCCCTCCATTACGGCATCTCTCATGGTTTTGGGACATTAAACCCCACATATCAATCGAAGGAGATGACACAAAAAAAAAAAATACTACGAATATCAGCTTCTGTTAACCTTTAAATCAGAAATACGCCGATGAGGTACCCTTTTACGAACTTTGGCCGCCTTGAAACCTAATCCTGCCAGTCAAGTCACTCGGTATACGGAGAATGGGCATGTACCATGTCCTCGCACTAACTATGGATTTGAAACGCTAAATTACAAAGAAATGTGGCAGCTTGGGCTATTTGGTATGACATGACGATAGTTATAGCGCGAGAGCAGAACGACGACACAGGAGACAAGAAGGACACGAGCGCTACAACTGTTGGAAGTTAGCGCTCGTGTCCTTCTCGTCTCTGTGTCGTCGTTCTGTTCTCGCGCTTTAACTATCGGCTACATTACAGCCTTCCAAGTGCCATGAACAAATGGAAAATAACAGTTGACAATCTGCGTATATTGTCTAAAACTGATATAAGTTTAGCTGGATGTGCTGATTGCGTTGTTCATGAATGCTGGATGATTTCTGTTTTTGTTACTTAGTTTAATTCGTTTATACATTGCTTTGTTATGAATATTTTTGTATGTATTTCAGAGTTGCTATTTTACTATTTTCTGTCATGGGCCACAAGCGCACACTTTTGGATTGTCACTTTCCGCTGCCTGTAATACTTTGGGACTTTGTAACTTAGATTTTTTTTTTCTGGGTGAAGAGGCCAGTCAAGCTAGCTGTGACTTGCAGATTTTTTTTTCTTTGCACCAAATCATGTATACATTGTGTTTCTTGTACTTTTCACGTGGTTGAATAAACTCAAGCTCAAAATGTAAAAAAAAAATTGGAATACACGCCCCCCCCCCCCTTCCTCCTGCGCTTACGTCAGTGCTTGAAGGCATCTTGACCACTTCAGTCTTCCGTAGTGCAAAATGATACAACTCCACATATAAAACGTGCACCAAAATAATTTCGTAGCACCTAATTAGCCCTCACTCTTTTCTAATCAGACATTTCCCCAACTGTTCCTGTTAGATTAATGGCGATTAAGAAATTGCTGCTTGCTGTGTTGGGGCTAGCTGGCTGGTCCCGACGAAGCAGAAGAAGAAGAAGACGGCCGACGGAGACGTACGCGGTTGGCGGGGACACCGACCAGCCCGAACACGCGGGTTGACGCGAAGCGCCGAAAGAAAGCACAACAACCGCACTCCACGGTTACCCAACACACACACTGTCTTTATTTTACAGTCGCCTTGAAATCCTAGATTAAGGTCCCTAGATGGGATTAAGGGATTAAGGTCATCTAGGAATTAAGGTCCCTAGATGAAACGTGTTTCATCTAGGGACCTTATCCTAGATGCCAGAGCGGCGCCCCCTGGCATCCTCACATGTCAATTCGAAACCGAAACCCAGAACACAACACTTTTGACACAATATTTGAACACAATATTTGAACAGCCTTTCTTTTTTTCTTCTTTTTTTTTTCGTGAGCTCGCGAAGCTATGCCATCGGTTGCTCGGCAACGCGCGGCGATTTCATCGCTGCGCGGAGTTTTCTATTCGCAATGGTCAGACCAATACTCGGCCTAAACAGCGCAGCTGTTAAAAGGCGTGTCTCGATCGAGTAGTCACATGACCGCGAGCTGTGTGTTCACCTCCCCTATTCAGCGATCGCGTCATTTAAAAGAGAAAAAAAAAACGCCCTTTGCGTCACTCGCTTTGGTCTTTGAAAAAGCGTCAAAACAAGGCGATACGTCACGGTACGCTTTTGCGGAACGACATGGGTCTCTGACAGAGTACTGAGAAGAGTCAATCAGCGAGTTACAGTATAGTGACAGTTAACTAGTGATAATTACAGAGCACTAGGCGTCAATATAAAGTGCGTGGTAAAACAGTCACACCTCTAGACCTTCGCCTTTTCTTAGGCGAATGCATGATATACTCGGTGAGTAATATTTATTTATTTATTTATTTATTTAAAACAAGTACTTTACAGCCCCCGAGAATCGCCGCGTAAATGGGTTCATATTTACGTGCCTAATTATTTCCTACGACAGGAAAGATATAGTATCCCTGGCACAATGACGGCGTAGCAGCTACCGATTTCCCGTCTGTTCACCGCTGATGCCCTGTTTTCTAGGTTTACCGATACGCACCAAGCGTGCACGACGGGGGCTTAACAGCCCATCAGTGATATCACTGCGGTGAACCGGACTTCAATTTTTCTCTATCAATAATATAGCTGCGTTCCGGACTTTCTCCCAAGCGCGGAGCAATGCAGAGGGCCGCGCCTTCGTATGTTGCCGTCGTCACTTGGCGCAGTGCTCCACGTGTAGCGCATTGAGCGCGAGCTAGCGCCAAGGCTTGTTCTTCGAGCATCTTAATGATGATCACGTATCGTCGTCAGAGGGGGAAAAAAAAACGTGGTGCGTTGGTGTAAAAAGGCAAAGCCACGTATAAAAATAAAAAAAGAAAGAGGAAGCAAGCCGGAAATAGAAAGGGAGCGCTTATTTCCTTTCGTTTTTTTTTCTCACCTTCGTTCTCTGCATTTTCGTAATAGTTTTACGGCGAAAGCTATTATGAGATCACAACACTGGCAGCGTGCGGCGCCGTAGTCGTTTACCGCCACCGGTATTATAACCACCATCACACGAAATTAGAGGGAAAAAAAAACACAACTGCAAGTATATTACATGAGACGCGAAACCAAACGCGAATGATAGAAGCGAATACTTGCATGACAAATCCAGGAACAAATGAGCGTAGCGAAGCTGGCTTCTCTGCAAGCCCACTACTTGCGAGGCAAAGCCAAGCAAAAATGAGCAAAGCGAAGTAAGCTTCTCTGCAAGCACACTACTTGCGAGGCAAAGCCAGGCAAAAATGAACAAAGCGAAGTAAGCTTTTCTGCAACCACACTACTTGCGAGCCAAAGTCAGACGCTAATGAGCACAGCGAAGCTGGCTTTTCTGTAAGCACAGTACATGCGAGGCAAAAGCAGATGCAATTGAGCACAGTGATTATATTGACGTAACTGCGGGCGCCGGAGCCGCACTAAGGATCTAACCCACAACTTCTCAATCAGAGGCAGACATTTTGCCAATTCACCACCACATAAAAGGCTTGAACAGAAGAGACATAAAATCGCGCAATGAAATGATAAAAACTGAAGCGATTGAAAGGGCAAAAACAGGCGCCCGCGTTGAGCACGCAGCCCAGCCGCAACGAACGCTAAACAAGCGACCTTTCAGGAGCCCATTGTGAACCCACTATAGGAGACTAATGCAATATACCATAAATCAGATTATGCGAAGTACTGAAGCACCCACTGTGCCATTATTCATCATTCTGCAGCAAAGAAAAGAAGGCCTGCTACATATCTGTAATACTTAATGTGCCCTTCTTTGATGCTGTAGCTGATTATGATGAAAAATCATGGCTGAGCACTTCGTAATGGGTAGCAAACAAGCTTTACACAACATCCTCGTCATTCCTAATGGTTGACGCTTAGTGTCATTCGGTTGTGGCGATTTCCGAAGTTGGCAAAAGGTTGAAGTGCTTCATATAATGCGAAATTTTACCGTTGGAGTCGGCATCTCACAGCATCGGGAAGGAGCGATTAAAAAAAACAATTCCATGACATGGTTACCACATGATGTCACAGATAGCCAAAATTTGTGACGTCATTGTGATTGGCATTACATTATGACGTCATCACATGGAATCGTAGTATAGTCAAAGGTGGTCTGATCACGGAGGCAATGCGAACTTAAGTTAGGTGCCTCCAATCTCGGGGACAGTGCAAAACCCTGTGAGGTGCAGAGAGCTTTCAAAAGGCGGCAGAGCAGCATAAGTACTTCAACTCAGAAAGAAACATATGATAGCTTTCGCATTCCAGTCATTTTAAGTGAATGTTTAAAGGACCCTGGGAGTTTTTTTATCATTGTGCACACACAGGCACATTGGTGGTGATAGCAGCCACAGCAGACAAAAACGGCACCGACATCGGCTGTTGTTGGGATTTCAGAAGAGGTTTCTTTGTAAACTAGAAGCAAAGGTATAACAGATGAGCAATGGTTCCCTCCATAGAAATGAGCGACACACACTAACATATTTGCACTACTAAAACGTCTTGCATTTCTTTCGGCAGCAGATCCAGCACAAGACATTGCAACTCGATTTATTGAGTATAAACAGTATAAAACAACATGACATCGAAGAGACAAGAAACGTGCATTTGCGACTTTCCAGACACCACAGTACACAACTAATATCATTAAGATTGCAAGATGCTTTATCAATGCACATAAACACTGCTGACAGTCTATAATTTGTGCCTTAAGTGTGCAAGTACCAATTCACAACTGGACAGTACACTTCCTACATTGGCCTCCATCCTGATAGCTCGTTATTTTATTGCTGCAGTCATAATATTTAAACTACAAGTATTACAATTCCAAAAGATAATTTTGTATTGTGAAGCACACTTGCAAACTTACCTACACCTATTGATTACATCGTGTGAATGCATTTATTAAAATTAGATCTCATGCATATAGTCATATCCTTATGCCATCGTGCATTGGTGGCTCACAGAGAAGTACATAACTACTTATTCAATTGAGAAGCAACAACAACAAAAATCTCATGAGACTGCTACATACAGATAAAGCAAGGTTTATTTTTGAGAGAAAGCTTACTAAGTGAATAAAGTATTCAGAACCCTCCATGCATTAGAGTACTTTTAAACTAGAATTCAAAACGATGTGGACATGCCAATATCTCGCAAACACAGTTGGTGCTGAACAGATACATATAAAAAACAATAACGGATACATATGAAAAAAAAAAAAACTCATTTGGTGAGAAAATGAGAAAACCCAGCCTGCCACATGGACAGTTGATTAATCTCTTAGTATTGATTTGTTATCACATTTGAGATCCATGTAGTTGAATACACTTGAGTGCTCGTTAGCATGGTCCACGAAGTTGTGTCATGACCTCAGATAAAAGCCTTCGGTTCCCAAGCATGCCACTGTCTTTTGCTAGCAACAACATAGGACATATGAACAAAAACACAACAACAAAAAGAAGAAAGAAGGATGAACGTGTTTTCATTAAACAAGTTAGGAGTGGTTACTGAGCATTACGAATAAAATTCAAAATCTCAGCAGAGGCCATAACAATGAGGGACACGTCAAATGATTTCAAGTGTGTGCAACTGTGCTAAAGAGACAGGCAGTGCAACAACTTTGTCTAGATACAGACAAAAGGACGCAACTATGTGTAAATACATGCAGCTGTTAAATGCGAATCATCTTATAGATCTGATCACTCAGATATTTTTTCTCCTGCTTTTCATTATATGACACATTTCAATCACTTATGATCTTGTTCATTGATAAAAAGAAAATTAGAAATGTGGTACAGTGCTAACACCCGGATAAATAATGAAAAGTAAAAATCATTAAGAAGCTTGTTTGGTATTGATGAGTTATAAAATGTTAATATAGTGAATAAAAAGGGAATAAAAGGGAATAAAAAAAGAAAGCTTTCTATTAGAAAATAAACTTGAACTAAATTGTAATACTAAAGAGGTTTGAATGTCATACAGCAGTCCATAGATATTAAATATGGCACATAATTAATTCAGCCACTATGGCTTTAACATTGCTCTTGTTTAACAAAGAATGCCAATTTATTAAAGCCAATTTGGATTTCGCCATGTCAATAATTATTGATGGAATAAAGTTTAGTGAAGGCACTCACACATGCCATGATATCGTATTGCTTAATTAATAAGTTATAAACAAGTACATTCAAATGAGAGCACTATACAATAGCAGTCCAGTACCAATCTTCCAGCTAGCTTTTTAATTAATTTGAATTTTCATCCCTATTTAAATGTCAAAGTGAAAAATTAATGAACCTTGAGTTTCCCTGCGGCCGGCGTCAATGTTCGTAACAATTATTCGTATTTTCAAGCTTTCGACTTCCTCTGAAGTTCTGCTTTTTTTCTTGAAATGTCAATGTGACAGCCTCAATATGTCAACCACAGGTGTCATGGTATGTTATTGCATGTTGGATTGTTTTTGCAAAGAAAAGCTCGAAAACTAAGTTGACTGTTAATGTAAATGAGCTCTGTAGAAACCCACAAGGTGGTGAAAGGGTTAAGAAAAAAAGAGTAATTACATCTTCTCCTGGTTAGCTCACTAAACTCCTGGTTAGCTCAATTGGTAGAGCGACTGCCCCAGAAAGGCGTTGGTCCCGAGTTTGATCCCTAGACCAGGACAAATTTCTCGTCAACTAAGAAGCTTTTCTTTCCGAGAAATCTGTACAAATTTACTTGTGGCGTCATGCTACAACCGGGTGGTTGTCTTCTTTTTTTACATTAACATGACTGTTTCGTTTTCCTTAAAATGCCACAAGACCTGGCTTGATGCCATCAAAATCTATGATATCGCGGCGACCAGGTGTGAGCACTACAGTACAATGTGGGCTACTGCATTTTCATGTTTCCCATTGTCCGCTTCATAATGCCTTCTCTCGTGGTAAAAGCAGCCATAGATACCCAGTTTAATAGTATTTAATATTCCTCACTATTGTTCTTTAATGAAATGCAGGGAATAGTAGCACAGTTTTTTATTAAGGCACAAAGAAAGGCTTCCGTTAATAAAGTCATATAAAGCAAATTACCTAACTAGCTTTTAAAATAAATTTAGCAAATAAACTTCATTGCCCAAGATATGAGGTAAACACATTGGGAGCATTGTCACACTATATCAATGAAGTCCTACATGTCTTGAAATGCAAGAATAATGTAACACCCATCGGCAGTTATGAACAAACGAGATGTGAAAGATTAACACTGGTCCAGCTGCCAAAATGCTACATAGTAGAGGCACTTGATTGCATAATTACACAAACACAAAAATCTCTTCTAATCGTCCTCAGCATTCTTTGGGCACAAATTTTTGAATGAGCTAAGAGAATGACTGGTTTGTGTATCCCTGCAAGAAGAAAAAGTAAGAAAAAGGACATCAATTAAGCTGCCCCGGTAAACACTTCCTCAAAGGGGGCATTCTAGCAGCAATCCAAAGCGATTACAAGCTTGAGCGCCTACAAGACACATTTCAACATCAAGAACTGTTCAAGCCAAGTTAAATTTCCTAATGTAGCAGTGAGTGTCACTTTATATTATGCAGAAAATATCAGAAGTACGCATCAGAAGTACAGAATTTAGGTCTACTGCAAAACTTGTGATCAGTGGCAACATGAAGCATTTAGGTTCCATCAGAGGTCTAGTTAGGAGGGAGAGGGTAACACATTTACACAGGCGTCTTAGCGTCTCCTCAAATACCTAGAGTGAAGTGAGGTGTTACATCTGCCTGCTCAGGGCCTATTACTGATAAGGCTCAAATATCAAGCTGTTGCTACTAAATTCGTAGCAGCATCAAGAGAAGGCCATGCGTGCTACCTGTTGTGAAGCTTCAATGAAGTTGTGCTCTGTAGCTGTTAAGTAATTATTATACTATATTTATTTACAGTGAAGTATAAAAAGTAAAAAACATTTTTATACCCTTCTACAAAATAAGTGCTTGAATGTGCATGCTCTGGGTTCTGCTGTGCCAAATGGCTTTGTCAACACATAGGTCATTGACCTTTGCTCATTGAAATCAGTGTAAAATTTGCATCAGTTCCACTTGATTCATTATTTCTTACCTCTATAGTTTAATTAAAAAAGATGTACTTAGAAAGTAAATGAGTAATATTGATGTTAATAAAAATTCTATTATATAGCTTGTCTGGTATCAATCGGTATGTTGTCTATGTCTCTTTTTTTTTGTCTTCGTTTTTTGGCGCTAAGATATCGAAGTCATGCAATGGGCAAGTTTGACTTTTATGAACTGGGTGAGTCATGTACACCGCATCCAATGAGGTGTTCTACAGACGTTCCAGTGCAAATGTCTGCCATGAAGTCCATTAAATGTTAATGGACTTGAGTTTAGAAGCAAATGCTTAACTTACGTCATATTACAAATACCTGCAGAAAGTAAATATTACACGATGATTCAGCAAAATATGCAAGTTGCAACAGCCATGTAACTGGAGGCACAAAACTCAACTTACGTTATAGTTCTCCTCGCTCGTAACAAACTTGTACTTCTTAGACTTGTACAAATCCCGACGCTTCAGGCAGTTAAGAACAACAAGGTCACACAGTACAGTGGCCTGTAAAAAATAAAGGGACAGGAAATGCAAGGAAAATCGGATGACTGTTGAAAGCAGCTCTCTACAATAAATAAATATTGTTCACACTGCATCGACCTAATAATAAGCCATGATGCATAACAAATTGCTGTGACTTAGCAGAATTACATGCATGGGCAATGGGAGCATGCACCCCTTTAGTCAGCGCAGAGCATTTCTTTCCACACTTAGTTGTGCCCCTAGTTGCCTAGTTGACACCTCCAGCAAGTGCACTTACCACAACCATCAACCCAAGACCAGATCCTATGTTGATGGCGATAGGAATAGGACTGGCCTTTCCAGCCCTGCCTTGAACTAGGATTACAAAAGTGATGCCGTACGCTTTAACCAGGCTGCGTTCCTTCTCGTTATAGTACTTGGGGTACCTGTCAGTTCAAAGATGAATATGTCAAAATTTCAATTAATCACAGCTTACTACACCAGCAAATCATGAAGTGAAATAATGATATGACACTATGGCATGTGCCGACATTGCATGCCACGACATGGTAAGTAGTCAATCGTTAGATCATGATGATAAAGAGCCCCAACCAAATAAAACCAGAAAACAATACAAACAACTCACCTAAAATTCCAACCCTTAGCTAATGCAGCATTAGGGTCGTCCAGGCGCAGAAAAGAATATTTGGGAACACAGTACTTTATATCAAAGTCCAAGTTGCAATCCCATGATATAAGCACCTGTATTACACCACCCTATAAATGATCAAAGAAGCAGGCAAGTTCTGATTAGTAAGGACATGGAAATCAAAGACACGCTTTATTCACAGGACAACTAAGTTTTATGGCTTAGTTTCAGGCAGCTGTATGACTTTCAAAAAGTTTCAAAACATTGTACACAAGTGCTGTTACTCTGTTGCTTTTGCCATTTTTTTCTAGCTTTCAAGACCACTAGCCATTTGGAACGAGTGACTTGGTAGAACACACATGACACACATTTGAAGTGGTCCATGAGCTCTACGTTAGCATGCTACAGTCTTACTATTTGATCTTTGCCAATGTCACAACAGGATTTTCCCTTTTTATTTTTTAGCTTGTGCGAGAAGCAGACATTGTGGTATGTACATTGTCTTTAGTAACCCATCACGGTATATTAAAGGTAACCATAAATGCCAATTGATTAAAACAATATGCAAAATTGGCAAACAAACGCATTTCGAGTAATTTTTACACTAGTCATTAAAATGTTATTTGTTGTTCAATCTCTTTGTGCAAAAATTGTTAAATAAATTCAAACATTGATGATTTCAGTTACCAGTTAAGACATGTTGAGAATGTTTATTTGGTACTTAGTGCTAGACAGCTATATAGTCCAGGATTTGTGCCTTTGGAACCACTTTAAATATTCAAATGGTATTTCTTTACACACTTACAAACTAAATTGGGTATACTATATGTTTGTATGCATTGGTTAAAAAAGAGATGTGGCTGTCACAGTCGCTTTAAGAATTTTGTCTATGTGTTATAAGATAAATATTTTACCTCGCAGCTTAAGTTCTAGAAAACAGCATGTTGTTGCTTACAATTTGCTGTGTAGAAAGGTGTTCTGAAGTATTGTTTGCAGTGGCAAAATTTTCTTATATATATCAATATATATCTATATATATCTAATCTATAAATAAGGAGGTTCTTACTACAGTTAATGTCTCTAAGTACCTAGGCGTCGTGTTTTCTGCTGACTGCTCATGGAATGAGCACATCAGTGAGACAGTTGGTAAGGCTGGACGGGTGCTGAACTTTGTTCAACGAAACCTAAGATGTCGCGAGGTTGAATTAAAACGGAGTGCATTTACTACATGTGTTCAGTACGCCTGCCAACTATGGAATTCATCGGAAGCCAGTCTCATTTCTCAAACAGAAGGTATCCAAAACAGAGCAGCCAGGTACGTACTGGGCAGGTACCGTAGAATGGACAGTGTCACAAGGATAAAAAAAGAATTAAATTGGGAATTGTCTTCACGAAGATGGAAGTTAAAACTATATAATATTTTTCACATATATAACAAGGTAGGCATAAACAAAGATAATTATTTAAATACAACTTTTTATGTTTCTATGCATAATGATCACAAACACAAAATCCGTGAATACCGGCCCAGGACATGCATGTTTGCGAATTCTTTTTTTTTTTCGAAGTGTGTAGCCGAATAGGAGAAGCTCTCTGAAGAACAAGTCTGTTGTGTAAATGAAGATCTATTTGTATCTCTGTTGTAAACCCCCCCCCCCCCCCCTGCTGTGACGCCCAAGGGCGATGCAAGGTAACTTTTGAATAAATAAAAAAAGCGTTAACTCTAGCTTTCCAAAATATAATAAAAAAAATAATAATACACCATAACATGGAGTGAATCCACTTAGTGAGTAGATCACCACAGAAGCTGGCAGTCATTCTAACTAAGATATCTTTACAGTGGAAAGCTCTTATAAAGAAATCAGAACCCATAAAGCGGCAAAAAATGTGGCCATGTTACCTTGACAGAAACATCATCAAAATCTTCACCCGCAGCATCTACCATGTCCTCAATCCGGAATACAGGGCAGTGGGGATCCTTTTCAGGATGATATCGACAGTATTTAAGATATGTAGAGTTTTCAACATCATGGACATTGCTCCTACAAGTAGAATGTGATAGTGAAATCAATAATGACCCTAAATGCCTTTTTCCCTTCATGACTTTATGTGAAATGCTAAAAAAGTTCGAATAATAAATTATTCATTGAGCCCTTCATTGTCATTAAATCTCGCTAACATTAAGCAAATTCAAATTTAATTTTTATTTCAACATTAAAGGAGACATTTCAAAAGTCGCAATAGCAATGCTGTGGGACAAAAGCAAGAAGCCATTAAGGCTTGACAGAGGCTTTTGCACCATTAGACAAAATAGCAACAGCAACAGTCATTACACAATTTGAAAACAAATATTACATACAAAAGAAAAAGTAGGAATGTTTTATTGCAGGCAACTATTTAATGTTAGTGGCAGTAAGTAGCGCATCACTTGTCGACTATAATTAGTAAGTGCGTAAGGGATCTTCCTGTCTCCAGTGGCTTGTGTGCTATAGGGGCAGGCGTAGGCTAAATCTGCAAGAAAAGAATCGTGCTTCTTTCGCGAGAAGTACGATATCACTTCTTTAAAACTGAATTGTACATGTGGGGTATTCGTTGTTAATTAGGGCTTCAAAAATCGGTCTCGTATGCTCATCATGTGATGCACTTTTTTCATGAATAATTAAAATGATTAATATTTATATTAAATATTATTAAAATATTTTAAAATATTAAAAATAAAATAAAACAAAAAATGTACATCAATGTTACATTTTGAAATTTGACCACGAAATTTTGGCAAATGAATGTGAGCATGATGTAATGAGTTCCAAAGTGTTTTCCTGTATTATACGAGCATGTTCTCAATAAAAGTTCATAACACTTTCTTTCTTTAATCCTATGGCCCCCTTACAGGACAATTTACTTCACTTTCACAGGTTGTTAATTGTGCAGGTCCAACTAGACGCTGTCAACATCTATGACTTTACGAGCCGGATGTGAAACTTCAATGTATGTCACCACCTGATTTTTCTTCTAGCGTGATTCTCTCATCTCGCAGCACGAGTGATACTTTTAAGTGCTCGGAAAGGGTAATTTATTATTATAATAAATATTGTTTGTCTCTCATGTGCCCTAAATAGAAACAAAGCTGCACAGCCTAAGTCATTTCTCATTTGATATGAAAGAATAAAAGTGCAAGTGAATAGCATTCAGAATGAAATCAGCCAATAGTTGTGTTCAAATATAACCACACATCATTCTTTACCTGCTCCGTTTTGCATAGCTGTAAATGCACATTTTAAATGACAAACCAGAATGTTAGCAGAAAAAAATGAATCCACTAAAATGAATAAATACACATGTGGTTTCATTGTGCAACGGTCCGAAATCTGTCCCCCCCCCTACCCCCAATTCGTAAACGTTTTTAATCTATATACCGTATTTTCACGCATATAACCCACATCAAAAACAGAAAAATGTGCTTAGAAAGTGGGTGTGGCGGTTATGTCGAGAGGTTGTATGCGTACTTCCCTTCTCTTTGTGGAGTTAAAATTAGGGGTGCAGGTTATACTATGCAGGGATGAATTGCGTGCAAGAAAATAAGGTATTTTTCCTTCTACTGTGATTGTGCCTCATGAGTATTTATATATTCTACCAAGAATCATGCAAATGATGAAAAGGGGCTGCACGAACATGGGAAGTAGATATTGTGTGCTTGCCTTCTAACATGAAAAAGTGAAAACTCAATGTAGTTCTTGATGAGCACCGTGAAGTTTCGAACGTCAGACAACAATGCCGAGCCGTTCCGCCTGCAAAGACATAACAAAACAAGTGGGGCATATCTTTACAGCACTGGTATAATAAAATTCTGTCAATGTACCATTTATTATGTAAGACCCTGCCCTAACAAGACATTGCCTTAACTGCACACAAATAACAGGTTGCAAGGGCATTGCCACAATAGGTTTCATAATGTCGAACTTCTGTTGGCAGTACATTTGCAAACATATTTAATTAATCTGTTTAAAGTGAGCAGATTACATTTTAAATTGACATGTAATGAAGCATGGAGCAAACTGCATACTTCAGCACAACCTTTCATAAAGAATTACATGCCACGAAATGTTTCAAGCGACACATTTACAAAGGAATTGTAATGGTTTATATGGTTCTCAAGATTTTAACTCAGGTTGCGTGTGATGTGAAAAGTGAGTGCTGTAGTGTGTTAAACACTGATGGGTTTTTATCGCTTCAGAGCTATTATGCTTATTCAAACAGTAGAGTCGTGTACTGTTTTATATATTCATTGCACAGCATTGTTTGGGTTGGTTGGTTAGCTTTTGGGGTTTAACATCCCAGAACACACAAGCTATGATAGATGCCATAGCGGAGGTCCCAATAAATCTTTTCAGGGGCGAAGCTCCTTAAGGCCTGGGTCGTGCGTCTCTTGTACGTAGTAGCCACCTCTCGTTTTAGTCCTTCGAATGTCTGCTCGACGGTGGTACTTGTATACGACGAATATATGATGAAAAAGTGCAAGATGGCAGTACTTGTGCTCACTAGATGAATGAACGGACGTGGCCAGCGGACGATTCACGGTTTGCCGATAAAACGTTTCGAAGCGTCGCCTCCCTTCACCAGCATTCACTCCGTGAATACGCCGTTACTTTTTTCTTGCACCTGTGAGAATGTCGCACATTTTATGTGTACCTAAAACGCTAAATGGTGCCTATGGCCTCAGGTGAGTGCCGGTTGGTCTACTCGACCCAGAAACTTGCAATGAACTTCAACTACTAACGGCCGCCTAAGCCGACAAAAGCAAGTGATATGCAGTCCTTCTGACACGCAGCACCAAATGCGCTAGACTGGACTACTTCCTGTAGCAGTACATGTGCAAAACCTCCGCCCTTGTAGAATTTTCTTCATTGTCAAATAAAGTTGACTGCGAGTATAGTACGGAAGGCTGGCAGCAATCTTCATACAACGTGGTTCCTACTGGCAGGAATACACGAAATAGTTGAGCCTCTTCAAAACAGAATTTCTGGAACCTAAAGAAAGGGGATAAAGAAAAATAATGCACTCACAATGGTCCAAAGTCTTGCTCCACGGGGCACCAGCCATAAATCTCACACACATGTAGCGTATCATTTGGCTTTGCAGCCCTTATGCAACGCCCTGTCATGACACCTGCATGTTGCAAACGCAGAAGCCGTTTCACAAAAAAATCACAACATACCAAGCCAACTACCAACAATACTGCATTATGTACTTCTTACATGCTGCAGACTGTGCAAGAACAACTGCCCTAGACACCGATTTTCCTTCAGTTTTCCACAGCGCTCAACTGATGCCCGAACAGAATAACAGGCACCATTACTAATGTTTCGTATTTATGTTCAAAATGCTCCTTTATATACTTTGAAAGAGACAGGAGAGGACATACAGACCTGTCCTGCAACTTATTTCTTGTATTGTCTTAGTGCAGCCAGAATGTTAATTTCTGTATGTGATTTATTGGCCCATAGGAATACGTACACTCATTTCCTGTGCGTAAATATTCAATAGACGAAAGCTTCAGCTCCTACCAAAAATAGTAGAGACCATTGGATTGTTATCTTTCCTGTTTCATATCAATAAACCTTTTTGGCATTTAAATTTCATGCTGCCAGAGTGCAAGAGGCAAGAAAAAAATGGGAAAGTTAACAGCGAGGAATGAGAAATTGCACAAACATCAAAGACGTTTTGCTCGTGTACATACAGTGCATCCCCCAAAGTTAGCGTATTAGACTGTCATCAGTAGTCTTGGTTTACTTCCTCTGCTCTCTTATCTCATGTGACTTTTGTGCAACAGATGTGGTCAGGCTACTGCAGCAGCATTCGGCTGTTGCTATTGGTATGCCACACCCCACACAGAAGTAAGAATATTGACGAAGTAGCCACATTGAAGGCTGCAAAAAAGGACATACCATTTCCTATCAAGAGGGGCTTCCCTGGTGTACAGGATGTGGTATCATTCTCATTCTTGCAATGGGCATCTTTAATAGCCGGATCCTAGAACAAGCAACACACGACGTGGCAACTCTGAAGCCTCTGACTGAATGACAGCACATGATCCAGACACATTCCGAGAATGCTAGTTTTCAGAACTTTCTTATCATTATTCTTAATCATGGCACATTAAGGAAACTAATTATTAAGTCAGAAATAATAATTTGCTATATTATCAGATGGTAGACAGCCTGATTAGAAACTAGAAACCTTTATTATAATTTTTAATTCTAACATAAACCATTAAAAAACAAGCTCACCTCTGGACATGTCTTCATTTCCTGGCTTGGTGTTATAATCAAATTTGTCGTCACAAAAAATTGGTTGGTTTCCTGCAGACAGACCACCAAAGCATATATTGATTGCTCTTCTGTGTGTTCGAACTTTTTATAAGCTATCAAGCATGAAAGACTAGCTTTAATAGCAAAAAAACTTAAGATTTTTATTGTTTTGTTAGCTGGTGGAGTGGTACAAATGTAAATTTTTACAATATGCGCAACAAGCCAATTGCTTTCACAACTAAAAAAATAGTCCCACTCAGGATATCAGTCTGTAGTGCGCACTCATTCGTGAAGCAAGAGAGAAAAACAACTTTATTTATCCCATAGGGAAAGTGGCTGCGAGAAGGCGAGGGATGCTACTTTCAGTATGCCTCCTTAACCACCTCAGCCCACCTCAGGATAGCCCCCCCGAAGGTCGGGGGGGGGGGGGGCTATACATTTTTTATGAATACATTTTTTGCATGGCAAATGAACAATCGGAGGTCCCAAAGTAAAAACTGTCAGGGGGACCTCCTAACAAAAAGTAAAAAGAGGATTAGCTTTTTAGTCGGCAAACAGCGACGAAATCACAGTAATATTTAAAAGAAAATGGTGCAAAAACGTAGGGCCATATAAGCAATAGTGACAATTTGCTTGAAACAAAGAAACTTAAAAGAAAACATTCAAGTCATAAGGCATTTACCAATAAGACCTTCAAGCGCTTACTAAAGGAGTAAATTGAGCATGATTTGAGATCAACAGGGAGCATGTTCCACAGTGTCATGCATAAAAATCTTGCCGTCATTTGACCATAGTTGGTACGTACTTTATGTAAAAGTAGATTACGGTTAGCTGAAAACCTCGTGTTGTTAGTATTTACAAGAGTAACTCCCGAGAAACTGGAAATGTATAATTCATTATTAAGGATACGAAACATGATCATTAGAATTTTGTAGCTGAAGAGTTTATGCAGAGGTAAAATGTTCATGTTGCTAAAAAGGGGGGCTGATGGTGATGAAAATGGTTTGAAAGTAAAGAGTCTCAAAGATTGCTTCTGTGATCGTTCTAGATGATTTACAAGTGACCAATATGTATTTCCCCATAATGATATGAAGTATGACAGGTGACTATGAATGAATGCGTAATATAAAGATAAAATAATTTCAGTGGAGAAGAGAAGTAAGGTCGTGCTTTGATGATCACATAGATACCGAAAAATACCTTTTGAATAAAGGCCTGCGCATGCTCGCTGAATTTCAAATGCTTATCTAATACCACACCAAGAAATTTTGTAGATGAACATGCATAAATGAAGTGTCCATCAAGTGTCACTGCTAATGAAGCGATGTTTGGAAACAACTGCGGGGAATGGAATACCAAGAAATTAGTCTTCGATAGATTGATGATTTCTTGTCCCTGCACAGCTCGTAAGAAAACTATGGTTATAGACGATCACAACACCATAATAGCCTTGAAACATAGCAACCATAAGAATAACATAAATGGTCCAATCATGACCAGAACTTGAAAGCTTCGAAATGGCGCACAGGTTAAAAAATATCAAGGAACTACTGCCACCCTTGCCAAACCACCCCCTTGGTGAAATTATTGCTGACGCTATAGAGCCTGTAAACATGTTGCATGGTTCATATAAAGAATTATACCAAATTTCATTGATTTATTGATATGCTGCTTTTATATTTATTAAAGTTATTTTCATTATTAAGGGTCTTTACAGGAAGGTGCAACAACTTTGTATCGACTAAGTAGACACATACATAAAAAACATCCTTCATCAATAACATTTACAAATATTCACACAAAAATATATAAAAACTATGTCATAACCAAACAACATGACATATTTTGACATCAATAACAACAACTAAATATGAATTCATTATTATGGTGAATTGCAGAAATGTACATCAAGTAAGCACATAGATATATCATCCTTCAGCAACCAATTGCTTGCTGCATCCCATCAGGGGAAAAAAAGATTTCTTCTGTTTCAACTATTAATCTGTGCCATACCTAGTAGCTACAAAATAAATCGGGCTCAATAAAAAAAAAAGTAAAATTACCAATCACCTGAAAGTAAAGCATAAAGTTGCAAAAAATAAATGACAATTGTCTTTGTCAAATCTTATCATCTAGTTCATTTCCACAAAAACTTAATGAACAAACAAAAAAACATTACTTTAAGAGAACGAAACTTATTACAATATTGTATGAATTGGCTGTTGGATTATGACTAGCTTCAAGTAAGAGGATATGCCCCCCATCCCTTTGACTGCACATAATTGCAAATATGCACCATTGCCTTGTATTTTAGTATGGTATGACTGATATATTATCACAATGCAGAAACAACAGCAGTCGAATACAGGAAACTCACTTTAATTGTACCAGAACACTGGCAAACTGATCGGAAGAGAGCCTCGTCTTCTTCTCTTGCTGCGCGTGTTCTTCGTTATTCTCTTGGTGCTGCATATTCAATGTGGCATTTGCCCCCCCCCACCTCCAGAGAGCAGCGTCCCGATGCTCTTCTATAAAAGATGGTGTAGTAGATTTATGGTGTAAATCAGTCCGAAAAGTAGGGCTTCATTCGCACAACGTGCACGATTTCTGGTTTTTGCTGGCGAGTTGTCGAGGGGCTGTCAGGAACGACCACGTAATTAACGTCGCTCAGGCGTTGTAAAACTGTGTAGGGGCCAAAATACTTCTTCAGCAATTTTTCAGACAGTCCCCGGCGGCGGATAGGACTCCAAACACGACCTTTTTTTTTGTTCATTCTATTGAATTGTGGAATTCTTTGCCTGGTTATCTTCGATCTTTATCACTGGATGAATATTTATTGTATATTACTAATCATTGATGTAGAGCGCACTTGTTATGCTTTTCTATGTATGTATTTGCTTACTCCTGCGACAGCCCTGCGGGGCTGCAGTATGTTAAAATAAATAAATAAATAAATAAATAAATACCCAGACTTTGTCGCCGGCCCGATAGACGACATGTCAGTGTCGCAGATTATAACGCTGGGCGTCGTAATTTTGCTGCTGGGCGATTCGGACGCGCGCAAGCTGCCTCGCTTCTTCTGCTCGTAGGGTAAAAGATGCAGCGTCCAAATCGATGTCATTGCAGTCGTGCAGTAACATGGCGTCAAGCATCGTCGTCACTTCACGGCCATGAAGGAGACTGAACGGCGTTCTTCGTGTAGTTTCTTGCTGCGCTGTATTATAGCCGAACGTGATGTATGGTAGAATGTCGTCCCAGTTCTTGTGATCCACGTCAACGTACATACTCAACATGTCGAAAATAGTCTTGTTGAGGCGTTCTGTTAAGCCGTTGGTTTGTAGATGATAGGAAGTGGTTTTCCGATGGGCTGTTCCACTGAGCTCAAGCACTGTATTCAGGAGCGCGGCCGTGAAAGCGGCACCTCGATCCGTCATTATGATTGTCGGAGCATCGTGCCTCAGGATGATATTTTCCACGAAGAATCGTGTGTTTCAACGGCGGTGCCACTTGACAAAGCTTTTGTTTCCGCATAGCGCGTAAGATAATCAGTGGCGACTATTACCCACTTGTTGCCAGCATGGGAAGTCGGATATGGTCCAAGGAGATCCATTCCAATTTGGGCAAAAGGTACTGTGGGCACTTGAATTGGTTGTAATAGTCCAGCTGGTTTTAACGGTGACGATTTGCGTCATTGACAATCGAGGCATGTGCGCACGTAATGCTTCACAATAGCTGGAAGTCTTGGCCAGTAGTATTTCTGTTGGATTCTGGCCAATGTGCGTGTGTATCCGAGATAACCAGACGTTGGCTCATCGTGGCAAGCACAAAGTATCTCCTCACGGAGTGACGTCGGAACGACAAGTAGGTGGGTGCTTTCTCTGGGACAAAAGTTCTTCTTATAGAGAACACCACTACGTAAGCAGAATGATGGCAGGCTCCTTGCAAATCTTCTAGGGACGATTGTTGTTCGGCCATTCAAAAATTCAATAAGGGGAAGCAACTCACTGTCTTCTTTCTGCTTGCATGAAATCGTAGTGGTGTCGACGACTCCTACAAACGCCATGCTGTCATCTTCTGTGTCATCGTCGCGCTTTATCGGTGACCTTGATAAGCAATCGGCGTCGGCGCAGTGCCGTGCGAACTTATACACGACCGTCATATCAAACTCTTGAAGACGTAAGCTTCACCGTGCAAGCCGACCAGACGGGTCTTTCAAGTTGGTCAGCCAGCAGAGGGAATGATGGTCGCCGACTACTGGGAAGGAACGACCATAGAGGTACAGATGAAACTTCATAACCGCCCATACGACAGCAAGACACTCTTTTTCCGTTGTGGAGTAGTTGGACTCGGCGCGGGAAAGCGTCCTACTAGCATATGCGATCACGCGCTCGGCTGGACGAGTACAGCGCTAAAACCCACGTTGCTGGCATCCGTGTGGACCATGGTAGGAGCATCCTCATCAAAGTGAGCAAGCACAGGCGGAGTCTGCAGGCGTTGTCGGAGATCGTCAAATGCCACCTGTTGATCGTCGCCCCATGTGAACGAAACGTCTTCTCTTGTGAGTCGTGTTAACGGCGAGGCTATGTGGGAGAAATTGGCAATAAACCTTCGGGAGTATGCGCATAGGCCAAGGAAACGCCTGACTGCTTTCTTGTATTTTGGCATCGGAAATTTTCTGACGGCCGCAATCTTATCGGGATCAGGTCGAACACCTTCATGGCTCACCACATGGCCTAACAATTGGAGCACCTTGAAACCGAAATGACACTTCTCGGGTTTCAGTGTCAGGCCGGCAGACCTTATTGCCCTGAATACCGATAGCAGCCTGCTCAGGTGTTCCTCAAATGTTTTTGAAAAAACAATGACGTCGTCCAGATAGACCAGACATGTCTGCCACTTAAGGCCTGACAGAACGGTATCCATCAGTCTCTGAAATGTTGCGGGGGCTGAGCACAATCCGAACGGCAAGACTTTAAATTCATAAAGCCCGTCAGGCGTTACAAAAGCAGTTTTTTCTCTATCTCGCTCGTCGACCTCAATTTGCCAATACCCACTTTTGAGGTTTATTGACGAAAAGTAGCGTGCATATCTCAGCCTGTCGAGTGAATCATCGATGCGCGGTAATGGGTATACGTCTTTCTTTGTCACACGGTTCAGCTTGCGGTAGTCGACACAAAATCGCAAGCTTCTGTCTTTCTTTTTAACCAGCACTACCGGCGATGCCCAAGGACTTCTTGACGGCTGGATGACATCATCATCGAGCATTTTCTTCAGTTGTTCCTGGATTGCTTCACGCTCTTTCGGTGCTACGCGGTATGGGTTCTGTCGTATTGGCCTTGCCGTCTCCTCCGTTATTATCCGATGCTTCGTCAGTGGCGTTTGACTGACCCTCGAGGTCGATGAAACACAGTCTTTGAACTGGTGAAGAAGATCTACTAGACGCTGTCTCTGCGCTGGTTACAAATCCGTGCTTACGTCAATAGGTGGTGGGGCTGATGTGGCTTGCGGCTCGTCCTGTTGTACTACACAGCACTCGCGTATTTCGGTGATCTCGCCGAAGTACGCAACTGTAGTGCCTTCGGTAATGTGTCGTCGCTCGTTGGTAAAATTCGTCAACAGAACCTCTGCTTCATTGCACACAAAATTGACGATACTTCTGGCAATTGCAACACCGCGAGAGAGTAGAAGCATCAATACTTATTCAGCGATTCCTTCTCCAGTATTCTGCTCGCTGCATGTGACTGAAACAAGGCGGCACGATAACGGAGGTACGGCCACATCGTCAATGACTCGCAGGGATCTTCGGTGTAGCACTGCGCTTTTATCCACTGAAAAGGTCAGTACACCGTTCGGAATATTGATGATGGCACCATATTCACGCAAGAAATCCATCCCCAAGATTGCCTGTTTGCAACACTCAGAAAGAATAACATTAGTGGCGATAAAGGATGCATCCCCTATCTTCATTCTTGCGGTGCACTTTCCGGTAAGTGTGAGTAGCTGCCCTCCAGCTTCTCTAATCTGCAGTCCTGTCTATTCCATTCTAACCTTCCTGAGCGTGTCTGCCAGACTCTCACTCATTATTGAGAAGTCCGCGCCAGTGTCGACCAATGCCATGACGTCATGTCCGTCAATCGTAATTGCAACTTCAGCAGTAACAACCCCATCTTTCGTCGATTCATTGAAAATGTGTCTCTCTTCGCTCGGCAGTATTTGGGGATTTTCAGCACTTCGACGATTCGCAACCTTCCCCCCTGAGGTCGCTGCTTTTAGTTTCTACGGCGTGGGAGTGCTCGTGTACGGCTCAGGAAGCGAGAGCGCTTGTCTTATCTCCTGGCGTACAACTTCCGTTACTGAGGCGATCGCGTAGTCATTCGGTTTGGCGACGAGCTTCTTGACCTATTCTTGTACGATTTCTCGTATTAGTTGGCGCAAAGAACCTTCGTCGGGTGTTGTTGCTGTGGTCGTGGCTGCCACGCTGATCGGTGCACTGTGTGTTGGGCGGTCATACTGGCGATAACGTAGATGCAGTGCGCGTTCGATAGATGGCGCCTCCTTGGAGAATTCCTCCACACTTGTAGGCGGGTTTCGTACGAGACCAGCGAAGAGCTGCTCCTTAACGTCCCGCATTAGGGGGCTAACCTTTTCGGCTTCGGGCATATTAGGATCTGCTCGACGAAATAGCCGCGCCATGTCCTCAACAAACATCGTAACGGATTCATTTGGTTTCTGAATCCGTGACTCGAGGAGATGCTGTGCGATTTCTCGTCTTTCAGTGCTCGCGAACGTATCGAGGAACTTTTGCCGGAACTCGTCCCAAGACGACCACACGCGATTCGTGAACCACGTTCGGGCTCCGTCTTGAAGCGGAAAATAAACGTAGCCCAATTTCTGTGTGGTGTTCCACCCGTTAACATTCGCTGTGTGCTCGAATTCCTTGAGCCAGTCATGTGCATCCTCATATGCGTTTCCGTGGAAGTCAACCGGGGCCAGTGCTTCCAAGCGCCGTCATGCTTTCTGGCACAGTCACGCTTTCCGGCAATGGACCAAACTCCGGGCTGAGGCCTAACAGGCGCCGGCTGCTGTGGTGAACGGGGGTGTCGATGCGCGGAAGTCTTTCTGGACTAGATGCGGGGCTGTTGTCAGGCGTCCCGAACATGTACCCAGCGCCTCCACCAATGTCACAATGCAGAAACAGCAGCAGTCGAATACAGGAAACTCACTTTAATTGTACCAGAACACAGGCAAACTGATCGGAAGAGAGCCTCGTCTTCTTCTCTCGCTGTGCGTGTTCTTCGTTATTCTCTTGGTGCTGCATATTCAATGTGGCAATATCATCTATTGTACATACTAATTGAAAATATGCACCATTTCAGTGTACCCTACTGTGAATGTGTACATACATGGTCAATTGTTCATTACAATACTTTTACTGGAGGGATTTCTGACATGGGAGTTCATTAAGGCTGACAGAATGGCTGCATCTTACCTGTGGTGGGACAACTATGTCTGCAATATCCCAGATGCGCTTGTAGACAGACTTGTTCTTGAGAAATGGGTAAAATGCATCGTCAGATATATTTTTTGTCGACAAAACACCCTTGACTTTTGTTGTTGTAGCTGCAGTGAAGGTGCTGAACTCCTGGTACCCTTTTTGATAGACGATGACATACCTGCATTGTGCATCATTTGAAGGAATTATTCACCAATTTCTTTATTGTACCATGAGGGTACAAATTACATGATGGAGGAGAAGGGCAAACACCAACAGTAAAAAGAAGACAAGCTACATTTCATACAAATACAGAAAATAATTAAGGTCCAAAGATTAGAAATGCTATCAGCTTACTTGCAGTATAATAAAATGAATAGAGAACAATAATGTTAATAATCATACTATTATCAGGTGGCAAGGGCAACAAGAAAAATAAATCTATTATTGAACAAAACATACAAGTAGTAATTAGGTAATCAGTATTTTGAGGACTTCATTAAATCGAATGGAATCCATGAGACTTGTTAATAACAAAGGTAAGAAATCCTATTCTTTACAAGTTCTTTCAAAATATGATTGGGCATAAGTTACTGTGTTGGAATAGAGGGACGAGACATTTGTCGGCCATTGTAGCAAAGGAGAATGAAGGGTGCTCGTTGAAAGTAAGCAGAAGCGAAGATTAGAGTTATGGTAAAATTTAAAAAATAGAAAAATGTGGACATTTTTTTCAGTAAGAATGAGGTGTAAAGATGCGTCGACTTATGTGATGCTAGCTTAACGGCAGAGGTCAGCCAAGTTGAAACAAGTTGCACACTTCCACACATTTTCCAGCAGGTGTGAATATGCGACGTGTCTAGAGTACTATACAGATCATGCATATTGCATTGGTGGTGATGCACTGAGAAAGATGCTGCTTCGAAGGTAACCTAGTGTTCTATTTGCTTTGGATGCAATATATTCATTATGTAATTTGCAGGGCATAGTTCTTAGTTATGTGGAGGCTGGGGTGTGCAGGTAAAAAAATATGGTGTTTTTCAACAGACGAGAAATAAAGAAGTTGGGCAAGATCTTCGTGAACATGAACTCTTCACAGACTTACATTTTTTTATATATTTATTTCAATTTACTATGTATACTGACCATGATTTTTGTGCTCAGTAATGAATAGACTGCACAATTCAGATAAGCACATTTCTTTTTTAAAATATGTCACTCATTTATTTATTCATTTATTAGGTAATACTGTCAACCCTCACAGAGGGTCGTAAAAGAGAGGACATACATAAAGAATGTACAATGTTCATAAAGTTTGTTAATACCTTAACAACTCACAATGAAAAATTGGTATTCTCTTAATTAACAAGTGAACATTCAAATAACAATTCAAACTTCACAATCATTTTTTTTTTAAGATTTGCTATGAACGTGAAGTCACTTGCATCACTTGGCACTGAAAAAAAAAATTAATTTAGCAATCACGTAAATGCACTTCTACAGCATTTTCAAAGTCAGTGACATCTTTTAAAAGAACGATTTCATTGGTCAATTTGTTCCACATTTCTATAACATCTGAAAAAAAAAAAAGAATATCGAAATGTGTCAGTATTTGTACGGTATGGTTTTATGACGCCATTGTGGTTAATTCAGGGATTTCTTTTGCCTGGAGAATGTATATATTTGAGCTTATCTATCTTCAATTGATTATTTGGAACAATACTTTCAGCCTATATTTATTTCTACGTAGTTCAAGAGGATCTAGGTTGCATCTCCCTAACATCAGTGTGACCGATTCCTTCCTTTGGTATGTTGAACAAAGAAATCGCGCTGCTAATCTCTGTATTCTTTCTGGCTTCTTCTTAGGAGTAACTTGATGGGGACTCCAAATAACGGATGAATATTCTAGTACTGTCCTAATGAAAATGGTGTATGCAATATGTTTCACGTGGCGCGATGCATCCTGCAGCTTTTTTCTCAATAAATATAACCTTTGATAGGACTTCGTGCAAACGTTATCTATATGCTCATTCCATGATAATTTTTGCATAATTGTTACCCCAAGGTACTTGAACTGGGTCGTATTTACCAACAAGTGTTCACCAATGCTGTACACAAAGGAATGGATTGTTTTCTTTTTGCTGATGTGTGTAAATGTAGATTTAGAATAATTTATTGCCATTTTCCATTTCTTACACCAGTTATCTAAGTATTGCAAAGAGTTCTGAATTTTGATTTGGTCATCTAGTTCGGTAATTGCGGCATAGATTCTGCGAAGAAAAGTTTAACATGAACACCCTTTTCTGCCACACTACTGATATCGTTGACGTACAGGAGAAACAACAGTGGTCCCAACACAGAGCCTTGGGGCACTCCCGAAAGTACCGCCAAGGGTTGTGATAAGTGACCATCCAGTTTCACTACCTGCGTACGATGTGCTAAATTAGCTTCAATCCATTATATTACGAGTACATTTGTTCCTGCATGACATAATTTGATGATTAATTGGACATGGGATACCTTATCAAACGCTTTCGCGATTGATAAAGTATCCAAAATAATTACTTCATTGTTATAAAAGAAATAGAGTGGCCAATATCGATATACTTTTATCAGTGAGGAAATTACACTTTAAATTAACATGTGTTGACCTAGTGACAACAGTCGAAATAATTTATGGTTCATCAGAGGGCCGGTTGTCGTGGCAGTTCTTTCCATGAGGTGAAAGACCAACATCTAGACGCCCCAGAGATAATGATGAGCTAGCCGTACAAAACGATACCGCGCGTTATCGACCGGCTTAACGTTAGTTCGATGTACTCTGAGCGACGACAAAACAATCGCGCGGGGCGTAAGTCGGCCCACAGACACGAGCTTTGGGATATATTCTGAGGAAAATAAGGCATAGCACAACTGTTCCTTCATGCAATCATGTTGAAGACATTGACTTTCCATCGCTCGGGTGCACATGCTTGCTTAGATATGCCAAGTGTCGGTTACCGCTAGTCAAGCGAATCCTGGCAGACCATGAAGGTTTGAGTGGTTCTGAAACCAATAAATTCGATGGTAGTAAGGCACGGTAACATAGCGTCAAAATCAATTGCTTTCGCGAAGAACACTAACGAAGAAACGAGCTTACCCGATTATGTATCCCAAGATGAAGAGCTGAATGAGCCTGTTGAGCACGCCGATCTTTTTGTTGCCGATGTGGACGACTTTCAGAGTGTCATATTCGAAGAAATAATTTGTCGTAGCCTTAACGCAGTTCAAGCCCATCACGTCAGAACACTTTGGCAAGCAGCAGCACTAGGAGCGGCCCGACGCGACCGGCGCACTGTCGATGTGCCGAGCTGCAACACGACTATACGCAGCGATATGACACCGACGGTGCACAACAGGATAAGTTGCCGACTGTTTCGAAAGCGCACGCACGCACGCCAGTCCACGCCTTCTCGAAAGCCACGTTTACGCCGCGGGTTTACGTGCTTCACGCCTCCACCTCTCCCCCCTTTCAATTCCTCATTTCCCGCTTTCCCCGTTGAACAATCCCACGTGACCAAGCGACTTGCTTTAGAAGACGTAGATAAATAATCCAGTGGAAAGGGCGAAGTGGGCAATAACTCAATATGGAAGTGCAACTCGAGGAGCCCATACAGACGGCATTTGTGCAGCTAAAATGGCTAAAATATTATTGTCACATTGCTCGTCACTTTGTCGCTATGCTTTCTTCAGTCTTCTCGATCATGTGATTTTATAACTGCTTACTGCTCGGCAACCTAAAATCAGGCTACGGTCTCTAGATAAAAAAAAAAAAAAAGAAACTTGTTTCATCTAGTAATCTTAAATTAGGCATGTTTACAGCGACCCCACTACCATACTCACTTCCTCCATTTGGTTTTCCTGTCTGCTGCTTGCGGCTGCTTTTGCGGCTTGTGTTTGCATGTGTGTTTGCTTACATATCGTAGGTTGCTTAGAGTAAATACTGACTAAACTAAAATGCCGTGATGTAGCGACATAACTGTGAAGTTTTTTTCGCACCAAGGCAAACGTGCCTGTTATCAATGACGTTTATTCACCGTCTTGCGAGCTTTGGCTGTGCGGGAGCGGCTTGAAAGACTTCACTGCTTTCGTACGTAGGCGATCGCTTTTATGGCTCTTTCGCCCGAGAGCGCTTTATGTAAGCTGATCCGAATTTGACTGATGTAGTATGATTTGCTGTAAGCGTTAACGTGACCAAAGAAGTGAATACATGTCCGCAATTGCCCCTGCTTGCTTGATCGGTCTTCCCTTGGTGTGAATTGGCCGCTTTGCGTGGGACGCAGGGTGCACTGCGAGAACTCGGCATCAACAACAGCTAACGCTGCAGACGCGATGACGACGTTGGTATAGCGTCGTCGATGTCGAAATAAAGCTAGTAACAGGTCCGTGGCGAGTGTGTTGTCTCCCGTCACCAGATTAGGAGTGGCTGTATTAGCCCACTTTCCAGTCTGTACCAATCCATTGCGAACAGCAATGATGGAGCTCGTGATGAACAGTTGTGTTCGATCTAAAGTCGATCTAACGCCGAAAAAAATTAATTGGTACATTCTACGTACTTCTAATGTGGGAATCGGTTGTAAACGAAGCTTTCAAGTTTACTTAGGTGTTTGCAATTCTTGTTGCTTAACACTCACCGTTCAGCATATTTAATTGTTCTTCAGCATATTCTGGCGCTACCCACTCCAGAGAATGGGCCGTGAATTGGATGGCATATTGGTTCAACAAATGAATTTTAAATCATACAGAAAATGGGAAACCAAATAAAACCATAGCTAAATGGTGAAAAAAATGTGCATGCTCTAGTTGGTTTTATTTCGTTTGATTACTGTTATGACATGTGCCTATTGCAGGGGATTAAGATTCGGATGGTATTAAAAGGGTGGCAAGTTATTACTGTGACCAACAAAAACTGCCAGGCCTGCGCGGAATATGTGCAACACAGTCTTAGATTAGCAGTGGCCATTCTAAAGCCTTTTTAAACATTCTTTGGGTAACTGCTACAACCACACTTGCAGAGTACCCACTTGACCATAAATCTAGTTTGTGTAGTAGGGAGGCATTCAATTTCACCACGCCATTCTTCGTCATTCTTCAAAAAAGTGCGGTGCCCGCTAAACATTTACAAGGATTAAGGTTCATTTTGTTGACTTTGTGGCTCTGAAGAATTATGCCTGAGGCTTTTGTAATGGGTTGGAGCATTTGACGGACCTACTCATTGCACTATTCGCAATGTGTGATGCCTGGTAGTTCCTTTGCTGTTCTAAAATGCTTTATTACACTTATTTACGCGATTCCTTATTTGACGTGAAGCCTGCTTAGGGTCAATTTGCAATGAAATTTTCGAGCGCCGATGTAGCTCACTGGTAGAATACTGGGCTTGCGCTCAGAGGGCCCGGTTCAAATACCATTCTGTCCCTCTGCATTTTTTTTTATTTAGTTTTTTCTAGGACACCTGTGGCGGTGGCAACTACGGCAGCCAAAAACGACTTTTGTTGTAATCTTGTAACAGCTTTCGGTGTAAAATTTTATAGAACAAGAACTGAATTAAACAAAACCTACAAAGAACTTATTGCGATGATTAACCTGAAACAACTGAAAATTGCTCCACAATAAAGCAAACATCCTCACTGCAATGCCCAAGAAGCTGCTGGCAAAAGAATGTCCAAAATTCTGAGACATGCTACACTTCTTGGTTATTTGAGCCCCTATAAAAATGGCACATACTTATAATGTATACTATCACTATAATAAAAGAGATTTTTATTAAATGGCAAAACCACTGTTAATTCTTTAGCTACGAAATTCGACGACTTATTCCTCACAGTGGGTTTGAGCCAACAGCTTGGATGATTTACACCTACATACCCACTGTGGTGCATTGGCACATACCTAGTTAAGCTTACCTAGTGACAGAAGTTGTCTATACGTCGTTGGCACATACGATGGCACTGGCTTCTAGGCTCTGCATGTACCCATTAGCATAGACTAAAGTAGACTGAACCTGGAAATAGTGCAATAGCAAACTACACTTTACTCAGCAAGAGATATCCTTCACATAACACGGATCTCCTGTAAAGTATTAGGATTGATGAGTCTGCTTTAAGGAATCAGTAAATGAATCACTTTTGATAAAGCTGGCTGTATGACTTTATTAACAAATTTGTGCTTTGCTTGCCATAACTGTGGTGCAGCAACAGGCAAGGTATAAAGGAAATATAGTCCAATACAGCTTTACAAGTCCACAGCATATCCTCCTCAAAGGTAGATGTACACAGTGCCTGCATTAATGGGTGCACACACTAGTATGGTGTCACGAGCCAAACGGCCGGTGGCCTCACACTTCGGAGAATGTTGCCTAGTGCATGAGTGGGACTTTCTTTAGTCACAGAGGGGATTGGCTGTCGCACTTCAGTCTCAACAAACTTTGCAAGTTGTATCAAACTATAGAACAGGTGCAGCTGTTATTGCCTCTGTCATACCTTGTCTCTTGATATCCCTACAGTTTCAGTAAATAACCATGATTCAACTAGCACAGCAGCATGTATTCTTGATGTTGTATACATCTGTTGCACTGAGGATGTTCAGGAACTGCTTGTTGCACATGTGACTGCATTATTTCCAGGGGCAGTAACCAAGGTACATGAAATGTGATAAAGTATTAAATTTTGGCCAGAGAGTACAGAATTATTTTTCCTTGTCTAGGATGTCTTGTTTTTTATGCATAATTGGGACCTGCAGCTAATGCTACTGGCTCAATGTTTGACCCTGCATTAGCCACAAAACCATTGTTCATCATTGATTGATATCAAAGATATAGGCCTAACATGCTGTCCTTAGTGTCAACAGTATATTTGTTTGCTCATATATTGTCGACATTGTCCTCTTTTTCGGTGTTGTTTTCACCACAATTTTTGCAGGAGCAGTTTTCTGACATGGCCATTGCAAGGCCTCCAGGTTTGGACTTTGATTACAACTGGCCAGAGAGTGCAGGAATGCCTTACACTGGATTTTGGACCCTTTGAGACCGTACACCGATGGCGTCAGATGCCACACTGTGATGAATTTGTGGGAGCAAGGTCTCTACATATTTCAGTTATTTTCATGAACCTCATCCATGTCTGTGCATTTAATCCAGTTAGTGGAACAAGCCCGTGCTGTTTTATCATCAGAAACATAGTGCTACAAAACTCTCCTCTTGTGAGATTATGCTTGAAACGTTCAAGTTGTCCACAAGTAGTTTTTAAGTAAAAAAGCAAATCACCGACTGCGTTGTGGTCCTTCTGAGACAGTTGATATATATTGACTTAACTAGACATGAAATGTCTAGCAGCAAGTAAGGTGTGGTTTTGCATTAATAGCTCGGGAAGCGTAATGATGTGCTGTGCTGAGAGAGCCCAGTTTTTCTAAACTGAAGGTGATAAAACTTTTTTTTTAGTCCTAGTAGACTATATATAAGCGCTCTTGACTGTTTATTTAGAGTTTGTATGATAAAAGAGACATATTTAGTTGTTGTGAGGCCTTCAGCCTCTCTGTGCATAGTTTATTGCTTTCACTACTAATAGCTTTCGGTCACACTGGTTGAGGGGTATCTTGAACGTTTATTCCGTGCCTGTAGTTTTAATTATCCATTACTATGTAAAGTGCTAGTGTCAATTGAAGATTAACACCAATCACGCCTACATTGGTAAAACCAGTCTAAAGTACTGCGTGATGTTTTACAGTGGTTATAAGCTTGTCTTCATGTGCACAATCTGTGCTTGCTAAGATGCACCGCCTCAGAATTTAAACAAGTAATTAAAGTGTAACCACTCTTACTTAGTTTTGCATCATTTGAAATAATTATAATAAAAAAAATACTATATTCATATCCTGCTTGGAGAGATCTTGTGCAGTGGTTTGTACAGTGGCCATTCCGGGCTCGCTTCACAGGGGGCTATACTGGGGACATCCACTCCAATTCAAACCTGGCCAACAAGAATGACCTGTTTGAGTACAATTTTACGACTGGTCAGTGGACTGAATGGAAGTTTGAAGGCCGGTATGTACCACTGTGCTTTTTATTTACATCACACACACTGCTAGAAATTGTAAACTTTATTCACAGCATTGTGAAGATGACTCTTTCATTGTGCCATTTAGTTTATTACCAGACTATTTGCATACGTAGTACTGATGCTTGATTGAAGTAATTCTGCTTAGAGCAAAATCTATGAGCAAACAACAAAATAGGCTAAATTAATATAGTGAAACAGAAAAAGACAGCTGTACGCTTTGTCTGTAGATCTCTCTTATTCATTGGTAAGATGAAACATTCATGCAAAGCCAACTGGCAGTGAAGTTGAAATTGTGAAGTTCAGGAAATTGAAATAAGGTGAAGTAACATATTTTCACTGTAAAACTAGTTGTCTGATTAGTAATAATAAAAGAAGTTTACAATATCCTTGTTAATCCTAAATAAACGACAAAGAAAAAATAATTTTAGAAATTGACAAGCTTGGCTAGAGTGGTAGCTTGAACGTGTGCGCTGCTCTAACGACTGAGCTATGTTCCTTTGTCCCCTTTCTTATAGTTTCTATGTGTATTTACCTAAGCAGTATGTTACCGTTCAATGTGAAGAAGCATGGCTTACAGACATGGTGATTAAAGTGCAACATATGGCAACATGAAAATGCTGTGTAGGGCATGACTTGAAAGCACTCAATTAGTCATTAAATCTTTGTACGCCGCCACAAGGAATCAAAGCCACCAGGCTGCTAAAATTGAGACCCAACCCTCGATCCCCAGTTCTCAATATTCTTTTTTCCCATTCAGGTAGAGGATGAGGTTAAAGGGGCCCTACAACACTTTTTCAAGTAGCCATGAAATGGATTCACTGAAGGAGCTTATAATCTCAGAAATTCACCACCTCGAAAACTTTTATAATCCGCCCAGTATGAGTGGAGTTACAAATATTTGTCGCACACTGCAACTGCATTCTCTCTCCTTTTGTCCTGACTAAAGCACTGGAAGCTGAGCAGGGAAGGATGGCACAGGAAAAGAAAATACGTCGCACGTGCCTCGTGACCTGGAGAATTGTTTCTCCTTTTCTTCCCCATCGATATGTGGCTTTACAGTACAATCGCGCGTGCACACTTGGACAAGCTGCGGCCAACTGCGGCTGCTCCAGTAACGAGCGAGTGTGTCATGCTCAAATCAGCCAATGGCTCATACAATGGCTGTGAAGAGTGATTTTTCAGCTTGTAGCGTCATTTGTTGAGAGAAAAAAGAAGCAATATTTAGCTGACTTTGTGAATTTATTGTTAATTCCAGGCTGGGGGCGTTCTGCACTTTCAGTAACCTGACGTTATTGCTTGATCGGGAAGTGGCCATTGCTCGAAATCTCATTCAACTGCGAAATGGCCAGACAACGGTTTTAGTTACGGACTTCGGTGGCGAACACAGGCATTTTGCGAAACGCACAACCATAGCTTACTTGGAGGCATTAGATGATTTGGACGCCTTCCCTTCGATTACGACGATCTCGACTGAGAACAGTTGCGATACTGACGTGACTAGTCGCCTCAACGTCAATCGCCAGTTGGAAGAACCTAAGAAGGCAAGGCTCCTCCGTCTCCTCTCATCCTTTAGTGACTGTTTTGCCACTACTTCGAAAGTCCGGCAGACCCCTCTAATGAAGCACAGAATTATCACTGAGCCCAACGTGCAACCCGTGCGCCAACATGCTTACCGCGTGTCGCAGAAGGAGCAAGATGCTATCCGTCATCAAGTGAAACAAATGCTCGACGACGACGTAATTCAACCATCGACTAGTCCTTGGGCGTCACCAGTTGTTCTGGTTAAAAAGAAAGATCGTTCATTACGATTCTGCGTCGACTACCGCAAACTGAACAAGATAACGAAAAAAGACGTATACCCTCTTCCTCGTATCGATGACTCCTTGGATCGCCTGCGACACGCCCGTTACTTCTCTTCCATGGATCTCCGTAGCGGAAATTGGCAGATTGAAGTAGATGAACGGGACCGAAAAAAGACAGCGTTTATTACACCGTACGGTCTCTATGAATTTAAAGTTCTCCCTTTTGGCCTGTGCTCTGCTCCAGCCACGTTCCAACGAATGATGGACACAGTTTTATGTGGCTTGAAGTGGTACTCTTGTTTAGTGTATTTAGACGACGTAATCGTTTTTTCTGCGACTTTTGAACAGCACATTGAGCGGCTTGAGGCGGTTCTTCTGGCTATTCGCGCTGCTGGCCTCTCTCTGAAACCGGAAAAGTGTTATTTTGGATATGAGGAACTGAAATTCCTTGGCCACATTGTCAGCAGCAGTGGTGTTCGCCCCGATCCTGACAAGGCTATGGCAGTTGCTTTGTTCCCGATACCGAAAACAAAGCATGATGTATGCCGCTTTCTGGGACTTTGTGCTTATTACCGCCGCTTCGTGCCGAACTTTTCGAAAATTGACGACCCTCTACAACAACTCGTCAAGGATGACGTCGCCTTCGTCTGGGGCCCCAAACAATCCGGCGCTTTCCGCGATCTTCAACAACGCCTACAAACGCCACCGATCCTAGGTCACTTCGACACCGAAGCAGACACAGAAGTCCGCACTGACGCGAGCAACCTTGGCCTCGAAGCTATTCTCATGCAATATCAAGATGGCGTGGAACGCGTCATCGCCTACGCTAGCCACACGTTGTCATCTGCGGAGAAGAACTACTCGACGACTGAAAAAGAATGTCTGGCGGTTGTATGGGCCATAACGAAATTCAGGCCCTACTTGTACGGACACCCCTTCCGAATCGTCAGTGACCACCACTCTCTCTGTTGGCTTGCGAATCTGAAAGATCCTTCGGGCCATCTCGCAAGATGGAGCCTTCGGTTACAAGAATTCGATATAACGATGGTTTACAAGTCTGGTCAGAAACAGACCGACGCTGACTGTCTTTCCTGCGCACCCGTCGAGGTCACTGAAGAAGACAATGATGAAGACTTCAGCTGCCTTGCTATTCTCGCATCATTAAACGTGGCTGAGCAGCAACGCAAAGACTTAGAATTACAACCACTGATCGAATACCTTGAGGGACGTCGCCCACAACCCCCACGTCAGTTCGTGCGTGATTTGTCATCTTTCTGTCTACGCCAAGGCATCCTCTACAAGCGCAACTTTCATTCAACGAAAACTGTTTACCTCCTCGTCATTCCTGCTGCTCTCCGCGATGATATTTTGCGTGCTTGTCACGACGAGCCATTGTCAGGGCATCTTGGCTTCGCGCGTACTCTGGCGCGGATCAAAGACAAATACTACTGGCGTAAACTTACGAAAACCATCCGGCAGTATGTCAAGACATGCACAGCCTGTCAGCGCCGCAAAACTCCAACGACGAAACCAGCCGGTCTGCTTCAGCCTTTGCGACCCCCTCACGCACCTTTTGAAAAGGTCGGGATGGATTTACTCAGCCCATTTTCGAAGTCTACGGCTGGTAACCGCTGGATTGTGGTTGCCACCGACTACTTTACCAGATACTGCGAAACACAAGCCGCCCAGTGAGCAACTGCTTCCGAGGTGGCTGACTTTTTCATCAAGAACATCGCTCTCCGCCACGGTGCTCCCGCTGTCGTCATCACAGATCGTGGTACTGCTTTTACGGCACAGTTGCTCCGACAGATCCTGTTGCTGAGCGGCACGATGCACCGAACAGCAACTGCGTACCACCCGCAGACTAACAGGTTAACCGAACGCCTTAACAAAACGATTGCAGATATGCTTTCGATGTATGTCGCCAAGGATCAGAATAATTGGGATGAAATCCTTCCGTATATAACATTTGCCTACAATACGGCTTTGCAGGAAACCACCGGCTTTGCTCCTTTTCGTCTGGTTTACGGCCGCGACGTCACCACAATGCTTGACACCATGCTGCAACCAACTCTGCCGGACACGATTACCCCGGACGCAGATGTATTTGTTCAGCGTGCCGAAGACGCCCGGCAGCTGGCGCGCTTTCGCATTTTATCGCGGCAAAATCAAGATGATCGCCGATACAACACCCACCACAGAGCAGTAATATACGAACCCGGTGACCTAGTCTGGGTTTGGACTCCTATACGTAAACGGGGACGCTCAGAAAAATTGTTATGTCGGTACTTCGGACCCTACCGAGTTCTTCATCGCCTAGGCGAAGTGAACTACGAAGTTGTCCCAGCAGACACGTCACACCGTTCTCGCAGACCACGCTCCTCGGATGTGGTTCACGTATCCAGGATGAAGCCGTACTATTCGCGTTGACTGCAAGTCAAGAACTTTGTGATGTGGCAATAGCCTTCAAGACAATTGTGCATTACTTTCTTGCTTCTTTATTTTTCATCTCATCCTTTTCTTTTTAAAGGACACAGACATTTCTGACTACCTTTCGTTGTTTTTCGGAGCCGTGGTATTCATGCGATGCTTCTTCTTCTTTTTTTTTCTTTGGGGAGAGGGTAATGCCACGCTGTGTTGGTGACAAAAGACAAGAGCGAAGAAGTGAATGGCAGCTGTGGCTGCGTAAACAGTCCTCCACTTCGAGTTCCTGCCTATCGTTTCCTCTCGCGACAATATTTATTATTATTATTACTATTTTATTTTCAATACTGCCAGTCTCACACGGAGACTAAGGCGGGTGGTCACATTGATACAACTTGAGCACGCATAAAAAGAAGAATTTGGCTCTCATATTCTCAGGAGCTTCGACTACTGATCAGCAGCGTTTTCTGACCATGCTCAAAAACTTTTGCTGGGCCCCTTTAATGTAAGAATATTCTAAATTTTTTATAACTGAATATATCTGCAAGATAAACATTCAAGTGGAAAGAAACAGAGTCTTTAAGCAGTCCAAGTGTGCAGTTAGCATTATTAAGTGCATTTTCAACATGCATTTTTAACATACTGTATAGTCAATGCCTGTTTTAGTGAAGTGTGCTGCATTTCTGTTGCTTCTTTTGTTCATGAAGGACTGATGCCGCGAAAGCTGTTTTTTTATTTTTAGTTTTTTGATGTACGAACTGTGTACAAGGGTGTTGGGTCCTCTGTCAGGCTATATGCCTTTACCCCCAACATCCTTTTGTTTCTTGTGTCTTGTGCAAGAAAACAATAAAACAAATTTTGAAATTGAATTGAAAAAATTTAGAAGGAAATGTTATAATAACCAAGCTATTTATGAGGCCTTAAATCTATATGAAAAATCACTGAATATAAAAAAAGGAGCCATTGAAATACTAAGCCAGAACTCAATAAATGCAACCGGAGGAGAAATATTGGATCTTTTCTTGGATGATGTCTTCTGTAAAGTTACAAAATTGTACATATACAGCTATAGTGCTTCTGCTTTTTATTTTCATATTTAATAAATATTAATAATTTTCATGGCACATTTAAAACACTAATATCTTCTGCAACCACTATGTGGCACTTAAACACATTTTGAGTGTAAGAAATTAAATTTAAACTGGTTAAGAGCTTGATTAATGAGAATGTGCATTTGTTTGATGTGTGTTTGAATGAAAAAACTAATGATCCTATCATGGACCATAGTTGTTTTCATTTTATTTGCTGTAGCAACTAGCTTATTAGCTTAGAAACCTATGCTGTCTTTTTTTTTTAAGCATGCCAGTACCTCGATCAGCCCATGGAGCAGCAGTGTATGATAATCGCCTCTGGATCTTTGCCGGCTATGATGGCAATGCACGTCTAAATGATATGTGGTGCGTCTCCTTACTAGGTGACTCAAGGACCTGGGAAGAAGTGAGTTTGTTAAAAAAAAACTATTTGTCACTAACACAACTTTGTCACAATGTGTAAATTTAGGTAGTTGATAATCAACACATTGTGTGTCCAGTTGTTTTCATTCCCAGCTATGTTTTGTGATGTATCAGGAATGTGTCCTAAATAGGCCAAAATAGCTACATATCTATTTTGCATAGTACTGTTTTTTCTTAGTGTCCTTGTACAAGTACATGATTCCAGATGTCAAGAAAGATTGCCTTTCTGTTTCTTCATTACTACAGAACCTTTTACTTCCAGAAATGTCCTCCAAAAGTTTCAAATTAATAACCAAACCTGAAGGTTGACTTAGCATCTCCCCGTGGGTAAATTAGTAGACAAACGGTGCGTTTAAATGTGTTGAATTCAAGGGCCGATTTGTTTTTGGGTGCCTGTAGGTACCGCAACGAGGTGACTGTCCACCAACATGCTGCAACTTCCCCGTGGCTGTGGCTCGCGATAGCATGTTTGTCTTCTCTGGCCAGAGTGGTGCAAAGATCACCAACAGCCTTTTCCAGTTCCACTTCAAGGACAAATAGTGAGTGACAGAAACATTGATTGCATGCCAAGTAAGCTTTTAACTTAGGAGGAATATTGCAGCATGCCAAGTTATCTTCCAGTTGACAGCATGCATTGAAAAGACCTGTTCATGTCCTCTCACTCTGTTTGCAACTGATTATGAGATCTGTAAGATGCAAAGAATCACACTGCTGGCAGCTTGTCTATATTGTAAATATGTGCAATGTGATTTCGCAACAGTGAGCCATGTCAGGCTTATCTGTGTTCATTTAGTCATGTGAATTCAGCTTAGCCTCCTGAAACCCCGAAACAGGGCAGGTGCATCATGGCTTTTCAGCTTAATTATTATTAGCTGTTGTTACGTTATGATGCAATAATTCTGTGCCAAAGAATACATGCTCAAAGCAGCATGTTTATGTACACTAACAAATTTACTACCTCCTGATGTTGTGTGGTATAAGAGCTGTTTTCCTCTCCTAAACACAGATTGAGATGTAGCGCTACACTTCAACTGTACACTGAGCACAGTTTGCGCATGCTATTCATTGTCTTCTATGACAGGGACAGGCAGAGTTAGTTGTGATCACAAAATCTGATGGCATGGAAAAATACGATTAAACAATTAATTTTTCGATAACTCACAGCGCAAGAAGGATGAAGACGCCGACGAAGGATAAGACAACACGAGCGCTTCTGTTGTTTTAGCCTTCATCTGCGTCTTCTTCCTTCTTATGCTGTGAGTTACCGAGAAATGAACTATTACCACCTAGCGCAGATTTTTTTCATGTACATGATTAAACAAGTTCACATGCACGCGACTTCACATTTGGGATGTGAATCTTGTCTTAAAGTTAATTATGAAAAAGATTCAAGGCAGTGCATGAGGTAACATGCAATGATTCTCAGGAAATGAGCTCATGCAGCAATCAGGCTTCATCATTGTGAGGTTCATTAGACAGCATTAAAAGGTAGAGAGTAACATTTGTATTTTCAAGACATGGGATGCATTATGCTTTGTTGCAGCTGGAGCAGGATCTCTACTGAACATATCCTCCGTGGTGCACCTGCGCCACCCACTCGTCGTTATGGGCACACCATGGTTTCCTTTGACCGACACCTGTATGTTTTCGGAGGAACTGCTGACAGCACTCTACCAAATGACCTGCATTGGTGAGTGGTGAGCAGGGCAATCTCGTGCAACAGCAAGCTTGACGTCACGACATCACTGCTTGATAGATTAATGAGGAAACTCGACTTTGTTTATGCAGCCTGTCATCAATTATGTTGGCAAAATGTTTGGTGGTCACAGTGAACTATTTGTGGAAATCGATCACTGGCACTGAATGACTGTGAAAAGAGACAGGAGCTCTCCTGTTCACATTTAACTCTGAATTGTTGGTTCTTTTGAGTGGGTTATAACTTGCAAGGCTTTTTTTTTTTAGGTGTTATATACGTAGTGTGTGATTTCGATTGCTTGCTATATTTTTTATGTTCCATAGCCATTTCTTAAAAAGAAAAATGGTTTTCGTCCCAAATTCCTGGAGGCTCTTTGAGAATAAATCATTGTGTATCAAGTACATTCTGTACTGCATATTTAGTAAATATCAGGTCCAAGGTTCAACTAGTCAATGAATCATGCAACGTATTTGCATTGATGTCTTGTGCAAAAAAGAAAGCCATATTCCGTTTTCATATTCAGGAAACTGATGTATTTAAAAACAAAATGGTGCTAGAAACAGTAAAAAACTTTACATTATTTGAACGAGTATGGATTAGTTGAGACCACCCACAAAACATAGTAGTAGTCACCCACAGGCCACCTTTGTAAGTAGTATGTAATTATCGTATGTGGTAGTGACTTTTGGTTGCTTGTAATAAAAGTTTGAAAAGCTCTTGATGAAGTTATTGGGCTGTTCTGTGCTACATTATGTTTCTTTTGTGGAAGTTTTATAGGTGCCTTGAGTAGCATGTCAGAATATTTTGGCTTAGGCTGAATTTTAATAAATTGATTTGTTTGTTCATTTTGCAGCTTTGACCTGGATTCTCAGACATGGTCCATTATTCAGCCATCCCCGGATAGTGAGGTGATGACTTGATAGTTGGCACTCCACATAACTTCACCTTTCTGTCTGTCTTTTCCTCTCTTCTTTTTTGCTCCTAAAAGGGTTGAAGCAAAAGGTCATTTCGGCGTAGAATAAGTAAATGTTTTGAGTGAGCCGCGTGTACTAAGCATTCAGCTTGGGGTGGTTTGGGCGGCACGAACACAATATGTATAAACTACATAACCCTGCTATTGAACCCCCCTACCACCAACACCACAGCCACACACATTGTTTCAGACAACCAGGGCTTGTGCTACACTTACTCTACTCCGTTTCATACATCATGTGCAACGCTGTCAAAGCTAGCGGTCTTGTTTGCGCTGTGTACTGCCGCGACCAAAAAGTAGTGCGTCGCTTGGGGTGTACGAGAATCAATAAATGCTTCTCGAGAAACTTCTAAGCATACATATTTGTCATCAGGTTAAAAAACAAACGCCTGTGTTGTCGGATAAACAATCCAAATATGCGAGTTGGTAATTTATGTTTGTCGCTTTCGTATCAGGTTTTCGCTCTCCGCGCGACCCGCGCCGCCTTTTTTTTTTTTTTTTTACTTGTTGTGGCAGCTTCGAAAAAATGGCGTCCAGCTCTGCGTCCTCGACCACCTCTCCTGCGCGAATTTTTTCGAAGCTTCGCACATCAAAGCTGTCACAAGATTTCTAATTGAACTCGCAAAAATTATTTTAAAAAATGGCACCACGTGGATTCGAACCCATGCACTTCAATACTACGGTGAACTCTCCGGAGCGACGCGTCAGACCATTCGGCTACGAAACCGCGCGGAGCAACACCTCGTGTTTTCTTTACGGACTACTTGCCTAGCCTTCACAGCGTTGCACCTGATGTATGAAACGGAGTATAAGAGACTCATGAGAATTATTTTCAAAAAAAAGCATTTTCCTGCAGCTGTTGCTAGGCAGCTACTATGTTTTGCTGGGTCTATCATAGTCACATGTGGCATCAGTTTCCAGTCATGTCAATGCCATTTCAATTGAAGCAGAATGTAAAGGCAGTTACCTGGGTTTTCGTGCATGTCTCTGTAATCAGGCACAATCCGATGTCCTTCATCAGGAATCCTCAAGAGTCTGGCATTGCGTTATGAGAAAGATTCACTGTAAATGTGGAAAAATACATATTATGTTTTTGAAGGAAATTCCAGACAACTTATGTCCTGGAATTCCAGAAGAATGAAGGGAAACGACAATGCCGTATATCCATGCCATGTGTTCTTTGTGAACAGGTTCCATCAGGACGTCTATTCCATGCGGCTGCTGTGGTTGGGGAGGCCCAGTACATATTTGGTGGCACTGTGGACAATAATGTACGAAGTCGCGAGATGTTCCGCTTCCAGTTCTCCTGTTACCCAAAATGTACACTGCATGACGACTTTGGTCGCCTACTCGAAACACAGCAGTTTTGTGACGTGCAGTTCCTCGTCGGTCTGGTGAGTCACTGTAGAACGTTTTTGCTCGAGTCTTAATAAAAGAAGACATTTGCTTGTGATGGCAAAGACCACTACAGAAAAACTCACATTACAATAAAAGTACTGGTTGTCGAAATAGATTTGGTGTCACCCTTTACAGCACGTTTCATGATCAGGCTGTGACTTGATGTGCAGAACAGTTGAAATTAATTTCGAATTCTTTTAAGTGTGCCTAACTGTGAAAGAGTGTGTGTGTGCAGGAAGAGGTGTCCATTCTGGCACACGTGGCTTTTGTGGCGGCTCGGTCAACTTGGCTTCGTGACAAAATCCGCCGGGCACGAGAGGCGCTGGTCATAGCTGAGGTGTGTTCTCTCCCCTGTCATCAGTGAAATACGCATACACAGGAAGGGTGAGAGCTACACCAAAACAGTTTGGCTTCTCTTCTTGAGCCATGTCTTGATGTCAAGTTGAACAGTACGAACTTACAAGGTGAAGGTTAATTTTCTAAGCATATGAACTCGATCGTTATTATTTATTAGTAGTTATAATTATCGGTTATTTGCTTATTAAGGTGCTGCATGTTCTATGCTTGGTGATTCAAGAGCTTGTAACACTATGGCTTTTAAATACCTGCACTCATATCAAATCTTAACTTGCATAATCCAGATGTGTGCTGCTGTTTATTATGCAGTGTTGTTATAACAGTTGTAACAGTGCAAAACTCATTTACTTCATGAAACACTACATTCCTCTACCCCACCATTGTCTTATTGTTACTCTGTTTTCTTCTGAGACAAGAGTAACTGCACTTAGCAGCAGCTGTAGTCACTATCTTGTAAGAGTACATTTAAAGAATTATCTGTTCTTTGACTAAGCACTTAAATGGCTTTATAGTGTAAATAAGGACAGATAAATAACTGTAATGTGGGAACCTTATCCAAATGGCACTCAGCTAAACACTAGTACTGGCACGAAATATAACTTATTACGTGCAGTTTATTCTATGTTCACCGACTGAAATACATCTTCGAGTGCCTGCTCCATCATACCATTTTGGGAACTGTTTTCCTGTAAGGCAGGAAAGGGTGCTGTCATCATGCTTTGATGCACTGTTTCATTTCAGTCAAGCTGCATGGGGATTAGGCGCTACAAGCATGAGCGTTATAATCAATTACAGTTTGAGTATAAACAATTACCATTCACCTGGTGCAAGATAATTTTATCACCTTTGAGATGCAATACTTATTCAACATTTATTGCACATGCACACATTCATTTGCAGGCCGAGGCTGCTTTTGATAGGTGGGGGAAGCGTCTATTCAACAGGAGCCACACTTCAGGTGCGGCTCCCGGATGCTGTGCCTGAGGCATTCGAACTTGTGCTTACTTACATCTACACATGATCGCATTGATCCCACCAAAAAAGTGAGCGAGCTTTCTTCAAGTTGTAAAAGTGTTGGCGCACCTTCCTTTTCATGTCAGAAGCATTTGTTCTGTCACTTGTTACTTTGTTAGGTGCATTTTGATAATAAGATTCAGGCTCGTTAACGAGTAGCTTGCTCTACGTTGTGGGAGAGGAATGTAATTATGTAACCTAGTTGTGTCATGTAAAACTGATGAGAAGGTCATCACCATGCCTATGTGCTGCACAGGCAACTGTCGACTATAATTCAGTGAAAGCAATCATACATGGCTAAGAGAAGTGAAAATTCTAGCTGTGCACTATTTTTGTTGGGGTTTTTTGTATCAATGACCCTGTACAAACATTAGGACATATTAATGTTACAGGAGAAGACAGGGGGCATCAATCCAGTATACCATATCTGTAACCCCCAGTGAATAATTCTTTTGAGCTCAGTTTTTAATAAATCTGCTGCTGTAAAAGCTTCATAATGTTTAGCCAGTGTGGAGACATGTTAATATTCAGGTGGAGACTACGTACAGATATAAATAGTACCGTGAATAGTCTGACAAATGCTTACGTATTGGGGGGATGCTATCAACCCCTTTAAGCCATTTTCGTCTCATGGCACCCGCACATCGAAGCTGCCGTGGATAGCTTCTCTGCCAAGCTAGAGATTGCACTGTGCTCCCGTGGTGGTACCAGTGGCGCTGCCTGGAACGTAGCAAGGTTACGTGGTGCATGAGGAAGAGCTTTTTCTCTTTTGTGAGGCTTAGCGTGGTTGTGGGCAGTCTTCTCTTGCGGGAGGTTCGTGGGGATCATTCTGTAAAATCTCACGCACTGCCGTGGAAAGTCCAACATAGGTTTCCCTCGCATTAGCGCTGCTTGAATGTGTCATTTTGGTTAGTTTTCATACTAGCTCTTTATTTGGGCTATTTATCATGTCACTAGTCATTTATTTGAGTCTGCTGGCAAGATCGTCCATTATATAAAAGCTTTTTATAAATGTCCGCATGCCTTGTTGCACTGCAGCACCTACTGTGCCTGTTTGTTCCAATAACAGCTTTTCAGACATCTCAATGTTGAAAACTACTGTTCTAGTGGGTACTGTAAATAATGAATATGTTAATTAGCAAAACTGAGCCATTTGCACGGGGCTTGGTTTGCTAAAAGGCTTTTTTTTTTCTAGCTCTTCAGCATAGCATCAAATGATAGCACCATTTGTCTCTACACATTTGTTATGCTTTGTTGTATGCTATAGAATAATCTGTTGACAATGCTGAAAGGGCACCAGCCACAGTTTCCGATAGACCCATCGTTTCAACACCCATTAGATTTTGCCCTCAACACCCAAGAAAGAACCGAACAGGTTTCAAAATCTCAGGTCTATCTGAAACCGTGGGCAATGCACTTTAGCAACTGGAATTTTTTTAGCCAGCTAGGAAAATGCCCGACAGAGATGCTTACATTTAAGAGATATTCATTTCATCTTGTGTCATTCATTCCAGGCCGGGACCCCATGAGCGACCGCATTGTTCTTCTTATGATGGATGTCTACAGGCTGGCTGTTCAGGCAAGTTCAAATAACTGTGTTAAGAGGGCTCATTATTCTTAAATGGCAAGCTTCGTATCCATAGCAAAGACCCGAACGTTGTACTCTAGTTGCACATGTACAATAAGTTCCCAAACTTTCTTTGCCTGTGCAGCAACGAAAGCTGTGTTGGGGATGCACCAATTAAGTCAGCCAAGCCGGGTGATGTTGAACGTGTTCTTGCCACTAACACTTTGCTAGGACTCCGTTGCATCAGCCAACGAGTGATTGCCATTCACTTGTGTATTTTTTCATCTAGCAATAGCTGACATTCTAATTATCCATGCTGATTGTAATAGTAGGAATTACCATTTTATGTGTATAAGAAAAATGATTGATGGCATTTATTTTTGTAATAACCTATAGGTAATTCACCACATCATTTTACTGTGGTATAATTTATATGATAATTTATGAATCCATGCTCGGTGCCTGGCTGCCTCTTAATGACTTGTAACCGTCTCTTGAATATGAAGAAAAATAAAACAGTGTTTGTTTGGCATGCTAAATTTCGCCATTGAGAATAGTTGGCCACTTTAACATGGAACAAAATGTTTTCATTGTACCAAAGATTATTCTGAATGATTGTTGATTGTATTGGAGTTGACTGAATGATCACAAAATGGCTTAGAGAAGAAGTGCCTCAAGATCATTCCCTAGTGACTTCAGAGGAGGTTGTTGAGATAGTTTGGTGGTTTCGATAGGATTGTGAGAAAGATATGCACAGGCAAGAAGTTTGGTGGTTTCGATAGGATTGTGAGTAAGACATGTGCAGACAAGATGAATGTATGAGTTTTGTATGTTAATATGGTATTTTTAGGGAATCATTACTAAAGCTTCAGGCGAACTTGGTAACCTTGAGGGTGATCAGTTACTTTGAAAAAAGCATTGATCTCATAGCATCTGGCATTGTAAATAGTCGGAATGTACGCCTGGATTCACATGAGCTATGCTTGTTGCATTAACAGTTCCACATGAGGCGCTTGGAGCACCTGTGCGTCCAGTACCTCGAGGCAGCCATCAACCATCGCAATGTCCTTGTTGCCTTGCAAAATGCCTCTGACCTACGTCTGGACTTCATCAAGGTGGGTCTGCCAGAGAGAGGCCAGCAACAATGGCTTGCTTTTTGTGCCTCATCTCTTTATTGATTTCACGAGTGTCCAGTCGCTCTCATTCAGGCCAGCCTGGTGTGCTGCGTGTGGTTTTCTGAACGCAGGAGTTCTGCCTGAAGTTTATTGTGAAGGAGAGCACCTACAACCAGATTGTGATGAGCAAGGAGTTCGAGACCATTGCCCAGCCACTCATGGTGGAGATAATACGACGCCGACAGATGCCTGCTGTGCGATCACTGCTTGAGCCAATGTTCGATTATGCTGGTGAGCAGCATTGGCCATTATGCTTTCCAGGTGTGCTAGTGTCACTGGTAGTGGTAATTAGTTCCCGCTCATTGCTTCTTACTGCTTATGTTTGGCTAAATCAGGCTGAGCTTTGTAATGAGGGACAACATGAGAAATATGCTTTTTATGTACGATATTACGTTGCTGCTCTCGGTACTTGATTATAATGGTGAATGAGTTGTGCTACGGGGAAGGATTAAACATAGTATAATGTTCTGAAAATAATTAGAGTGCAGACACACAGCACATTCACACACCTGTACATGTTTGGTGTGCCACTCAGGCACCAAACATGTACAGGTGTGTGCGTGTGTGAATGTGCAATGTGTCTGCACTCTATTTATATTCCAGAAATGATCTACCAACTAGCCCAACAACAAGTTCCTTTCTATTGTGTATACTATTGTCCTGTGGAGTGTAAAAAATAAGGACCTTATATTTTATTTGCAATTCTGGTGAATCTTGCGAGCTTGACAATGCTACAGTCAGTCTGAAAGTCTATATCTTGTTTGTGTAAGTGCACATGTTCAGTGAAAATTGATGTCATTTGTCTTGACCATTTTGTGAAACAAAAAAGATGCATACCATGAAGGAATGATTGAAGACAGAACAGGAAAGGGCACCTGTCTGCTCTCTCCTAAATACCACATATCGGTATGATGGTTTGCATTTGTGTGTGTGTGTGTGTGTGTGTGTGTGTGTGTGTGTGTGTGTGTGTGTGTGTGTGTGTGTGTGTGTGTGTGTGTGTGTGTGTGTGTGTGTGTGTGTGTGTGTGTGTGTGCGTGCACATACATGTTTGTGCATATTTTAGTAAGCATGTACCAACTATCCCAGCAACAAGTTTTATTCAGTTATTTGACTACCTTGATTTGTTATTCTGTTTTTTATGTGCTGTTGGGTCAGGACACACTTTCGAACAAATGGTCGATCTAAAAGAGGCTCAACAAAAATAATTTCACTAACATCGAACTGTCCGTGGATTTTGCCAAGAATGTGCACCCACATGAACAAATCTAGAAGACCAGTATGCTGTGCAGGTGAACTGTTTCAATAAAGTGCTGTGAAATTGTGTAATTAAATATTGCTATATATTATCTGGAACCATCTGGGTTACAGATAAATGTTCATACACCTGGAGCAGTACTTTGTGATGTTATCTCATGCAACTGCCTATGGCTGTGTGCCATGATATCTCAGTGGGTTCGATGTTATGCTACCGAGCTTGAGGATATGGATCCTGTGGCTATATTTAAAGGGCACAATGCAAAAAGCACCCTAATATACCTGAACGTATGAACATGTACAGAACACTCACGTTTAAAGATGATCCACTCATGCTAGTCCACTGACTGCCAGTAACTATCTACTCCTCTACAACATCTCTTAAGATGCTGGTTTGACACACGAAGCCACTCTAAAGCAGCCGAGTTTTTTGTGGCTGGATTTTAATTATACATATTGCATTAAATAAGCTAGTGTATGTGTAAAAGAGCCAAGCATACTAGTATGTTTTTGGTATTTGCTTTTTGTATTATTTTTCAATATCGCATGTTTTTCTAAAAAAAATTGTTGCAGGCACAACATTGGAGCAAGACATGGAGATTTTTCTGAAGGAGACGGGTCGTGAGTTTTGTGACATTACACTGTTGCTTGATGGCCACCCGATTCCATCTCACAAGTCGGTGCTTGTAGCTCGGTGCAGCTACTTCGAAGCTATGTTCCGGTCGTTTATGCCAGACCACAACACTGTTAATGTGAGTGCTGTCCTGTGATGAAAGATGGTTGAAAAAGCGGTGTTATTATTACTTAAGCTTTTAAAAGGGTCACAGTTACTTCACAAGTTAACTTTAAAACAGTACTGTGGAGCTAATAAACAAGCAGTACTTTATGCTACCATGTAATGATCTAGCCATATCCTGACAGCTTCCTTTGTGTTAATAAAATTCCAGCAGGGTGCTCACGATGCATCACCTTTCATAACACCGTCTAGATAGAACAGATAGCACGCAAATTAGAATTAGTGGTTTTGTTAATGTTGCGCACTTGACGTAAGAAATCTTGCGAACCAAGATATGAGGCTTAATATCCAATTGACTGATAAGCTAATGACTGCTTGCAAGCACTAGAGTTTCATAACTAGTAAGGGGCTGGTTTTAGAAATCAAATTCTCTAATAATTATGCACATTTTGGGATTGCTTTTCAATTGTACATTATTATACTTTCGTGCTGTTTGACTGGTGTATTCATGAAGAACAAAAAAAAAAATCTAACATTGCAGCAAGTCAACAAACTTGGAACAAAAATTAAGCTCGGTGGTTTACTTGTGCTATTCAGATGATACATTATTCAGTTGACATTTTTAAATTTCAGATTGCCATTGGAGAGATGATTCCATCCCTACAGTCCTTCAACACGCTGCTGAGGTATATCTACTATGGTGACGTCAGTATGCCCCCTGAAGATTCTTGTATCCTTTTTACGAAAACTGTAGCTGTAGCTGCTTACTCTGAAACATTTACACCTCACTCTCATGCTACGTTGACTCTATGTCACTGAGGCAACATTTTCCTGCTGCTCTCTTGAAATTCAGTCATAGATGTCAGTTTGCACCCACTTCATGGATTTTGGCATACTGGACTTCACAGTGCATCTACAAGCTGGACTATGCTAGAATTTTACTTATGCGTTCCGCTGGTGATTATACTGAGGCATTCCAGAGTATATCCAGAATATAACAGCTAATGCTGAATATTTCTACAACAAAGTACCTATTATAACACCATTATTCTATATTCCTAAAGGCTGTGAAGAACTCCTTATGCGTTTCTTTGAAAGCTAGAAATAATTAAAAAATTGTTTTTCAGAAGTATATCCAAAATGAAACACTTATTGTGTGGAGTAAATGCATGTAGCAAAGAGTACAGACCTAAATCTAATCTTAAAAGTCCTCTAATAGTCCACAAAATCTAGAAAAGCTCGCTTGTTCTTTATATGTATACATTAAATTCTTTGATGAACATCTCCCTCTCTCATCAGTTTTGCAGTATCAAGGACTAAACACTGAGGTTTAAAATGAGATACTACTTATACTAATACTCAGCATATAAACCACCAGAATGTGTTTGCAGAGTGTTCTCTTTGACGTGCATTTTTTTGTCAGGTACCTTTTCTCGGCACCCTACTTCTATGGCTTTACTAACAATCGTCTACAAGCCTTCTGCAAGGAGAATCTGGAGATGAATGTAACATTTGAAAATGTTATTCAGGTATGTAGAAACTGTTACTATAGCCTTCAGTTTGTGAGTTTCAACAGACCTGAGCCAAATAGGGCTTTTGTTCTGAGAAGAGCTATTCAAAAGCTCTAACTAGAGTGTTTGTGTTGCCTTTCATAAAGGTTAGCAACTGAGCACATTGCTGAGTCTGTTATCTATATGTTAGTCGCACTGTGGAGTACTTCTATACTGAACACACTTGCATGAGTATATGTAATTAACACTCCAATAAATATAATTGCCCAGAGTTTGTATCATGTGTGTTGAACCATGAGTAAGCAACACCTTTTTTTTTTTTTTGCCAAATGACTCAGATAATTATAATAACTTACATAAGTAAACACATTCAATGTGCGGCTTTCTGTCTACAATAGTAAATGCCCTTTGTGGGGTGTTTTTTTCCCTGTTTCCTTCAAAACCAGATTCTGGAAGCAGCTGACAGAATACAGGCTACAGACATGAAAAAGCATGCCCTTAGCCTCATTGTGCATCACTATCCGAAGGTGAGGGAACTTATTTTCAGTTGCTACATTGGAAACAGTCATAGATGGAATGAGGAAAAATGTTGTGTTATAAAAAACAAAGGATAAAAATTTATATCTTCTCAGGTACTATTGCGTCTGGACACTTGCTCTCTATATTGATTTTTTTTTACTAAAAAATTTCTGTCTAACGTGTAATTTGTTGAATAATATTGTAGCTGTTTGCAGCAAACATTAATCTGTGATGAAATGTTGATTAAGTGTACAGGTACTAAATGGCTTTAGAATAAATCTGGATTAACTGTGGACTTCGTGAATACATGTGCACATATAGAAACAGTTGAAGGCAAGCATTCAGCAATTCAGTGTCAGTTGTGTCGTCCTCTACTTTTTAATGTTCAATTCACGCCTTCGCAAAATATATTGTGTAAAATAACATCTACATTATTGTTCATAATGATGGTCTGTCGTGATGCTTTATGCAGGTTGCAAGACTGCCAAAGATAAGGAGCCTTAGCAAAGACCTTCTGCTCGACATACTGGAAGCGCTCGCAGATGACATGAGTGATTCCAAGCTTTGTCAGGATGTGTCATCAGCGAGCCTGTGCAGTGATTCTGCGGGATCTGCAAGCTTAGTCTTAGATCCAAGCCCTTACCATGAAAGTGGCTGCAAATGAACCTTAGTTAGAACAACTGTGGTACAAACACTCGCTTGGGCTCATAGTGGCGGCAAACTATACACCGACATAGTGTGCCACTAAGGGGGCAGCAAGGTAGACTAGCAACTACTGGAATATGAATGTCTACCCATAACTGACGAACTTGTCAACTAGCGAATTGCCCAAGCCACCTTGACACAGCGTAGATTGGTGCCTTTAGTAAAGTGGTAGCATCACCTGCGTCAGCTTTTGCTGTAGGTGCAAAGACTGCCTGACGCGACCACCATTCCTTATGTATGGCATATCTCACTGTGCTGTTATGCGAACGTGAAACAGCACCTGTCCTGTCGTTTCTTTCTCATTCCACCTTTTTTTTTTTTTTTTCAGACTATTTCTCTTCTTGAAGGCTTACCAGCAGGCTCAAGTTCAATCCCGTTATACTGAACATATTATCTGCTACACTCTGCAACATATCAGTGAGCTGGGTCTCAGAAAGGACGGGCACATAAAACCATTAGATCCACCCCTCAAGTGCTTTTGCTGAAAGGACAGCACGATGTGGCAGCAAAGCGGAATGCTTCTCTCATCTCCGTGTCCCACCTTCAAAAGCATGGCTTAAACACTAAGGCTGATATGTGTGTGTGACAGCATTGGCTATTAAGTAAGCTACATATATACGAGAGAGAACAAGTGGTCTCTATGGCATTTACTTACAAGAAACATGTTCCAAACACATCAGGACTCCAGTTAAATAAAGGTCAGTATATCTCATCAATAGTGACATACCATATCAGGGTGTGTTGTAGGGCTCCATCTAATTTCTGGCTGACTATTCTGTGCGAGCATCTTTTGTAAATGTTCGCATGGAAGGAAGTCTTCTAATTTGCAAAATATGAGCACTCCTGTCAATTTATCATGCATACCCTGGTGTCCATCTTAGGAACATGTCCGAAATGTACCTATTTGCAGAAGTGTCTGTGTTTCTTGATAAAAGATGGGTCCTGCATTGAGCTGCAGATTGGTAATTGGAAGATGGACATGTTGTGAGTATTTCGGCATATTTGCCCAGTGTGGCAGAATAAAGTTCATTTTAGCTGCTTATTCTATGGGCAAGTACTTGTACTGAGGTTGCTCATGAAATGTCTGTGTAAACTGAGCTAAAAACGGTGCAATGAAAGGACTAGACTGTGAGAGGATGAACTGCATGAATGATAGTGTATGCTGTTGGCCTTGTATGATGTTAATGCGCACATGTGCCCCATGTATATATCCAAGCATTCGTGCTATGAATAAATCAGTTGGAAGTGAGCATTGTGCGTGTTTGCATGAATGTGTCATGCGTTTGCGCTCAAATTAGCTTTATGAAATGTTCTACCTACTAGCCCAACAACAAATTATTTCACATTGAAAGGACATTCATCCTTTAATTCGAACAAGTTTATACTGAAATTAGGTCAGTTCAGGAAGATAACCCAAGCTAATCTTAAGGGAACATGAGCATAGAACTGCTCACAAGTTACATATCCCCACTTTTGATAACCTGTGGTCATAATCTTTCACCGTAATTATGGTACGTGTCCACAACAAAAAGACGTAATGGTGAACTCCATAGCAAGCATTGTATAAAAAAAAAAATTACTTTATAAGGTACAGTGTGGCCGATCCCCCTTGTAGGTATGAGCCAAGATCTTCTAGGCGACAAGACAAAATAACATGTACGCGGTCTGCAAGGCGAGTATTTAGCATAACACTACCATATATTTGGAACATATAGGCCGATCAGGGCGTTGTGAATTTGGGGGAAGCAACTTGTCACAGCAGTCATAGTCCTTGTTCTGCCGTGCACGTGGTGGGTAATGATAATTTGGAACCGAGTTTAAGCCGCAGCGTCAAAAGTACTAAAGTTCTCGCGCTGTACCTTAACTGCAGTTCCGTCGCAAGTACGTTTATAAAATGCGTGAAATCCATGAGAACTGAATAAGGTTGCGAGGAAAATACGGCGGCAATGATTTCCGATAATAATGACTCAAGATTCACAAAGGCAACCCAGTGGGCTAACAGGTGAACTTTTTGTTCGTTGTGTTCGCAGACTCGATCGACGCGCCACACAGAAGCGCGCCACGCCGCGCGTCTGCGCAGTGCTGGCGAAGCGAGGGTAGCGGTGGTCTTCGTCTAATCGTGTCGCCGGTACGAGAATTTTTGTGCAACCCTTGTGCGGTAATTTATGTATCCGAAGTCGGTGCGCACCTATGATGACGATGTCTAAAAGCCTGTAGCGAGAATTACGTGCAGAGGCGGTGCGAATAACGTGTTAAGCGCTTTTGTACTGTTGACAGCGAGGTAGGGCCTAGTACATGGCCGCGTCCATGTCTGCGAAGGACTTGTTTACAGCCTATTGAAAGCGCCGTTCGTGGATTCTGCAGCTGCTTGGTCATCGTTGCGTTATACGTAAATTATTCCATTCATTTTGCGCAGACATTAGACGCAACTTTCTGGTAACTCACTCACTTCTGACGCTTCCTAGTGCTACCGCGGGCGTTCGCTCTACAAGCCGCTTGGTGTACTGCGCATTGTTCTCTCATCGTTCGAGTGCAAGTGTTCGAGGCACCCGACAAATCTGCGAGCGATGGAGTATCCAGCTAAAGCGAGCACGGTCAATGGCGCGCCACAAAAGGCCATCAAGCATCAGGACACGAGGCTGAGAAACGACGAAGGTACTGACTACGGCCGCGCAGAAACGATTGAAGATATTATATCGGAGTTGAACGCCACCGCAAAGAAAGACCCAGCGCTGGCTGAAGCATTCGACGATGTGATATTGCGCGATGACGGACAACAGTCCATCGATGCCCTGGAGCAGTGCGATTCCATTACTGAAGTGAAGGATTCAACCGGCAGTAAGGACGGCGGCGAACTGGGCAGCACGCCGACTTCCGCGCGTGAAGAAGCCAAGTCAGCGGTTGGATTGGCAGATGTTTCCGCCTCCGCAGAAGGTGATACCACTGCGGCGACCAATGCAAGCGAAGTCGATTCGCAGGATACCAGCAAAGTGGTAAAGGCTGCCAATGGCGACAGCGACCGGCCCTTAGAAAACCAGGAAGTGTCAGAGTGTACAGACACTGTTGAAACCGACGGAGAGGAAAAATCTGCTAACGAATGTGCCGAAATCGAAGCAGTTGATGTGCTGGATGTGGCAAATGCGGATGATAATTCCGTCGAGATGATCACTGGTGAGATAAAGGCACCAGACGAGGCTGTAATGTCGCCACGCAGAACTGCCCGTCAGAGAACAGCTAGTCTAAAGGTGACAGAAAATGCCACCATTAGTCCCAGACGCAAGCCTCGTCATGGTAGTGAAACGTCTGATGTGTCCCCTGTTGATTCGTCATCCAAACAGCAAGAACTGAAAAAGGACCATGTTACCTCAGACAGCGAAGAAGTTTTTATTGCCCTGTCAACGAGGAAGCTCAGAAAGCCAAGTGGAGAGGGTAGTGGTGCCAAGATTGCAGTGAAAGCCAAGGTCAACAGGCCCATTTCAGACAGTGGTGGTGACAGCCCTCTTGTAAAAGTGCAGCGCAATCTCAAATTAGCAAAAAAGGTTCCTTCAGAAAGCAAAACTGGCAGCAACATTCCTGCAATAATGAAACGCAGTCCCAAACTTGCAAAAAGGCTTGCTTCAGATAGTGAAGGTGACAGCCCTCTTGCTAAAAGGATGCGCAGTCCAAAACTTGCAAAAAGGCTTGCTTCAAGTAGTGAAGGTGACAGCCCTCTTGTTAAAAGGAAGGGCAATGCCAGACTTGCAAACAGAATCAGTTCTGAGGGTGATAGAAGCAGTCCACTGGCAAAAAGAATGGGCAGTGCCAAAGGCCTTGTGAAAAAAATGCCCCAGCACAGTGAAACAAAGAAAGCCGATGCACAGTCTGTAGAGCCTCCTAGCATGAAGAAACCAAGAAAAAGTTTTTTAAAAGAGCTCGTAGAAAATAAAAGAACCGCGCAAAGTAACGGTCGGCGAGATTTGCAAAGTACTGAGCAGAGCGCCAAGAAAGGCAAGCCCATGGCGAGTAAAGTGGCGCAAAACTTGATAAGCAAGGCCAAGAGAGCGGTTTTTCATGTAAAAGAATGCCCTGTGAGCAACAGCATCTCGTTGGCCAAGCACAGCTATGATGTAGAGAATCGGGACTCGTGCAGGGTGCCCAAGCCAAAAAAGGCCAAAGACAAAGCCGGCACCAGCATGGAAGGTACTTCGGACAGCAGCGGTGCAGAGCTTATGATGGTCAGCAAAAAGAACAGAGCTTTGGAATCTGCATACAGTTGGGTAGGTCTGAATGCCGGCAACACTGGTGCCACTGGAGTCGCTCGTGCAGATGACAGAGGGAATCGTTTCACTGCGCCAAACAGCTTTGCTCAATCGGCTGAAGGTGCACGCTTGCCACCACACCACTTCAAGGCCTCTGATCGTCACCTTCAGAAATGCATCCAACTGAGCACACGAAAATTCGAGCCACCTGCCCGACCATCCTATCTGACTATTGAAGTTCCATCGGTTACAGCAGGGAGGATGTGGGGCCCTACTTTCTCTCGCCAAAGACCAACCGTTGTATTTGGTGGATGTGACCCGATGAATACATATGTAAACTTGCATGGTGTTCGTGTTCTGCTGCACCAGTGGCAAAAGGTGTCGAATATCACACCAACCATTCGCCTTGTAGACATATTTCGGTGCTTCAAGCATATGTGAACTTGAATGTTCACTCTACATTGAATACCTCCATGTTGCTTCATTTCTTCTAAAGTATGTCATTGTTTGTGCAATGATGTCATTGTTTGTGCCCGCATTTCTTATGGTTTGCTTTTGCACATCACTGTTGACATGACATTGGTCTGGTCACAACAATTAATCACACTCTTCGTCATTCAGGTTAGGCATTTTTGTAGGGCAGCATTTGTTCTTGTCGAACCTCTGTAGCTGTCGAATGTGCTGGGAGTAGTGCTTGCGATAGATTTCAAAGGCTCTACACTACTGTGTACAGTAATCATGTTTTTTTTTGAAGATAACGCACTGCACTCAGTGCAATCTCTTTCCTTGTGCGTATCCTGAAACATTCTTTTTTAAAATTTAATGACCTTCAGCTATGCTGTTACTCCACAAATCTTCACCAAAAAATGCATAAAAAAATCTCTGTACTGAGTGGCTTTTTCCTGTGTTTTTGTACTTGGGTTTCAGTACATGTTTGCAGAATGCAGCATTTCAATCATGCTTGAATTCCATTTATATTACAACTCAATGGTGTGTAATACCAATGGTGCCCACATGACAATAATAAATTACTAATGACAAAATTTTTACTGTGTTCTTGTGCCTCTTTTCATATGAATTGTCGACTGGCATGGGTAAAGATTTGCATAATCACTGTTACAGAAATGTGGATACCAATTGTATCAAGTGTTTTCATTGTGAAACTTTGAACTTGTTAGCATGGGCCAAATGTAATGAATTTGCACAGGCAAACTCCATTGTTTTGATGGAATAGAGGTGTATATGTGTGTGTTCTAAAAAAAATGTGTGTGTCTGTGCTTTCATTTTCAAGAACAAGAAGAGGAAAGGAAGAAAACATGAAATGTCCAAATAAGCTTGTGCAGTTAGTGTGCTGAAGCTGCATGGAGTCTGCTATGGACCTATAGCAAGCTGAACTACAGGAGGACAAAAAAGCTTGTGTAATGTGCACCTTTATGCTATGACATCAGTGCTATGTCATTCACTGCTTAGGCATGAATGCTATGCATGAAAACAAAGGAGTGCTGTGTAGCAGCCAACTCTACACAGCATCCCTTTTTCTTTCACAAGTTGAACTGGTCCAACAAACATCGGTTTCTGGTTGACGAGATAAATTGTGGTTGCGGCAGAAGTGTGGGCTGCTGGTCTACTGGTTGTCTGTGGCTGTTGATGATCATCATGTAGTTTAATTGGAAGCTTATCTCACTAGGTTTGGTCTTGGGTTTGTTAGGTATGTAGTGGTTTGCATGATTTCACATTTTCTGAGCTGCAAGAAATGATGTCTTTGGAATGCATTGCGTTATCAGAGCACAAATTGCTGGAAGATGTTTGAAACTAATTGAAATGCTTTAATGGTCCCGAGCTTGCGTGGCAACTGGAAACCCACAAAAATGTGCTTCACAGCAGCTGCTCTCGTTTCTCCTGCTGTGCTACTATCTTCTTCTTTATGGACTTATTTGCGAAGTCCACAAGCATAGTGCTGGTAGACTGCACAACTGCTTGATGGTGGCGAGGAGAGGACAAGGATGTGTCCATAATTTGCGTGTAGGCCTGCCTATTTTACCAAGGAGAATATGTCGTTTAAAAACCCATAGGTTATCTCATGCATTCGCTTGAAACCACTGGAAAGTAAAAGCCGTCTTGTGTTAGTCAATAAATTTAGACTCCCAGCTCCGCTGTGAAAGCTTTCTGCACCTAGCATAGTTTTGCACTGCCTTCACGATTGGCCCACCTTGAACCGTGTGATGATGTCAAGTGATGACAATGCCACGTGACAGAATGTCAAATTTAGGCACTTTGTGACATCATGTGATGATTTTTTTTATCCCTCGTGTTGATGCCCACGGTCGATTTTTGTGCTTAATAAGACATCTAAGGCTTTTGCCTGAACCCTTTGCGGCCAATCGTTAGCCCCTGCCCAAAAACACAGCACGGCAGTAGTGACTCGTGGTTTGGCACTGCTGGGCAAGTTCTTTCGCGGATGAATCACATGCGTATTTTCTCACTATGTTGTGCACCATCTGTAAAAAAGTAAGCTCCTTTTACTTGAGCTTTGAGTATTTTTACTTTTGGAACAGAACGGACGGAAGGTGGAAAGGGTTTCTGACTTGATGTTTAAAACCACACAGCAAGGTGGAAGTGTGGGCAAGAATATTCTAATAGATAAGTTGACCTGAGGAGGCTGTGGGCTTTCACACCATTATTGACTTGGAGGCTTTACAACTATTTTTAGATAAGTACAGGTGTGTCCTTGATAAACTGTCCCCTAACTGTACTGAATGGGTGTAGCTCAACCACTTCTCACCAGCATCTTGAATGTGAGGAGTGGTTAACTAACCTCCTCTTTGGCAGGTTAGTTAACGCGCCAGTGATTTCTTCCCTCCGTTGTTTCATTTTTTTCTGTTCAAACTTTTGTTTTAAAATAAAAGTGGCATTCAGTGGAGGTAACGCATGTATTGTTGGACTGTCATTGTGGGAAAGGGGCTTTTCATTGTCAAAATGATGAAAATTTCTAACTGCTTCTTCCATTTTTCAGTGTTAATTACCAGCGGTAGTTTGCCTCATATTAAGAGCAATAATAAATTTCATCAAGCTAATTTGGCTACGTATTTGATCAGGCTTATCATACACCGAACTTGATTGTTAGACCAGAAATGTTCAGCGTAAAATGTTTTAACAAGCATTTTTGGGGTGAAAAAAATCTCAGCATGGAAAAATTGTTGAGATTTCTTTTGGGTGCAGGCCCGCACTAGCATATGCAGTGCTCCTGGAAAGTTTTAAAAATATTATTTGTGCATTTCTTACCTTAGCTATAGGCCGTGCTCCCTCAGCAGGTGCAGCACAGCCTACAGAGTGTCCTCCTGCTTTTCTCGACTACAACAATGTCGTCCAGGTAGACCAGTACTCCAGGTAAACTGCTAGCAACACCCTCCATGCATTGCTGATGCATTATCTGCTCAAAATAAATGCTAAAACCTAACCAAATAAAGCAGTACAGGTGTTCGAATGTGTGGTACCTCATATAACAGACATTGGTTAAACGAATACGGAAAGTATCACACTGAGGGCTTCTAAACTGTTGAGAAAGGCTCATTAAAACGTCTTCGATTGTTCACACCTGTTGCACCATGTGTAACAGGTGTTGCACTTGGTCTTGATAGCAAGTGGACCAAAAAAAACTTTGATGCAAATTTTCGAAAAGGTCATCCTGTCTAGCACTTTAAAAACAACCTAAAAACACTGACAGCTGACCTAATATTCACCGATGTGGTAATCTGACCCAGCTCATGTGCAATATGGCCTCTGCGCATGATCAATTTCTGGGTAGTTGTGCAGTGATTGTGTAAAGACTTTTTGCATTGTTTGAGCCTTTGAGACTGACGAGATTTTTGAGAATTTTGTGAATGGAGTCATCTGGGCAGGACAGCTTCCTGCATGTTTTCATTGCAATGCTAGATCTGCCTCCAGCAACACTCCTCCTATTGTGTCATAAAAAATGAGAGCTCATTTTTGTTCTCTTACTGAGACATTTATTTTTATAATCATTAGGCCATCAGCAGTTGATTAACTGATGTCAAATTTACTGAAGGTCAAAGTTTTAAGTATGACACTTTGACCTTGACTTTCGTATATAATAAATTGACCTGTGTTGGCATAGTTAATGCCTTAATGTTTTCCTCTAGAGCCCCTTTAATTAAGAGGTAGGCAGAAAATTTTTTAAGGTGAAAAAGGGGGGGGGGGGGAACAGGAAGGTGTGTGGTCAAGTGTAATTTTGTGCTGCTTATTATGGCAAACAAACAAACAAAAAGCCGCTGGGCCTGTGCAGAATGCACAGCACAGTCACAGCGGTAGTCGAATGAGTGGCCTTTCAGAGCCCATTAACACGAAGAGCTTGTTTTGCAGACATTCTGGCGTCGGCGTCGTTAGGTTGTGAGAGAAAAATTGTCATCTTATGCGTGACCGAAAAATCCAGAACCATGCAAATAAAACTAAATAACTGACAAAAAATCCTGGAGCAGAGTGAGGACCGAATCAAGGTTGTTTGGGTCCAAGTGGGGATCAAACCCGGGTCGTTTGCATACAAGCAGATGTTTTACCACACGGCCACGCTTTTACTTGTGAAAACAGTGAAAAGAACTTTCTCTGCTTGTAAATGCAGTGAAAGTGGCTTTCACGTACACACGTGTCCTGTGTACATGCTTCACAATGCAACATGAAATATTACAGTAATAATGCGTGATATAAGCATTCATTGCCAATGTGCGTCAGAATATGTGATTATCATAATGACTACGTTGTTGAAAGCCGGTGCCCCCTAAAAAAGGCACACACGCTAAGGCACTTATTCCTCCGCAGTGGTGCATAGCAAATTCGAAAAGGTTTTACGCACTGAGTGTTTGAAGTACGTACTAATAACAAGATGTTGCTATCGTGTTCTACTCCTAAAGGTAAAACTTTAGGATCCCATAATTTTTTAAAATGCTCTTTGGGTAACTGCTACAAGCACATCTACAGGGTACCCACTACATCATTAATCGTCATAATTTTTGTGTAGTAGGAGATGTGCCATCCTTCATCATTCTTTGGAGAAGCATGGTACCCCACTACACCCTTGCAGAAAATCTTGTGCAATTTTTCGATGGTGTGGCTGATGACGAGTTATGCCTAAAGCTTTTGTAATGGGTTGGAGCATTCGACGACCTACTGGTTACCCAATTTGCATGGTGCGACACCTGGTTGTCCTTGTTCTAAAACACTTTATTACTCATGTCAACGAGATTCCTTTCCCGACATGGAGCCTGCCTAGGGTCAGTTTGCAAAGCAGTTTCAAGTACGGGCATGGTTCCGTGGTAGAATACTGGCCTGGCATGCAGGGGACACGGGTTTGAATCCCACTGTGTTTTGTGGTGTTTTATTTACTTCTTTTTTTTTTTTCTTAAGTTGTGCGATAGTGGTTGCGGACACCGGTGGCAGCGGCGGTGGACAACTAAGGCACACATGACCCTTGTTGTGATCTCGAAACAGCTTTTGCTGTAAATCGAACGGCGGAGGGTTCGAGGCTATGCCCCATGTGCTACCCCCAGCTATGCCACTGCCTTTAGTGTAAAAGTATGAAATTTAGCTTATACATCAATGATGCAAGGAAGTCGCTATTCGGTCGTGAGAAATTTCAAAGATCGTTCGCGTTAAACTTTTTATTGGAAAGAACATATGCCAGGTGAATATATTAATGTTTCATTTCAGCTGTTGTTTGTTCCATGTGCTAACTGAATGTTACAAATTTTGGAAGTAAGATGCTTTTATGACATGCACCAGGACCGGTAAAGGTGCATTCTGTAAGAGCAGCAGGTTCTGCAGAAGCTGTAGAAACAAAGTGATCGACTGAAATAAGAACTGATCAAATAAAGCAGTGCATGCTAAACTGTTAGTCATATTGTACAGAGGGGAGGGAAAATATGCAAACAGAGCTGCATCTACATTCTCTGCCATTTCACATGCCTTTTCAAGCGTTTGTAATTTGGATGGTAACAAAGAGCCAGTAGAGTCATTCATAATACAATGAAGAAAAATTCTGGTGTCTTTGTTGCCACCAAAGTCGGAGCGTGATGCAAACAGTGTGCTGCAGTATTTGCGGTTTTTTTCCATCACCCTGCACTCAGTATAGCATGCATGCTGCAAATGAATGAAAATATAAACTTAAGGGCTCATTTTCTTTGTTAGACACTATATTAGAGAACTAGCAGACCATAACGCCAGGGAAAGTACAGGGTTGTTATTAGAAGTAATTGTAAGTGTGAAGAAAGAAAAGTGGACGAAAAGATTACTTGCCACCGGCAGAATCAGAACCTCCGACCTTCGGATGACCCATCCTATGCTGTACTACTGAGCTGCAAGAAACATGTACATGGCACGCATTGAAAAGAAATGCACTCAAACCTCATAGCAACCAAGTTGCGCCCAAAGCAACAGTAAGTTCGTTATATCCGAACATTCGTTATGAAGGCTTATTCCCAACACTATTGAAAAGCTATTTTTTATTTATTTTGTAATAATTGATATTTTCTTAAATCTAGGTTTATTATATCAAAGTTTGAGTGTACACAAAAAAAACTTGTTTTGACCGTAACTGGCATTTATCAAGATATATTTAATACTAAAATGAGGACCCAGAAATGGGGTTAATAATAACCCAAGTGGAAGAAACTTTGAAAAGATATTGAGTGAGCCAATGCTAAAAAATTTACGTTTCTGTCAGTAGCGAGTGCTGTGTCCATCTGGTCCCCTTTGTCCCTGTCAAAAGTGCACTACTTTACTGTACGGTGTCATGATCAGTCATTTCCAATGGAGCGAAATGTGGAGGCCCGTGACGCAGATTTGAGTGCACGTTAAAGAACCCCAGGTGGTTCGAAATTTTCCGAAGCCCTTTATACGGGTCCCCTCATAATATATGATGGTTTGGGACATACCCCCCAACATATCAATCAATCAATCACTTATTGCTTAAAAAAGAAAGTTATTTCAGGATGGTATAGAGCAACCGAAAGTTCATGATGCAGTGACCTTCCTATAGCTGTATGAAAACCTAAAATGCTTTGGTTAAATGAGGGTGATAAACTAATTTCCATCAATGGAAGGAATAGAGCTGAATAAATACCACAGCATTTATAAGTTCCGCGTGAATTTCCTTTAGATACTCTAATTGATGATTTGTTGGGGTTTAAACATCCCAAAACCACGATCTGATTAGCGAAAACGCCGTATTGGAGGGCTCGGAAATTGACTACATGGGTTCTTTATTGTGCACCCAAATCTGAGCACATGGGCCTCAACATTTCCGCCTCCATCGGAAAATGCAGCCGCCGCAGCCGGGATTCGATTCCACAACCTGCGGGTCAGCAGCGGAGTACCTTAGCCACTAGACCACCGCGGCAGGGCCATTTCTGATACTCTGTGGTTGGTCTTTCTAGAGTTGCAAGCAGGATATTCAGTGAACCTACAGACCACTTTAAAAGAACCTGACAGAGCCATTGTAGAAAGAGCTGCCAGACCTGCGCTGATTGTGCAGCACAGTCACAGTGAAAGCTGGAAGAGCAGCCTTTCAGAGCCTTTTTTTCAAATCACTCTCTCGGTAACTTCTACAAGCACACTTGAGGGTACGCACTGTGCCATTTATTATAATTTTTGTGCAGTAGGGAAGCATTCACTATGCCACCCTTCGTCATTCTTCCAAAAAGTGTGGTACCCGCTACTAACTTGTAAGGAATTTCATGCAATTTTTTTTATGCTGTGGCTGAGGACAATGAAGAATTGTGTCTGAAGCTTTTGTAATAGGTTGGCGGATTCGACGACCCACACGTTATGCAATTCGCATTATGTGATGCCTCGTTGTTCCTTTGCCATTATAAAATGCCTTATTACTCATATTAACACGGTCCCTTTCCCGACATCAGGCCTCCCTAAAGCCAGTTTGGAAAGGAGCTTTAAGTACCGGTGTGGCTCAGTGGTAGAATGGTAGAATATAGATGCAAGATAATAGGCATGCGCACAAGGGGGGCAGCCCCCCCCTGATCACTTAAGACGGGGCACACATCGACATAATAGGAAGGGGCAGCGCTGTGACTCGGCAAGGGGCGAAAGCAAGATCAGTTTTATACATTGACTAATTAAAGAGAGAGGGCAAAGGGATGCTGCAACGAACTTTGCCCCCTTAGAAGGGAAACCCTGTGTGTGCTTATGTGCAAGATTACCATCGCAAAAAATCATTGGGATTTGTTTGCGTCAAATTAAAGTTTTAACATTGACATAAAAAAATATATAAGAAATTTTTTAGTGATTAAACCATGAAAAGAATAAAAAAATACCAGATGAAACAAAAATCACAGCATATACACGGAATGAATGATAATAAGTGGGGCGAAGCGTCCGTCTGTGTGTCCATTAGTGTGCCCGTTTCTGCATCTGTACATTCCATCCGTTTGTGCATCTGTCGGTGCATGCATCCGTCTATCCGTGTGTCTGTCCGTCTCCTTGTCTGTCCGTCTGTCTGTACATCTAGCGAACACTTCAAGTGCCGCCATCTCGCTTCTTTTATCATTTATTTATCACATACAAGTACCGCCATCCAGAGGGACAATACAAGAACTAAATTTTATACCAAATTTCTGCTCTCAGCACTTTGTTAACACCCGCAGCATAATAACGATGCCATGCTACATTTTTCGTAACATGTGGATATGTGCCCGAGGGTGGGTATGTGCCACAGGTTACGCACTAAGAGTACGCACAAGCCACACCATAAGGAACTTCGCCCCTAATTCTTGCATTCATAGACTGTTGTAAACACTGTTGAAATGTGTTACCTGAATACTTATGCAAAGTGGAACTTTTTGATTCCATAATAGATTTATTGATTCTAATAATAGT